ATAGTCTATTTTTCATCGCCCCTTGTTTAAAAATCTGGCAGTTTTGAGTAAAATTTCCAAATTATTTGCACTTTACTTGTTTATTTGTGATCTCCTTTCCTTCCAAGCATAATTTTCTCAATTGATAATGGAAAAGTTGGCAGACAATAAAACCCCCCGGCTAACAAAATTTATGGCCGAATTTTCAAATGTCCTGATTTGTATGATACTTTATTAAATGCCATTGTGTTTCTTGTGCTAAAGTCGTCAAAATAACTCTATCCAGTTTTTTTTTATTAGTTACATAGCACAAATTATTGAATGTGCAATATTTGAATTACCGAATCTAAAATGGATATATTTAGACTTACAAAAAACCATTTCGACGGTGTTGTTACACAATAGTCAGGGAATAACTCAGCATATTTATTTATGTAAATGTACAATGTAAATTGCTGCACAGATAAAGAAAATAAACACTAATTTTTGTTTTGTTTGATTTAACGCACAGACACTTTGTGGTGTGGAGCTCAAAACGCCCTTAAAATCCAAATGAAATTTATATTTGTCAATCCCAGCACATGTACGAATCAAATATATCAAAAAGACTTAATATTTTGGAAAAAAAATCATATTTCAACGTCTATAATAATACACAAGCCGGAAAAAAATCCGCACATTTACCGTCAAAATCACAAAGTATTTTATTCCATTTCCAATATTTTCAAATAATACTTTTGTCCATCGACACAGAAGATATAATTTTCCACGATGATGGTCAATTTTAAACTTCAACATCAATAGAAACAAAGCGACAGGCGAAATAAACAAGATTATCGCCGTTTTACTCCATTTACAACTCTTTCGACAAATTCACAACTGGCTCCCCAGCTTTGCCGTATTCAAATATGCCGTGCTTTAAATATGGGAACCAACATAGCCGACTGGTTCTCATCTTCAAAGCGCGGCGCATTTGAATACGACAAAGCTTGGAGCCAATTGTGTATTTGTCGCTGGAGTAAAACGGCGGTAATTTTGATGTTTATTTCGCCTGTTGCGTTGTTTAGTTTAAATTAATAATTTTTTTCTTAAGATAGCGGTAAACACGAGTTTTATAACGTTTAAATAAATGTTTCTGCATTTCACTTGAAGAAAGTAGCACTGAAAGTGAAATTATTTGTCATAAAAGTAGCAAAATGTAACAGAGTATAGTATTTTGACTTCCATACAAAATTACTAAATAAGTACTAAATACCAAAAAGCAATGTTCAGAGCAAAAGATGGTTCAGAAACTGCCCATTGAGTACATTTTAGGAAACTAAAACAGGACACCCAAAATGAAAAGATTTTGAGAAATGGGAATTACAGCATTTCTGAGCCCTTTAAAGAAATGTGTCATTTGACTGTTAGAACTGAACCAATGACTTAAATAAAACAAAACTGTTGATAGAACTTACAAGACTTGATAAACTGTTAACACACGAGTGTACGGGGAAATTGTTTAATGTTATCAGGGGTTAGCCTTCAATATTGTTTGAAACAACACAGGGCCTCAGATAAAAAAATCGGAACTTCACATAGCGGTACCTTTTACCAAGTTGTTAGCCGTTTTGGCTCCGTGGAATAGTTTATTTTGTCTACTCTCCAATTCAGTTGACATGTTCATGTTTGAATTTATGTTTCGCCTTAAAGCAGCATGCGTCCAGATTCATTTTAATTTTCATGAAAATTTTGGAAATGTAAAATATTGTGAGATGAACAAATAAAGCAATTTACATAATGCAATCGGCACTTACAATCCAAGAAAATTACCAAAAAGTCGTCAACATTTGCAAAAACAGACCTTACTGCGTGAGTAACACAGTAAAGATATGATGATAAAATACTGCAAAGCAGTCATAAACCGCATATAACATATCACTTGGATCTTGACTGTTTTACCTTTCCTAAAATTTTAGTGATTTTCTTGAAATGTTTTGGCTCATTTGGAGGCGAACAGCTTTAAAATTGAACTGTGGATTTAAAACTACTTTTAATAAATCTGATGATTCAAACTTTCTTCTAGAACTTACATGCTACATATGAAAATTGCTAGAGAAATGACAGACATTCTGTATCAATAAAAGACTGTTCATTTTCGTTCCTTCTAAATGTGTTCGATTAGTTGGGTTTTAAGTCAAACGACACTGTTAATGTCATATATGAACATTCCAACTTTACTTGTGGATGTAGACCTCAGATGCCCCGTCGTTCATTATTTCAGGCTCATCTCAATACCGATACTTACGGAGATTTACATGTAAATTCTGCAGATAGTTTTCACTTTAAACCAGCTTAAATCACTTTCTAGACTTCACATTTTCATTTGATCCAAGAACTTTGCAAGTGTTCCTGCAAAATCAAACCTGGAGGCATACTATTTTAATATCAGGATATAACATGGAACATAAATACCTGACCAAGATCAGCCGGCTCATTGGCGATTATATCTAATCATGGTCTGCACCGTTAGCTTTGCAAAGCATGTATTTTGAAGAAAAAAAATCCCCTAACAATGATGAATGGTCTTGTCCCAATATAAGGATGGTCAATTCAGCGTATGGCTTACTGTCCCAGCAGTAATCAAATACATGTAAGTGGCCTTATGCTCAATCTTCCATTGTCAACAATGAGCTGAATTGACAATTATTTCAAAATATTTACTGTTATAATAGTGATTGACCAACAGTTGATATTGGAAAATGTTTATTTCAAAATATTTACTGTTATAATAGTGATTGACCAACAGTTGATATTGGAAAATGTCACAAGTATAGGTCATATCGCGACGTTCCAGCTTTACTGGTGGAGGAAGACCACAGGTGCCCCTCCGTGCATTATTTCAGGCAGAACGGGCACCCGAGTAGAGCCACACTCTTTATAAATCGAATGTTACTGGTAAATCTCATGTCCAGCGACTTGCTTATCCTTCATGGATGATGATTGAAAATAGATATGGGAAAATATAAACTTATTTTTGACTTTAACCTGTTCATTCACTATATATCCTTGGATGGACATGATGTCACTTTAACCACTGAAAACTTACACGTGAAATAAGTACACAAAAAAGTAAGGACTGTTGCATAACACTTTATTGATAATGATGGTAGCACAGTATTTAGCACATTAAATGTTTATATTAGAGATATTTAGATTTTGTTGAAAGCTGCTATATCCATACTTTGTACCTGAAAACAGAAAAAAATATACAGATTACCACATTGACATGTACATTAAGCATTCATATACAGTCAAACAAACCCTTGATAAAACCTGTTTTTTTTAAGCCTATTAAAACAAATTTTTGGGGAGATACTTCAGTAGCTAGTCTATTTAAGTAAGTTTCCTGGAAAACTAACCAGAAATTACCAACATTTCCATAAGTGACCAACTACTAAGCGTGTATGATTTTTTTAATCAGTGGAGGAAGAAATATGATTAGACTTGATTTCTGAGATGAAAGTTCTAAATGGAACATCAATGAATAAACATTTCACAAAAATATTATGATAATGCTCTAGGAAGCTCACTGATGTATAAAATGGACAAAAAAGTCTTCTACAAACATTTACTATACCTTTAAAACAAGATTGCATTTGTGAAAAAATGCTATGCCACCACATTAATACAACCAGGGCCAAAACACAATTTTTGGGGAAGGCGCCTCAGCCTTTTTCTTGGGGAAAATATACGTGACTTTGGCATACTTTGGGAAAAGGGGTATCAAATTTAACTCAAACTTTAAACAAGTTCTTCAAAATAGAAAAGCAAAAAGCACTGGGAAATACTAATAAGGCAGTAAAAGACCTTAATTCAACACCATCATTTAATTTTGTTCTAAATTCTATGGGAAATTTCAAAATACTGGGGAATTTTGAGGACCAAACTGGGGAAAAAAAGAGGCTAGTTTGGTTGGGGAAGCAGCCTATATTTGGCCACTACAAAGAAGGGTTTTTTGGCCCTGACAACACTAAATAGAAGCAGAAGTAGGTTTTTTTTATGTTTCTACACAATTGAACTTTGCCATAATGCAGTAGTGTCTAGTGACTTTAGGGTTCAAGGTAATATTTCACTATGTCAAATAACAGACAATGTGCAGATGCGAAACATTTCTGCATGGAATCAAATTTTTTGAACAATTTTTGAAGCCCTTCACCCAAAAAACAATTCTGGCATTTTTTGTTTAATTCAGACCAGTGGTTTTTTACAAAAAAAATTTTTAAGTTAACTTTATGATCTATTTAATAGACAAACATACAAACACACACACACACACACACACACAGAGGTAAATCGCTGTATGCCACGGCATCGCAGATGCTGCAGTGGCATTAAACGGCATTGAATAATTTAAAGATGTTTTCAGAGGGAAAGGTGTCTATAACAGTAAACAGCCCTTGCTTTATAAAGAAAATTTTCCTAATATGGAGGTTATACAGCTATTATAACATTCTACACAAGACTTACTAAATCTTCAAATGATGTGATCTTTTCTTCTAAATCATCAGTACTGACTTTGTCATCTTCTATAACAGCATTTATCTGTAATTTTTTGATGCCATAACCTACTGGAATCAATTTTCCTGAAACAAAAGGAAGACATGTTTAACACATTAACAAAACAAAGTTTCACTTTCAATACATAAATTAAAGATCAAAAAAGGACTACAAACATAATGCAGAATAAGTTTGTTAAGTTGAAAGACATCATTTAAATGCTGAACTGTATAGGAAGTCTAAAAAGATGAAATTAATGGGGGTTTTCCCTTTATTTTATGACACACAAACACAGCGTATTCCAGCTTTACTGGTGGAGGAAGACCTCTTGTGCCCTTCCGTGCATTATTTCAGGCACTAAAGGGCACCTGAGTAGAACCCCTGTAGTTTAATCGAGGAGTGTAAATATCAAGGTCAAGGCACTAAAACTAAGCAACTTAATGAAAATTTAACCTTAAATTCAAACTTATAACTTCCAACATTACATCCTATTGAGAGCTTGAAACCTTGTCTTACTTTAGTTGTTTTTTTTTAAATTGACCTCAATTACCATTTTTTTCTTCCTGTCTTCAAACACATACAGGAATATACTTTTCCAATGGTCTTTGTTGTTTATGCTCTCAAAGAAATTTTGTTGTAAACATTATCTATATTTTTAGCTTGCTGGTGATTAAAGCATATTTGAACCACTCTATAAGCTCACTACCTGGAAAAAAAACAAAATTGATTTTATACGAGAAAACATGGTCACTAAACCGGTGTGGCTCAAACCCATGACCTCTCAGTTGAGCAGAAAATACCTTAACCACTAGGTCATTGCTCCTGGAAATATAATGAGGTCAAACAAAGTAACATTTCTGACCACTTACCTGCACCCCACACAAGTCCTTCCATCTCTATAGTTCTTACTAAACGCTCCATTTCTTTCATGTCTGTTTCATCGTCCCATGGTTTAATATCAAGCAATAAACTGGACTTGGCTATTATAGCTGTCTCTGCAACAAAAATAATTGACGATGCTTAAGCATAAATAAAGACAAGAGCGATCAGTAATCACATGTGTCGCCTCATAATGACCAATTTCATGTTGGGACAAATTTTGTGACAGACGGACAGACAGACGGACAGTGCACAACTAGACTAAGTACTGATCAATCATGTAAAGTTTGGATAAAAATTGCACCAGTAGCTTATGCAGGAGTAGTCCGGACAAGCTTTGCGTATCTGGCAACACACAGAAAAAAACACCTTTTTATCAAAAGGCCATCTCAGCCAAAAATCAATTCAAACCCGGAAAACCCGTGCAATATGCGCAAGGACTTGAGCTACAGATCAATCCTGAAACTTCATTGAAATTGCATATAGTGGTATAAGAGAACTAGTCCGGACAAACTTAAAAAAATAAAATTATTAAAGGGCCATAACTCTGACAAAAATCTATTGAACCGGAAAATTTTGTGTCTTGACACAAACAGACTTTTACTGCATCCATTCCTGTAAAGTTTTGGATGAAATTGCACCAGTAGTTTATGAGGAGTAGGTCCGGAAACTATTGTGTATTGGCAACACACAGAAAAAAGACACCTTTTTATCAAGGGCCATAACTCTACCAAAAAATCATTCCAAACGGAAAACCCTTGCAAATATGCCAAGGGACTTGAGCTACAGATCAATCCTGATAAAGTTTCATTGAAATTGCATTAGTGGTTGGGTAGTCCGGACAAACTTTAAAATTAAAATTTTAAAGGCCATAACTCTGACAAAAATCTTAACGGAAAATGGGACAATATGCACAACTAGATTGCGGTACTGATCATTCCCTGTAAAGTTTGGATGAAATACCAGGTTTAGGGGGTAGTCCGGACAAGTTTTGTGACGGACGGACGGACAGACGGACAGACAGACAGACAGACAGACAGACGGACAGACAGACAGACGACGGAGAAGTGATCCCTATATGTCGCCACTACTCCGTAGAGGCGACACAAAAATCATATTGTGTTTTTCAATGACTTTATCAAAAACAAGATATATCACACTTAGTGTGATGAGTTCTCCCACCCTCAGCTTTCAACCATCAGGGACTTTACTTGACCTTTTCTTATTTCCTAATTCAAAAGCAATGATTAGCTCTTTTAGTATGGCTCCTTGTCATATTTGAATTATTCAGTATGAATATTTCTCAGTTGAGAAGGGACATAACTCCTAAAAATATTGGCCCTTGTATTACAACTGTTTACAGATAATCATATGTAGCAATTTTTATATTGACACCTGGTCTTACTGGAATTATAATTGTGCTTTGTCATGAAAATAAATACATTGAAAGTTTTATGTTGATAGATTTCATACTTACTTAATATACAATTTTTTTGACAAAATTCTAAGTTAACAAGAGGGCCATGATGGCCCTAAGGTCGCTCACCTGTATGTAGGCCCCCGGAGCGGGGCCAGTTTAAACACCAGGGCTTTTATTTGAACAAACTTGGAAGACACCTATAAGAAGACGTTTCATGATGTACACACTTATAATGAAAAACAATGATCTACCCTCCCCTACCCCCGGCAGGGCCAATTTTAACCCATGGGCTTTTATTTGAACAAACTTGGTAGACACCCATAAAAAGATGTTTCATGCTAAACATCTAAGCTGTAGCTCATTGTGTTTTTTTAAAGAGGATTTTTTAAGTTTTTACTATACACATATAGTTAAAAACAATGACACCCCTGGGACGGGGCCAGTTTTGACCCCAGGGCTTTTATTTGAACAAACTTTGTAGACACTTACATAGAACATGTTTCATGCTTAATATCTAAACTCTAGCTATTTGGGTTTTTTCAAAGATGTTTTTTAAGTTTTTCCTATACACATATAAGGAAAATCAATGTCCCCAGGGCAGGGCCAATTTTGACCCCAGGGCTTTTATTTGAACAAAACTTTGTAGACACTCACTAGAAGATGTTTCATGCTTAATATCTTAACTCTAGCTATTTAGGTTTTTTTCAAAAGATACTTTTTAAAGTTTTGATAAAGTACAACATATATAAGAAAATCAATGACCCCCGGGCCGGGCCAATTTTGACCCCAGGGCTCTTTTATTTGAACAAACTTGGTAGACACTCATTAGAACATGTTTCATGCTAAATATCTTAGCTCTTGCTCTTTGAGTTCTTTAAAGGGAGATTTTTTTTTTAAGTTTTTACTATATACATTGTACATATAGGGAAAATCAATGACCCCCTGGGGCGAGGGCCAATTTTGACCCCAAGGCTTTTTTTGAACAAACTTGTGTAGACACCCATTAGAAAAATGTTTCATGATAAATATCTTAGCTTTAGCTCTTTGAGTTCTTTAAAAGAAGATTTTTTAAGTTTTTACTATATACATATCGGGAAAATCAATTGACCCCCTGGGGCGGAGCCAATTTTTGACCCCAGGGCTTTTATTGAAACCAAACTTGGTAGAACACCCATTAGAACATGTTTCATGCTAAATTCTTAAGCTCTAGCTTCTTTTGGTTCTTTAAAAGATAATTTTTTAAGTTTTTTACTATATACATTATAGGGAAAATCAAATGAACCCCTGGGGCGGGGCAATTTTGGACCCCAGGGCTTTTATTTTGAACAAACTTGGTAGACAACCATTAGAACATGTTTCATGCTAAATATCTTAGCTCTAAGCTCCATGAGTTTTTAAAAGAAGATTTTTTTAAATTTTTACTATTTGCATATAGGGAAAATCAATGACCCCCTGGGGCGAGGCCAATTTTGACCCCAGGGCTTTTATTTGAACAAACTTGGTAGACACTCATTAGAAGATGTTTCATGCTAACTATCTTAGCTCTAGCTCTTTGGGTTCTTTAAAAAAAGATTTTTTAAGTTTTTACTATATGCATATAGGGAAAATCAATGACCCCCTGGGGCGGGACCAATTTTGACCCCAGGGCTTTTATTTGAACAAACTTGGTAGACACCCATTAGAACATGTTTCATGCTAAATATCTTAGCTCTAGCTCTTTGAGTTCTTTAAAAGAAGATTTTTTAAGTTTTTACTATATACAGTAAAAACTCTGAAAACCGGACCCTCTGAAAACCGGAATCCTCTGAAAACCGGACCATTTTAAAAGTCCCATATTTTCTCCTTATATGTTCACTGAAAAAAGATCCTCTGAATACCGGAACCTCTGAATTCCGAAAACCGGACAATTTCCTATGGTTTCTAATGCTAAACATGCATAAAAAATCATCTGAAAACCGGACAGCAATTTTAAGTGTCAACTTTCTGTGTATTTTAATGTAGATTAAACATAATCTCAACAGGTGACATGTTCAATTACCAATTAATGTCACATTCTTTTATCTATGCAGGTGTGAAAACACTTGTCAGTTTGTGTTAATTTCTTATTGGCAATTAAATTAAAGCTCTTTCATCGAAATTGTGTCTGACCCTGTATAGGCATGATTTTTCAAAATGTTTTAAATTTGTTCTTGTTTTTTTTGTTTTTTTTTAATATAAAATGTCTAGAATAAGTGGGAAACTTTTGTTTCCTGTTTTCCTTAAAAATTTTACCTTGAAGTTATCTTTGTTTTGATATTAATTATATGCAAAAATAGTAATACTAAATTCCATTAATTGCATATTTTAAAAGCCAATTAAGAAGATATATTTCAGACAAGGTGTTGTTTTAATTTCTGATTTTCAGAATTATATTTATGGATTTGCATAATAAAATTATTTACGGTATTTATTGCAAAAATAAATTAAAATATGACTAAGACAAAAGGGTTGAAAAGTAAATACAAAATCATTGAACAAAGTCATTGTTCAAACACATCATATTTATCAATAAATGTATAAAACCTCTGAAAACCGGAATCCTCTGAAAACCGGACTTTTGGTCAAGTCCGGATAGGGTCCGGTTTTCAGAGTTTTTACTGTACATATAGGGAAAATCAATCACCCCCTGGGGCGGGCCCAATTTTGACCCCATGGCTTTTATTTGAACAATCTTGGTAGACACTCACTAGAAGATGTTTCATGCCAAATATCTAAGCTCTAGCGCTTTCGGTTTTTTAAAAGAAGATATTTAAAGTATTTTCTTTTGGTTGCCATGGCAACCAGAGTTCTGCATGGAATTAAATTCTTTGAACAATTTTTAAAGGTGACCACCAAAGGAACATTCCTGTGAAGTTTGGATGAAATTGGCTCAGTGGTTTATGAGGAGATGTCATTCAAAGCAAAAGTTTACGGACGCCGGACGGACGGACGCCGGACGAAAAGTGATCACAAAAGCTCACCATGTCACTTTGTGACAGGTGAGCTAAAAAAGTTGTAGCAGCTGAATCAAAGAAATTCTTGCCTATAAAGGAGTTTCTTTCAGTTATGAGCTGGCAATTTGGAAAAATGAAGAAGCCTTCATCAAATTGTGAAGGTGCATTTATAAGGCCTTTTACATAAACGAAGATCCCTTCATCATATTGTGAAGGTGCATTTAAAAGGGGCCCCTTACAAAGTGAAATGGCCCTGAACTTTGCATAGTAATATTTCTTGGATCACCTACTTTTGGCTTTTTTAGCTGTGTATTCAGCCACTCTCTTTTTGGTCTCCTCATCTTCTTCACTATCTGTGTCACCAAACAAATCATCTCCAAAATCACTGTCATCATCCTTAGAGGCTGCTGGGGCAGCACCACCTGATCCATATGAATCCAGAGGTTTAGCTACACCTGGAAAACTGTTGTAACAAAAATAAGGTTAAATGCTTAAATATTTATAATTTATAGTAATGTTATTCTGTCCTGCAAGAGTTTAACAGTATCTCACCAATAACTGGCACCTAGGTAGAACCATTGACATTCTGTAACTTAACAATACTAATAATTATACTGGTTTCTTTATCAGTAATAGCCACTGCCTTCATACCATGAAAAAACAAACAACAATTAACAAAAGATGTTGCACTAACCAAAACAAGATATCTAACTTTTCAAAGTCATTATTAAATACAAGCCTATGCTAATCTAAACGAATGTCAGACATAATCCCCTTCGGACAAAATCCCCTTCGCCTATCCGGACAAAATCCCCTTCATGGGTGGACATCATAATCCCCTTCATGTGTTTGCAAGGCTGGACAAAATCCCCTTCACTACCCGGACAAATTCCCCTTGTTTCATAGGTTTCTAATCAGGGTTGCCAGCACTTTGGTGAAATAAAATTCCCTGACTTTTCCCTGACTTTTCACTGACCAATTCATGTTTTTCACTGACCAAAATCCTCAAACACATAAATGGCCCCCTGACCTCCCCTATAGCCGTCCAATCCTCCCATTATATTTTTGCATGTAAACTTGTATTTATTTTCCAAAATATAAAACATTTACATCAAAGTAATGATTCAAACATTGTGTTCTACTATTCTTAACTATTTCTATTCAAACGCAGTGTTACTTTTGGTCAGTGAAACATATGACATAAATCAGAAGAATCATAATGTAAGCATCTGTATTAGAAATCACATAAGTCACTCTTTCCTTCCTAGTAGTAACACATAAAACACCAAGACTATAAGAGTAATACTTGTATGACAAAACTTAAAATTCAAACATCTCTAAACTATAAGAACAATAAACATTTAACACAGTTACTTGTATAAGGCATCATGATAAACTCCACTGATTGTGAAAACAAGAACATAGGGCTGCTTTTGGCATATCATGAAATAATCGCTATAAAATTAAAGACTTTGAATGGGTGAAGTAAGTTAGAGTGAAAAAACAAGTTAGTGTGAAAAACATAGCATTGCATAATTTAACCAGTTTCCATCATGTTTGCAAGACAAATCCTCTTGTACAATTTCTTAGTGTCAAAGCAAAAAGCAAAGAAGGGCTTTTAATTACTAACAAAATCTAGTCAGTATACATGTATACCAAACTACCATATTGGCATATAACCTGCTTTCCTTTTTGCTTTGACACTAAGAAATTGTATAAGAGGATTTGTCTTGCAAACATGATGGAAACTGGTTAAATTATGCAACAGAAATTACATATTAGTCGGCTCTGGAGGCAAGGGCTGCAAAGCTTTTCAGTCTGTAGGCTGAATGATGTTCTAAGGTTAATAATGGGTATTATAATCACTAAGTTAACATATAATGCTTCTTAATATCACAGTTTACTGTTATTTGAATTTAATGCTTAACTGTGAGAGTGATAAAGTCAAATATTAAATGCTTAAAGACTGCCATAGCCAAGAAAGACCTTCAATGCGTAAATTTTTCGACCTTTGAAATAATTTTTCCCTGACTTTTCACTGACTTTTCAGGATTTTCATTTTTCACTGACTAAATTTCAAAATTCCCTGACAATTCCCTGACCTTGAAAAAATACCCAATTTCCCTGACTTTTCAAGTCCGCTGGCAACCCTGCTAATTATTATTATGCTCCATAAAAATTTATGAATAATGTATTACTATACTCCCTAAAAAATTGATGAATAATGAACTTTTGTTTTTTTATTTATAATTATGTATCAATAGTTAACCTTTATTTAGTTTAGAAGTTTTCATTAAAGTTATGGTAAATTATCAACTGCATAACACATATTTGATTAGGCAATTTCTTTAATTGTTTTAAATTGATTAGTATCAAAAACATTTTTTTTAGCCAATAATTGTTTCATTGATTGTATAAGTTGATAATTCTAATTGATACATACTGTCCATTGTTACAATTTCTATTGATGAATGAGTGATAATTTAATCAAACCAAGATCACTGTACTACTTGATTGATTGTTATGAATGCTTTAACAAAGCAATTTTAATGTGATTAAAATGTGCTAATTGAATGTGCTTTTCTGCTGAAATAATTTTTACTTATTTATACATTAAGATATTTACCACACAGCATAATGCAGTATGTCACTCTCTTACCCACTTTATAAACCGAGGGGGATTTTGTCCTAGGTAGCAATTTTATGAAGGGAATTTTGTCCACTTCAAAATTTCACACATGAAGGGGATTATGTCCACCCATGGAGGGGATTATGTCCAGATATACAAAAATGCATGAAGGGGATTTTGTCCGAAGGGGATTATGTCCGTACACCAATCTAAACTACTATTCAACAAAAGTGATGCACAAGAAAAATACTGGAAGCTAAACTTCATCCTCAGAAAGTCATATGCAAAGACTGCAACAATGTGAATTTTTTAGCGATTTAAATCTATTTTAATGAACAAAACAAAGGCAACTAAGACTGTAAGAGACACATTCCCAATTTGACTGGTATTCCAAATATAATAGGTGAAGACTAACTTAACTGTCACTGATTTTCCTATTTATATAACAGACTCAGAAAAAAGACATCTTCCCAATTGAAATTTTCTTTAAAATCCCATGTACTGTCAAGCCACAAAATAGTAACGATTGCAAACTCCAAAATGTAAACACATTGACAGTAAGTGGGATTTCTCTTTATTCTTGTGGAAATGGTTTTATGATTCAGACAGATGTCATATTAGTGTTCAAATGTTCAAAGTTTTTTTACTGATAGTTTACAGGGGCAGATCAAGCAGGGGGATAGAGTCTATGACCAATACCTTTTCATGTCATTTCCATATGAGTTGATCTGATTGTACCAGCGTAAAGCATTAAATAGGTCTGCTGATGGAGCTTTACCAAGTGCCTTGAAAACAACAACATCAGCCTGTGATGGTTGGAATCTGAAAAATACAACAACTACCATTGCTGCTAGTAAAACATTATCACAAATGAGTGACTAATATAATATTATGAGTAAAATAATATCACATAAAGGGAAATGTATGTCTATCATAAACAGTTAGGTACATTTCAAAATCTAAGGGTCAACAGTTTAAATGTGTTTTGTTTTTAAGATTTTTTTGTCAAAATAAAAAGCTCATGATATTAATTGCTAAACTTGTATTACTACCCACTAACACAGACACAAACTCATCACTTAAGGTAGCAATATAGCAGACATAAAGTTCTCTGATCTTCTGTTCAGTCCATATGCAGGCCTCAATGAATTTTTCTAGGGTCACTCTGTCAGGCGATTGACCCTTCAAATTTACTCGCCCTTCACTATTCACCAGTCTACATCGATATAATTGGCATACTTTTAACTTTAATCATCCATCACCATCAATGATGCAATCATTAAATACTGGTACAAATTATTCTAACAATTTTTGTTTGTTTTGCAGTTTTGGACTATCACTAACATTCATTCTGACAATTTTACCTTTCATGCATGTGCCTGTGAATGTAGATTTTTTGTGTGAATTACACACTGTATTGCATGAATGGGCATTCTGAGATCACAGGCTTTTCAATGGTATATAATAAATTTTAAAATTTGGCATTAAAGCAATATAGAAGTTTAAAAATGGCCAAAATTGTGTTGTTTAAGCATTACTGATATTGATTTTACTCAAAGATAAGGAAACAACTTGTATTTTTCACTTGATAAATTTTTATTTTCTTCATTTCATATTCTTAGATGTGCTTATGCTTATTTTTGCTACATGTCTGTCTTTAGCTAATATATAACTCTTTTACAGGAATGTACATTATTTATATATATCTGTTATTTCTTTTATCTTGCTTGTAATTATTGTAACTTTTAAGCATGCTATGGTGCTATAATATCTTAAATCCATGTATTTAGTAAGGGTGGTTTACCGGTATACGGATATATTGCAATATGAAAAAATAAATTTCGTACCGCGGTACGATCTTTTGAAAACCGGTATTTATAAAAATCATAATTTTCAATTAATTGCCTTCTAATTTTGTACAAATTTCACATAAAATCTTTAATTGGCGAATTTTGTTGGCGCCAACGTAAGATAAAAGTATCCGACAACTAGTACACTTAAAAGTCAATAAGCGGCCGCATAATTTACATAAGTGGCCCAGATGTGAAAGGTCACACGCGACTAGTTTTGTTTATCAAATTGTGTGACACTTTACTTTCTATTTATTCCTTACATATTTATTAAGTTTCTACTAAAAATATATACATATAATAATAATATATGAATGTTACTCCATCTTTACATCAAAACATATACACGACAATACGTATTGCAATATATTGCAATACGCTTCAGCAAAATGGCAATATATTGCAATACAGTTTTTGCTGTATTGTTACACCCCTAGTATTTAGATGTGCTTATGCTTATAATTTTTAGTTGCTTTAATATCTTAATTCCATGTACTTAAATGTGCTTATGCTTATATTTTTTTTATAGCTGCTTTACTGGCAATCTCCTAGATTAGACCCCTATGTATTTTTCAGTAGTAAAACTTGTATATAATACACTAAAGAAAACGGAATGAACCTGATACGGGGAAGTCAAAGACCGGGCCCGCAAAGCGGGTCCAGGCTTTGGCTTGCCCGGCTATAGACTACACGTGTATATTTAAAAGAAAATCAAATAAAAAACAATTAAACTAGAAATGTGTCATCATGCCACGGATGCCCCCGCATGCAGCCAAAATTTCAGATGTTATAATATTTAGTTCCAAATTTGTTTGCACAAATTATTGTTTTCATTTTAAGTTCAAAGCCCTTAAAACTTTTCAACGTTTACACAAACCATTTTCATACAATGTTCAAGGCACTGAAATTATTCAGTCTTAACCTTTTGAAAATAGCATATTTCATATTTGTAGCCAAAATAATGGCTACATACATTTCCACAAAAGTATGAGTGCTGAAACTGAAAGTTCAAATTTTTTCCAATATTCAAGAAAGATAAGTTTGTCCAAAATCATTGAACCATGACCAAATTCAAACTTAAACTGCATATTCCTAAGATGTATCTATATTATTTTTAAAGTGAAAGGGACATAACTCTGCCAAACAATCATCGAACCATGACCAAATTCCAACTTGACCTGCCCATTCCTTTGACATATCCATATGTCAAATTTTAGTTGAATGTGTTGTACCATTGGGGAGATAATGAACGGAAACTGAAAATTTCATATTATTTACAAAGTAAAAGGGGCATTACTCTGCCAAAAATCATTGAACCATGACCAAATTCAAACTTGGCCTGGGCATTCCAGAAACATATCCATATGTGAAATTTGAGTTGAATGTGTTGTACTGTTGGGGAGATAATAAACAGAAACTGAAAATTTCATATTATTTTCAAAGTAAAAGGAGCATAACTCTGCCAAAAAATCATCGAACCATGACCAAATTCAAACTTGACCTGTATTTTCTCATGACATATCCATATGTCAAATTTGAGTTGAATGTGTTGTACCGTTGGGGAGATAATGAACGGAAACTGAAAATTTCATATTATTTTCAAAGTAAAAGGGGCATAACTCTGCCAAAATCATCGAACTATGACCAAATTCGAACTTGACCTGTATTTTCTCATGACATATCCATATGTCAAATTTGATTTGAATGTGTTGTACCGTTGGGGAGATAATGAACGGAAACTGAAAATTTCATATTATTTTCAAAGTAAAAGGGGCATAACTCTGCCAAAAATCATCGAACCATGACCAAATTCAAACTTGACCTGTATTTTCTCATGACATATCCATATGTCAAATTTGATTTGAATGTGTTTGTACCGTTGGGGAGATAATGAACGGAAACTGAAAATTTCATATTATTTTCAAAGTAAAAGGGGCATAACTCTGCCAAAAATCATCGAACCATGACCAAATTCGAACTTGACCTGTATTTTCTCATGACATATCCATATGTCAAATTTGATTTGAATGTGTTGTACCGTTGGGGAGATAATGAACGGAAACTGAAAATTTCATATTATTTTCAAAGTAAAAGGGGCATAACTCTGCCAAAAATCATTGAACCATGACCAAATTCGAACTTGACCTGTATTTTCTCATGACATATCCATATGCCAAATTTGAGTTGAATATGTGCAACCATTACTAAGATAATGAACGGAAACTGATGATGACGGAATGACAGAATGACGGAATGACGGAAGGACGGAATGACGGAAGGACGGAACAGGGTAACACTATATGCCCCGGCCATTACATGGCGGGGGCATAAAAATATATAGAATTCTATACCTATCAATGAAATTTTCAGTGTCAGTTCTAGTCGGGCGCCGCCATTTACAATGTAACTCAATGAAAATAGGCGGGGTATTCCGATAACCGAACAAATCTCAACTTTTCGGATAAATAATAAACGTCGAGTGTTCCGAGTGAAAACGGAAGCGGTGCATGTAATACCGAATGACACCTTTAAAACGGAAAGAATAAAAGGAATTTCTAACGACTTCCCCGTGCATAGGCTTTGCCTAATTTCATATTATATACTCCTGGTTTAGACTAATCCAGGATATAGCTGCTTTACTTTTGTTTAGTTCATATACTATTGTTTGTCGGAAAAAAGCTCATGAGCCAATGTTTTCTGTTTATATGTATCCGACGTAAAATAAATTTTCTTGTATTTTGTATCTTGATATACCTTGGATCTGGTTATTAAATTGTTCATATGTTAATGGGGGTAGTAGGAAAAAAACTGTATGCCTGTTAAGCATATGGTCACTCAAAAAAGTGAGAAAAAGCTATGGTGTCAGTGTGTTATTCGAGTATTACCATACTATAAAATAATAAATTTTAACAATTAAGATGTGTATGGCACTGCCCTTTCCCTTAAACAATCGTGATACTAGTCTATACAGTGTACTGAAAATTTTGTTTAGAAATTCTTATCAAAATTGAAGTGTCCGAGTACTACTTCAACTTTGGGGTAGTTTATAGTTGTAACAACATTCTTAAGCTATTACCCTTCGATGTAACTACGATCTGCAAGGTAGCTGTTCAGAGCTTCTAGCCCAGATTTACTTTTAAGATCACCAAAACCCATTTTAAATGAAATTATTTCGCCGGTAATTGGACCAACGTGTTCTCCCAACCGGTGTCGTTGTAAAAAGGACCCAGCTATGAAAAAAAACTTTGGATTATATGCTGTCTCACTAAAAGGCGTCTCCGAAACAAAGAAATCTGGCTTTGCCTGACATATAAAACGTCAGAAAGTTCTATTTTGGATTTTATAGAAGTTGTTTTGTAATAATCGTTACCATTCTAGATAAGTGTTTATCAAAGTTTTATGAATAAAAAAACGTCCAACATTTTACCTTCTCCTTCTTCTGAGCATTTAAGCCAAGATGGCTTGTATATAATTAAGCTCCTCCTACACAGTATTATCAAAGATAACTTAAGTAAATGTCACTTGCATTAAATCTTTAACTTTGCCAGCTCCGGTCGAGTAAAGTTTTAGATGTCAAAACACTTTCACTTAGAACAATGTTTTTATCTAAATTATTCCACTGGTCAATGCATCTAATAGGAAATGAATTTTGCCTTAGTGTTTTATTCACACTTGGTTTAAATAGCTGGAATATATATGTCCGCGTGTACAGTTATCATTGAACACAAAAAATTTATCCGGGTCAACATTATCAAACCCATTAACTACTTTATAAATTTGAATGAGGTGAAATCGTTGTCTATGATACATGTATAAACGAAAGTGCACACTTTCCATATAGGTTCCAACAGGGTCTTTCAATTTGAAAGACCCTGGTTCCAATCAAAATGGTTATTAACAAGTATAATTTTTTAACTGTTACGTGTTGTTTTGTATTGCTGAAACTAGTCACTTACTATTAATTTAATAGTTGTTGATAATAAATTGTTTCTTGTATTGTTCTTTGTCTTGCTTTTTAACCGTTCAAATTTAAAAAATGCTTGTTAATAATAAGCAGATAAAAATCTGTTTCAGTGTTCGTGTACTATGTTTTGATTAATAAAGTTTATGTTATGTTCTATTTGTTTTGAACACTTCTATTTTAGCCTCATTCAATTACAAAATCATAATTTAATTATTCAATCAATTCTCTCATTCTTTTTATTCATTCATTTTTTAAATGCTATTAAAATTCTGGCATAAAACACGTAAAGTAAGACATATTCTTAACTTAATATGGGGCCTATTTGGTAAAGGCCCGAAACGTCCAGGGCCGAAACGTCTTGGGGTAATTTGAGGCCGATACGTCTTGGGGCCGAAATGACTCGAAATCGTACATATATCCCTATGTAAAATATCGATAGTTCATGATAACAATATTGTGCAGTGTTTCTCGTAATATACATGTAGTTTGCATATACGTACACAATTATATATTATTCTATTGAAAACAGAAAAATATGCCTATTATTCTCGACCAGAGACCTTGAAGATTTGATTTTTGATAATAGACGGTCAAATAAGACGCCACTCTTTTGGCGTTATGATATAGTTTGTTTTGATTATTATTACCAGGTTATTATAACTTTCTATTGACCATAAATTGCAACAGGGAGAAATAGACAGTCATAGGTTATCAGACTGTATATGTATTTTACCGATTAATAGTAACATGGTGGTAAAATATTGTATAGAACATTATTTAACGGGCTAGCTCTTGTTTTTCTAATTTCCAAGGGATGCCAGTTCAGGTTATTTATCATACTAGGGACAGAACCTGTATTGTTAAATCGGTAAGTGGCAAAAGCTGAAGCTCTTTGATAAGCTTATCTGATTTTTTAGCTCACCTGTCACAAAGTGACAGGGTGAGCTTTTGTGATCGCTTTTCGTCCGGCGTCCGTCCGTCCGTCGTCCGTCCGTAAACTTTTACTTTAAATGACATCTCCTCATAAACCACTAAGCCAGTTTCATCCAAACTTCACAGGAATGTTCCTTTGGTGGTCACCTTTAAAAATTGTTCAAAGAATTTAATTCCATGCGGAACTCTGGTTGCCATGGCAACCGAAAGAAAAAACTTTAAATATCTTCTTTTAAAAAACCATAAGAGTTACAGCTTAGATATTTGGCATGAAACATCTTCTAGTGAGTGTCTACCAAGTTTGTTCAAATAAAAGCCCTGGGGTCAAAATTGGCCCCGCCCCGGGGGGACATTGATTTTCCCTATATGCATATAGTAAAAACTTAAAAACTTCTTTTAAAGAACCCAAAGAGCTAGAGCTAAGATATTTAGCATGAAACATGTTCTAATGAGTGTCTACCAAGATTGTTCAAATAAAAGCCCTGGGGTCAAAATTGGCCCTGCCCCGGGGGGTCATTGATTTTCCCTATATGCATATAGTAAAATCTTAAAAATCTTCTTTTAAAGAACTCAAAGAGCTATGGCTAAGATATTGAGCATCAAACATGTTCTAATAGGTGTCTACCAAGTTTGTTCAAATAAAAGCCCTGGGGTCAAAATTGGCCCGGCCCCAGGGGGTCATTGATTTTCCCTATATGTATATAGTAAAAACTTAAAAAATCTTCTTTAAGAGAACCAAAAGAGTTAGAGCTAAGATATTTAGCATGAAACATGTTCTAATAAGTGTCTACCAAGTTTGTTCAAATAAAAGCCCTGGGGTCAAAATTGGCCCCGCCCCGGGGGGTCATTGATTTTCCCTATATGCATATAGTAAAAACTTAAAAAATCTTCTTTTAAAGAACTCAAAGAGCTATGGCTAAGATATTTAGCATCAAACATGTTCTAATAGGTGTCTACCAAGTTTGTTCAAATAAAAGCCCTGGGGTCAAAATTGGCACCGCCCCAGGGGTCATTGATTTTCCTTATATGTGTACAGCAAAAACTTAAAAAATCTTCTTTGAAAAAACCCAAATAGCTAGAGTTAAGATATTAAGCATGAAACATCTTTTAGTGAGTGTCTACAAAGTTTTTTCAAATAAAAGACCTGGGGTCAAAATTGGTCCGCCCCGGGGGTCATTGATTTTCTTTATATGTGTATAGCAAAAACTTAAAAATCTTCTTTGAAAAAACCCAAATAGCTAGAGTTTAGATATTAAGCATGAAACATCTTCTAGTAAGTGTCTACAAAGTTTGTTCAAATAAAAGCCCTGGGGTCAAAACTGGCCCGGCCCTAGTGGTGTCATTGTTTTTAACTATATGGGTATAGTAAAAACTTTAAAAAAAATCTTCTTTCAAAAAGCCCAATGAGCTAGAGCTTAGATGTTTAGCATGAAACATCTTCTTATGGGTGTCTACCAAGTTTGTGCAAATAAAAGCCTGAGCGACCTCAGGGCCATCATGGCCCTCTTGTTTATTATTGGGAACCCAGGCAGAATTTAATTTTGATCTTATAAAAGTGAATTGATCTCCAATACAAGTCCACATATCACCCGGAAGTATTTTCGATGTTGATAAAACAAATATTTAAAAAATAACCAAATGTTGATAGAATGCTATGTGAGTTAGTATGAACATTAATATAATTATGAATAATGAAAATACTTTGTTCCATCATGAGCTATAAAAAATGTCAAATCGGATTATTTATGACACACACACACCTACAGCATCCATATATAATTAAAAGAAAATCAAGATATCAACTTTGAATTAATCTGATAGTATGCTGATGTATATTTATATCAAGAACATTAAAAATGATATGAATATTTAAGAGATTTTTTTGGTTAAGTACTGTACTGTAAATGCAAAAATATTGAAAGATGGTTATTATAATCTTATAGCTATAACTTTCCAGTTCGGGGAGGGGGATGTTCACATGATTCGCATGAAAAAAAATGATATGAAAATTTAAAAGTTTTTTTTTGTTTAATGGACCCCATTGGAAATAAGCTTTTAGCTTAATGGGCAATCCTAGGGTAACATAGAACTTACTCATTAATTAATCTTATAATTATTTTTGTTGCATTTATGTGTGTGTTTTTATATATATGCAAGTTGATATATGTGATAACATTGTATGTGTTTAATATTATTGTTTATTCCCTGAATAAATCGATACGAAATGCTAAAATTTTGAAAGATGGTAATTATCATCTTTTCGCGAATTTTAAACATTTTTCGTTTAAAAGTAGTACGGTGTTAGGGTAAAAAAATACTTCCGGTAAAATAGGGTGAAGGTGATTTCTTTTATTTTTCCAAACATACCGTTTTCCTGACCTTGCCATTGCATAATTTTAAAGCAAATTTGATAAACATTTAATTCATGCATGAATGTGTTGCCAAAACTGATTGCTTATTCGTATTGTATGATTTCTATAAAAATGCATTACCCCACCCTGTTCTTAAGTTATCCTGTTGATGTAAGGCATTTGGTTTGCTAGATTATATAAGAATTCTCTAGTGCGCAGAACCTTTTGCAGGTATTATACTTTACTCAAATTATTTCTATGTGAAGACCTGCGGCTGTTTTTGAATAAGCATGCTATTAGCTGTGAATCAAAAGAATCCGGGTCAACTCGGCCCTAAAACGTACTCCCCCCCCCCCCCCCCCCCCCGAATCAGCTCGGCCCTATTCCAACTCGGCACGGGTCAACTTGGCCCACTTGTAAAGTGGGTAAAAGACATTAAAGGACTTCTATTGTCACTGTAGTATCATCGTACATGATAAACTTGAGCTGACCTATATGTATAATGCTTGTTTGCTCATGCTCCGTATTTCTAGTAATTCTAAGATCACATGTTAAGGGTTTACAGAATAAATTTATATCTTGTGCTGAACACTCGTCGTGTTTTACTTTACTTCATTGTATCATCGCTCTTGGTTTAATTTCTATTAATTATTGTTCATAATAAACGAACATTACAACATGGTGTCAGAGTAAAAACGTTTAATAAATAACCTGGACATACGATAAAAAAAAATTGGAATATTTGTCTAAACAAAATAAAGTTACACAATTAAATTAATATTTGGAAACAAAATGGAATTATCTGGATTGTCAGTGCCCCAAATGGACTGGGAATCTTCAAATTTACCTGAAGCTTACAATAAATTTGAACGTCATGCAAAACTAATGTTTACAGGACCTTTGAAGAAAAAGTCTGAAGAAGAACAAGTTTCTTACTTTCTATTATGGATTGGTGATAAAGGGCGGGATATCCACTGCACGTGGAAAGATATTTCTGAAGACGATGCCAAAAAGATCGACACGTTCTACAGAAAATTCAGAACTTATGTGCAACCTAAGCTCAATCCAATATTTGCTAGGTATAAATTCTACAACCAAACACAGGGAGAAGAAACCATCGATTCGTTCTTGACAAAATTACAAATCTGTGCACGAGACTGCAGTTTTGCAAACACAGACGAAATGATACGGGACCGTATTGTATTTGGCACAAATTCTTCTAAGGTTCGAGAAAAGCTAATCAACGAAGGTGCAGAATTGACCTTAGATAAAGCTGTACAAATCGCTCAAAATATGGAATATTCCAAACAGCAATTGAGTTCAATGGCATCTGCGGCTGACAAGGACGTTCACCACGTGGCGAGGCCTAGGAAACGTTTAGTCCAAAGGCGGGAAAAGCCACAATACAGTGAAGAGAAAATGACCTGTTCTAGATGCGGGACCACACATCAAGAGGGAAAAACGTGTCCAGCCAAGGGAAAAACGTGCAGAAAATGTGGCAAACTGAATCATTTCCAGAAAATGTGTAAATCACGTAATACTGTGAACAATATAAATTGTGAGTCGGACTTATCGAGTGACGATCAGGATTTCTATGTATGCACGGTAAATGATTTCAATACTTCTCGACCTGATTGCGCAATGGTTAAACTCAAAATTGGCCGAAAGTCCGCCCCTGTAAATTTCAAAATAGATACAGGTTCTCAATGTAACTTAATACCTCAGGAAATGCTCAAGAAACTAGATTTCAAAGGCCCCTTGCTACCCTCTGATGATAGGTTATCTTCCTACACTAAAGATCCTATCCCAGTTTATGGAAAGGTCAACTTACCCTGTAAGTTCAAGGATAAGGAAATCATTGCATGTTTTCATGTGGTAGGCAGTAAATCTCCAGCATTATTAAGCTTACAGACTTCAATAGATCTGAGATTGATAAAACTGACCTATGCTATAGAAAAACAACCAGTCACGTTAGATAAACAAAAAATCTTGACTGATTACAATGACGTATTTAAAGGCATTGGTTTATTCCCAGGTACATGCAGTTTACATTTAAAACCAGAGGCTATACCTGTAATATGTCCACCCAGACGTGTACCTGTAGCTTTACAGGACCGTTTAAAAAATGAGTTGAAGTCTATGGAGGATAAAGGAATTATCCAAAAGGTTACTAGACCGACTGACTGGGTCAATTCATTAGTCTGTGTGGAAAAACCCAGCACTGGAAAGCTGAGGGTGTGCTTAGATCCTAAAGCACTAAATGACAGTATCATGAGACCGCACTATCCTATGAGGACTATAGAAGACGTGACAAATCAATTGGCAGGTGCTAAGTACTTCAGTGTATTAGACGCAACGAAAGGTTATTGGTCGATAAAATTGACGGACGAATCCTCATATTTGACGACATTTAATAGTCCCTTCGGTAGATATCGATATTTGCGGCTTCCTATGGGTATCAAAAGTTCCCAAGACATATTTTGTCAAAAAATCGACGAATTTTTCGAGGACGTGACGGGCGTGACGTCAATAGTTGACGATCTTCTTGTGTACGGACAGACTATCGAAGAGCACGATGCAAACCTGACACGTGTTTTGGACCGAGCACGTGAAAAGGGTATTAGGTTTAACCCAGACAAATGTGTAATCGGCTCTCGGGAAGTTAAATACTTTGGTCACGTACTGACAGCTGACGGTCTTAAGCCCGATCCCGAAAAAATCAGGGCAATTGTAGAAATGAAAGCCCCAGAAAATAAGTCAGAGTTAGAAACTATCCTTGGCATGATCACGTATCTGTCAAAATTTGATTCAAAATTGGCAGAAATGGTAAGCCCTATGCGTGACTTGTTGAAAAAAGACATTGAGTTTATATGGGACAGTGCGCAAATTGACGCCTTTGAAAAGGTTAAAGTCGCAATGACTAAGGCACCAGTCTTGGCATACTGGGGGTTGCGTTCATTGAACGCCGCCTTTCCTTGTTGATCTTGTTTTTCATATTTTTTGGCATACTATGCCAGAAAAAGCCTGTCACATTGCAAGTCGACTCGAGGACACGTGGTTTAGGTTGCACGTGCTTACAGGACGGCAAGCCCATTGCATTTGCATCAAAGACATTGACCCCTACAGAGAGAGGTTATGCTCAAATAGAAAAAGAGACATTAGCTATATTTCATGGTCTTCGACGTTTCAAGCAATACTGTTACGCAGACATACTAAAGTTGAATCTGATTGCAAACCTGTAGTTTCAGTTATGAAAAAAGAAATATGTCGGGCGACCCCCAGACTACAACGTCTCTTATTACAGATTCAACAGTTCGACATAGAGGTCGTACATGTTAGCGGGAAAAGCATTCCCGTAGCGGATACATTATCCCGTCATTTTGTCAAGGACACGTATCCAGAATTGTCTGACGGACTTGCACACGGTTATTAATAGTTTACCGGTTAGCGACGGAAAATTACAAGACCTCAGACTTTCCACACAGCAAGACATTCAGTTTCAGACACTGAAACAAACAATTATTGACGGCTGGCCTGAATCTAGGCATGAGTGCCCGAATTCCATATTAGAATTTTGGAATCATCGGGATGAACTCTCGACTGTAAATGACATAATTTTCCGCGGTCAAACATTGGTCATTCCAAGTTCGTTGCGAACTGAAATGATTAACGCTGTTCATGTAGGTCATATGGGAGTGACTAAAACGCTGAACAGGGCCAAGGATATTATGTTCTGGCCAGGCATGGTCAAACAGGTCACAGACCACGTGTTAGCATGCCCTTTATGCCTAACACACAGAGCATCAAATGTGAAGGAACCATTAAATCCCCACATTGTGCCCCAAAGACCCTGGCAACATATTGCCGCCGACTTATTCACGCTTGACGGACGTGATTACCTTATAACTGCGGACGTCTACAGTAATTACTTTGAAGTCGATGCATTGCCAGAAACAAAAGTTAAACTGTTATTAGAAAATTAACAAATCTGCTCGCTATGGTTAAGTAGAAACATTGAAAAAGCGATAACGGACAACAGTTTAGCTCAGAAGATTTTCAAAAATTTGCTTCTGACTGGAATTTTAAACATGTAACATCTTCACCTGGATATAGCCAATCCAATGGTTTCATAGAAAAAATGGTCTCAATAGCAAAAAAATCAATGAAAAAATGCCACAAGACCAAAACAGACCCATATTTAGCATTTCTGGAATATCGTAACACACCTTTAAACTGCGGATATTCTCCCGCACAACTGTTAATGGGCAGACGGTTAAAATCCATTTTGCCTACAACTAATGAGCAATTGAAACCATCTTTCATTAACCACAAATCTGTAAGAAAATCTCTGCAAGAAAACAAGGTTACGCAAAAGAACTATTATGATAAAAGTTCGAGGTCACTTCCCCCGCTAAACAAAGATGACTCTTGCAGGGTACAATTTGCGAAAACTTGGAAACCAGCCATAGTTCTAAAAAAAGAAGGGGAGAGATCATACAAAGTGCAAACTGAAGACGGCGCTATTTACCGCCGTAATCGCCGCTTCATAAACAAAACGCGGGAAAAGTTCCCTATCAATACAGAGTCCTTCCCTAATATCCTCCACCAAGGTCAAGATCCTCATGATATAATCTCAAACAAAGCACCTTTAAATGATACAGGTATTTCCCAGAATATTCAAAATCCTATTAGCCATGAAACAAGGTCAGGCACAGGTTATCAGACGCGCAGTGGTCGAGTAGTAAAACCTAATAAACGTTACAATACCGATGAATGGAGCACTGTTAATTAATCATCCGGAATTGATAGACATTATAATCTAAAAAAAAAGAGAGAGAGAACAGAAATAAAATAATAGTAATAATAAAAAAAAACAACAAAAAACTTTGTGACTTTAAGACTATTTAAATTGTTCTCTTCAGTATGTATATGCATTTTTAATCATCATAATTGTTTATTATCATATACAATGTTATTAACATGTGTTGCTTATTTTTTCTTTTAAAAACAGGGAGATGTAGTATCATCGTACATGATGAACTTGAGCTGACCTATATGTATAATGCTTGTTTGCGCATGCTCCGTATTTCTAGTAATTCTAAGATCACATGTTAAGGGTTTACAGGATAAATTTATATCTTGTGCTGAACACTCGTCGTGTTTTACTTTACTTCATTGTGTCAACGCACTTGGTATTATTTCTATTAATTATTGTTCATAATAAACGAACATTACAACAGTCACGGGCTATTATAATCCAGCGTTTTTTTTCTCTACTTTGGGAATGGTGCCGGAACCAGACTGATTGGGAAAAAATGCGTTATTAAATAATTTCTTATTTTGACTAAAAAGTAAAATTGGGAATTTTTTTAATGCATTTTTTCAGCTACAAATGAGATAAGAAATCATGAATAAAGATAGCTAACAGCTTCTACTGTCTAGATAGAACTATTGAGTGGTGATTTATATGAATATGTTGGATTTAAATGATTTTAGAAAAATCACTTTGCCGTGTGGGCATTTTGAACAGTCATTTTGGGAATTTAACATTGGAAATTGGGAATTTAAATGTCTATTTTCTATTGGGAATGGTACCGTTTTAGGGTAGTAGTTATATAAAGAAAAAAAAACACTAATCAGTCAATGTGTATGTTAAGGATACCGATTAATTAAGTGATAATTATGATTGACTCATTCATTCAAATTTGATTAGTGACCACCTGCAATTAATTAGAAGCTTATGATATTAAGTAAACACGTTTTTGTTTCATTTTTTTTTTTAATATTACTTAACAAACAAAATGCAGCTAAGGAAACACATTTTTATTTTATCAAATAATATTAATTTATCGAATCTGCAAGACAATCAATTAATTGTGCGACGTACTCCAGAGGGGCCCAGCACATTACCCAGAAGAAGAAGAAGACAAATAAATAACTTTTTTTTCTAAATATACTTTATTTCGGCAGAAGTACAATGTATAATTATATAATAATAAGATATTTCTTATTATTCATTTACCTTAACAACATGCAAAGCAAAGTTAATACGTTATATATATTTTTGTAAAGTGGGCCGAGTTGACCCGTGCCGTGTTGACCCGTGCCGAGTTGGTATAGGGCCAAGTTGACTTTTCCGAATCAAAATACATTTGAAAATAAAATCTGCTTTATAAGTTTAATATGAAAAAGGCAAAGCCTCAAAGCGAGCTTGATTTGCTTTTACCATGAAATAGTATAAAATAACCGTTTTAAAATTGTCATTTAGTATATTATACACTGCTTCCGTTTATTCTGGTTCCCTGTCCTATTATGGTTCCTTTATAAGTGCGCTGGACACCAGTCTACGCTTCTGTTTTCAGTCAGAATACCTCGGCTTTCATCGTTATCTTGTAATTCGAAAAGTTGCAACGTGTCAAATCATTACTTCTGATAAAAGTTTTCAAAACCATCACTATCTAGCAGGTACTCGCGTTTCCGTAAAGCTTTTTGCAAGCAGGCCCTTCGGGCCAGCTCTTCGAGCTCACTATAAATATATCTAGGTATTTTTTTGTTGAAACAAAAAAGGATTATTATCACAATTTTGTAAACTATTTCAATTGATGTTACTCAACTGCAACCAAAAGTTCAATATTTTTTTTCTCACCATCTGGAGATGACAAAGATCGATATTCATTCTTTCTTTAATATAGCCAACATAGCGATAAATCTCTAAAAAGTAAACAAAAAAACTAAACATACGTAGCCAATTGTTTCTTGGTTAAAAACCTCTCTTAAAGTCATAAAATAACATATGCATTTTTGACATCCATGACTCGCAGATGGTGAGAACTTTTCGCTAGCCGTACGGCTAGCCATTTCAAAGATATAAAAAATTACATACAGTTGTTAGGGCTGTAACGAACGTCCGAACTCTCGGTACATTGCGAATTTGTCATGAATTTCAAAACAGTCAAATTTAGCACTGACCCGGTGGCCCATGGCCAGTGAAAATTAGTTCGGGCCAGTGAAAATTTTAAGAAAATTTAGTTAAATATATAGAAGAATAAATTCAAAACTGGAATTTGGGCTAGCAAATTCAAAATCTTAAATTCATTGACTGCGGACATGAATATATATGTGCCTTTGTATCGCCAGATTCTCTTTTTTTGTAATCATAACTGGAAGAAATATTCTGATATAGATAATGACTTTAATCCTATATTACTAAGCTTATAAAAAATACCTATTAAAAATAATCAGCATATTTTCATATCGGATCCGAATATTAAATATCATGTAATGGTATACTTTGATGTTACAATTACAAAACATGAGTTTTCACTAAAATTACAATTTCAAGCAACTTATTTAATTCAAGTAGCTATAGTAAAGAAATGAAAGTGCTCTGTAATTCCTTGATCATGTTGCCATGGTGATTGCCGTTTTGCAAATGTTACTTTTATCATGTTTTTTTTTTTAATTTAGAAATATGTAGCAAGTAAACACTATAGCAAAATATTCAATCATTATTGATATGACTGCTTATAATAATTTTATAGCCTTGTCTACAGGCCTCATATTTGGTATATATAGCATTACCTGATAGTCCTCGACAAAAGACGAATGAATCATGGCCAATGGTACAAATTGGTCGCAACTGTCAAGGATGTTCTAATCAATTTTATTGTTTTACAGGCAAACATGTTGAGGCTGTGGTCATCAGCCCGTGGGTTTAAGACTAAACAGGTTCTTGCATCACTAGGTAATAAACATGTGTTGTAATTATAAAGATATAGGATTTCAAGTGTCAGATTAAGATTTAATTGATAGAAAATGGCACTTGCAATATACATGTTATAATAATTATTTGTATGTTTCTTGCAAGTGTCATTTTAAGATTAAAAACCTTGTAAAGACAAAAAAAAAGAAGATGAACTGAAGAATTTAGCACTGAGTAGACTTTTCATTGCTGTCTAAATGAAACACATGATGTTATTATAATTTTTTATTTTGCTGAATATTGCACTATAACTTGAATTTTGATTTTTCAAAATATTTTTTTTTTTTTTTTTCAATTTTAATAATATTTATTTTCTTTTTCTTTGGTAAAGTTATTGCATAACACTGACTAATAAAATTAGTATTAATGTGGATACAACTTTTTAAACACATTAATTATTATTATTATATTTAGAACTTGAGTTGAGAAATTAACAGTTATCTTGATTCTGATTTAAGCACGATGTAACTCGACAGCCCCGCCAGAAAAGGTTGAAGTATTTGTTGATGATAAACCTGTGCTGGTAGAACCAGGAAGCACACTCCTTCAGGTTTGTTTAGTTTTGTAAACAAAGTGCCATCGTTAAGTTAGATTTTAAGGTGATGAAGGGAGAGGAATGCATTGTGATTTATGACTTATGATGATGCTAAACCTGAACCTGTTAATGGAAAGAGTTTAGCCTTTGTCACCAGTATAGAGCACATCTGTGCAGGGTCTAGGGAAATTATATACCTGTATGTAGGAGGAAACTTTGAATTTGTCTGAAATTGTTGAAATCTGTAAATTGTATGATTGATCTCAATAAGCTAATTCATGCCTGTAATAATACATGCAGTTAATTCATGTGTAAATTATGTTCCAGTTAAGCTTACAATGTTACATTAAACCACACTTAATATCTTATATGAACTTGTTCATCTTTCACTCTGGACAGAACCATTCATCAGCTTTAGGGAAATTTTCAAAATATGTCTAATTGAATAGTCAACTGTGCAGAATGGCACACAGATGTGCTGGCTAATTTGTTGTCTGCACTGGCCGTACAGGTAGAATCAGTTGCCACCAGCTGACTAAGGATTTATAGTTTCTGAAATAGTGTATGAATGGCACCTAGTTTCTACCTGCAAGATAAGCTGGAAAGTCAGTAATAGTCTTATGGTCTAATGTTAACAATGTCTGTACCATTTTACCATTACCAAATCAAAGATCTGAATAGTGTCTTCAATGTAAAACCGTATCAAATTGACACAAAAATAAATAAAAAAAAAATAGTTTTATATTAAATTAGTACATTTATATATTCTCTCATTGGCCAGAATAACTAGACTTATATCATAAACCACAGAGTGCAATAAAGCCATGTAATAAAAACAATATTACATTGATGTTATAACTAATATTACAAACACCATAAAAGCATCCTAGTGGTTAAGGTCGTTGATTTCAAACCACTTGCTCCTCACCGCTGTGGGTTCGAACTTTGGATTCTTTCATTTGCGTAAGCTATCCAGCTGGCTTAAAGAATGTCGGTGGTTCTACTCGAGTGCCCATTCGTGCCTGAAAAAATGCACGGAAATGCACCGGAGGTCTTCCTCAACCAGTAAAGCTGGAATGTGGCCATATGACCTATACTGTATCAGTGTGACATGAAACGCAATCAAACAAACAAAAGCATGCTTATGTTAGTGTTGTACTTTAGGCGCATTGGTGAAAAATGACTCCGTATAACTCCTGTAAAAAGAATATTATGTTTGTGTAGATTCAATGCTAAATTTATTGTACTCATTGAATATACCAGAGGCTCCCATAATATGATTTCATTCAATAAATTTAATATGAAATCTACACTCATTCAGTATTCTCTTTGTATATAAATGTTTGTGTATAAACTTGCAGGCATGTGCAGAGGCAGGAGTAGAAATACCAAGATTCTGCTATCATGAACGTTTATCTATTGCTGGTAACTGCAGAATGTGTCTGGTAGAGGTTGAGAGGTCTCCAAAGGTATAGTGCTGTTATTATTATAATTGTTCTTATATAAGTTTGATGGGTTATACCTTAACCACTAAGCCTGTAATGCTCTATTAAGTTTTATGTTTGCAGTACAGTTAGTTAATTTAGCCTCCTGATGTTAGTATCAAAATTTCAGATGAATTGTTTTTAGGACAAGGAATTTTTTCATGTTATATGACTTTTGTGAAGTTGCCAGGTATTTAAATGGCTATTATTAGCAAAAACATAAATAATAACAAAACCTGTTCCAGTAGAATAAGATGATATATCCATGATTTTTGAATAAAAGAAATTGTACATACTGTTTTAAAATATGCTTTTGGTGGTAAATGCAGAATTATATGACACAAAAATAATTAGCATCATTAAATTTCAGCCAATCGCATCATGTGCTATGCCAGTGATGAAAGGAATGAAAATTAAAACAGACTCTCCAATGACCAAAAAGGCCAGGTAAATATAACTATAAATATTAATTACAAAATGGTTTTGTTTGTACTTATCAAAGTTAAATGTCTCTTTTTGATAGTATTCAAACAACATTCCATGCAAACAGATGTATCTTTATGAATATGTTTATTTTTATTGCAATTTGACTATACTTGTATACATATATTATCAAACTATATTTCTGACTCTTTGATATTTATAATAATTATTACCATTTTCATTATTTTGTTCTGTTATAATTGAAGTTGATTGTCATTTTATTACATGCAAAATACATCACTATATGTTTTTGACTGTCATGTTTTTATTATGGGCCTAAGACATTACAAATTAACTAGTTGAATTTGATTGAAGTTTTGAACTTTGAATATTATGAGTAAGCTATCCAGTTTTGAAACACACAGTTGACTGTTTTACCCCTGAGTCCCCTTATGTTTGAAATAATATCATAACATTTGTTCATACTGGTTAACAATACTTCTCGGCTAATTGTAACTTGTAACACTTTACACTATACAGAATATGATTTGACTATAAATTGTATGTTTACAATTTTATGTTAAATAAAATTTATGTTATGTTATGTTATGTTTGAAATAATGTACAAATGGACATTTGAGGCCTGTGTCATTTAGTAAAACTTGAAAGTCCACATATAATTTTGATGTTGTTGATGGGACTTAAACCCCCTCCCCCAAACCCAAAAAGTAAAACAAACAAAAACAGTCTGTCAGTTAAGTAGTAGAACATTCATTTTTATATTGTGTGTGTATTTCAGGGAAGGTGTGATGGAGTTTTTACTGATGAATCACCCCCTGGACTGTCCCATCTGTGATCAGGGAGGAGAATGTGATTTACAGGATCAATCTATGGCATTTGGCAGTGATAGAAGTCGTTTTACAGATATGGATCATGGTGGCAAAAGGTTATTATTGAAATATTTTAATTGTACAAAAAATATGATTCAGTTGAATTAAATTGATAATAATAAGTTGAGTAAATGCTTTTCTATGATGAAGAACTTGAAAAAGCAAAACACAAGTAGCTTTTTAGGTACAGTCTGTCACAATTACAAAATCTAAGCAAGATACCAATGAAAACTTCATTGTAGAAATTCAAGGAAGAACACTCTTTGAAGTCTTACAACTAGAAATGATTATAAATTATCCATATTTATACTAACATAAAACCATGTCTGCTTTAATTACTATTCAGACTGATTAGATTAAATACTGTTGGTACTTAATTTTTAATATTTTCATATCAGATCAGAATCTATAACATTAATAATGGACTGTTGCAGTGTTAAGATAAGATTGCCCCTTAATACATATTAAATGAAAGGCTGTTTTGAATAGTTAAAGTATTGTTATTAGAGATTTATCTATTATAGGGCTGTAGAAGACAAGAATGTTGATGTATTGTTATAAGAGATTTGTCTATTTGTAGGGCTGTAGAAGACAAGAATGTTGATGTATTGTTATAAGAGATTTGTCTATTTGTAGGGCTGTAGAAGACAAGAATGTTGATGTATTGTTATAAGAGATTTGTCTATTGTAGGGCTTTAGAAGACAAGAATGTTGATGTATTGTTATTAGAGATTTGTCTATTTGTAGGGCTGTAGAAGACAAGAATGTTGGTCCACTGGTGAAGACTATCATGACTAGATGTATACATTGTACCAGATGTATTAGGTATACATTATGATATCATTATTCTTGTTATGTTTCAATGAAATACTTGCATTTATCAGTGAGAAATGATTTATATCAAGATATGATTTCAGTCTGTGAAATTAGGGTTTAAAAATTTTTGTCATTCAGGCAACCAATTCAAGACAATCTGGTTGCCTGAATATTTTCATCGGAACAAGCAATTATTGATCAAATCTGCAAACTTATCTTCAATGAGAAACAGTCATAATGTAAGCAAACTAATTGTATTTGATATCTTGCATTTTATCACTATTCGTTGACATTTTGATGAATACTTTCTGCAAATTTTTTACTTGTCCATCGGGCAAGTAAACTTTAAAAAATTGGTTTTCCGTACCAAAGAATGGTTGTCTTGGGCAATAGGACAACTGCTAATTTCGCAGACTGTGATTTATATCATTCACTGTGAAACTACTATTTTTGATAAAACTGTAAAAAGCTTATGTTTTTATTTTTAGCTAGTAATTTCTTTAATTGGTTGGATTTCAAATTACTGTCGGTCATATGCCTTACTGGTACAGGAAACCTCCAGTTCCTCAGTAGCTAGAATTATTTTAACCTTGAGAGAGGACCTGAGTAGAAATAACAACCTTTTTTAAGCTCCCTGGATAGCTTCATCTCATAAAAGAATTTATTGTTCATTGTGGGATTCAAAGTTTTCACAGTATGGGGCAATTGATTCAAAGTATTTGACCTTAACCATTGGCCACAAAGTCCCTTACCTGTATGTTTAAAACTATGGTTAGTGAATGACTAACTATGCTTATTATATTTTGTTTTAGGGTTTTTGATAGCTTGTTAAAGTTATTGTCACAGATGCCAATACATGAATGTATCTAAAGTTTTGTTTAGAGCAACATATTATATGGAAACTAATCTGTTTGCACAATTTTATGAAAAACTAAGAATCGGATGTAAATAGTTATGTGATTTTAATTTGAATAAAGCATAAATTAATGTTTGCCATTACATATAGGTTTGCTAGTGAAGTAGCAGGTGTAGATGACCTTGGAACAACTGGTCGTGGTTCAGATATGCAGGTTGGAACCTATGTTGAGAAAATGTTCAAATCTGAACTCTCTGGCAACATAATTGATCTGTGCCCAGTAGGAGCCTTGACATCCAAGCCGTATGCCTTCACAGCTAGACCGTGGGAAACCAGGTGTGTTCACTGTTACCGTCATCACTCAAGATAATAAGTTTCTATGCATTGTTCAAATATATGATATGAAATGATTTCAATTCCGTTTTCTCATGACATACATTTATTCATGGAATTTATTATTTTTTAGTAGATCTACTGTGGATATGCTATATGACAAAACATTCTTAAAAAAATTCTTCATTAATTTACCAAGCAAATTCAGTGGTAGTCTAGGCAAGTTATTATGAGCTATAGGATAATAATTATTTATGTTGTTTTCATTTTTCAATTTGTTTTATTGTATAGAAAAATCGAGTCTGTAGATGTGATGGATGCTGTAGGAAGTAACATTGTTGTTTCGACGAGAACAAATGAAGTCATGAGAATCTTACCTAGAGTTAATGAGGTAATAATATATGAGCCGCGTCACAACAAAATCAACATAGTGTTTTAGCAACCAGCATGGATCCAGACCAGCCTGCGCATCCACGCAGTCAAATCAGGATCCATTCTGTTCGCTTACCAACCCTATTACAAGTAGAAAAATTGATAGCATACAGCATGGATCCTGATCAGACTGCGTGGATGTGCAGGCTGGTATCCATGCTGGTCGCAAACGCACCATGTTGGTTTTGTTGTGACGCGGCTCAATTATCTTCTTACTAATCTGCTCAGTTACAGAAGGTCAGTGGTTGTACTCCGATACAATCCAGGCCTGAAACAAAGCATGAAGGGCATGTGATGTTTCCCACCAATAAAATTGACACATCACTACTATTGTTTCTATTTTGGAATGGATTTTAAATCTAACAGACACTGTAAACTACAAATCTAATAAAGAAAAACAAAAAGCAGTTCAAAATGAAATACAGGCTTTGTAAAAGTTGTTGGACCATCTGACATTTGCATTTGTCAACTTTGTACCATATTTTATATCTTTAATTGATAATGTTCACATGAAATATATTGTAAAGAAAGATGTGATGCAATTCCTTCGGGTGTATTTTGTGGTATCATACTTGTTGCCATACAATCTTTATATATTATGATTTCTTCAGGAAGTAAATGAGGAGTGGATCTCGGATGCTACAAGGTTTGCCTATGATGGTTTAAAAAGACAGAGACTAACAACACCATTTGTGAAGAATGAGAAAGGTGTATTAGAACAGGCTGGCTGGGAGTCTGCCCTCGTTACTGCAGCACAGAAGGTAGGGTAAAACTAGATAGGATGTATTTGATAACACATTGTCTATCTTAATACACTGCCGAAAATGAGAAAAAAAAAAGAGATAAGATGTCGCTTATTAAAGAGCATACAGGCTGTTTGGTGTTACATTCTGTTTTACCACTAAATTTAAGATTTTTGTACTCAATAAAATTGGTAAAGGACAATTCCAATATCAAAACAGTCCTGTTTCTAGGATATAAAGCTATTTTAATGAAATATTTTCATAACCTTTTGGAGACAATGATTGTGTTGATCCCACACTTTTATGGTCGATTCTTGTAAGGGTTCTACGAAAGAATGTTTCTATTATCTAACTCACATAAATACTGTGTTAATAAAATAAAATGTTCCAGAACAAAATGTTATCCTGGTATTTCAAGTCAGTTTTTTAACTGTTAAGCAATGATTTTGTGCCATTCACTCAAAAAGAAATATACATATAAACATATTTCTTTCATACAGGCATTTTGAAAGTATTCTTTCACAAAATTCAAGCAAAAATTAAAAAAATGACTGTGTAAATATTGAATTCATTAATGGGAGGAAACAGTTTTATAAAAAAAAAGGTTTATGTTGCTATATTTTATTATGTGCCTGCAATAGAATAAAAATCAGCATTTAATTAAACTTGATGTTCCCCCTATAAAAAATTAAATTGACAATTTTTGAAATGAGGTTTTTAATTTTAGGGGTAGGGAGATAATAGCTCTTTAGCAGGGTTGGGTTTAGTGAGGCATAGTTTAGTCTGAAAGACTACTTTAAATTTCTGGGAAGTGAAGATTGTGATGAGGGGAAAAATTCCTATGGGTGGGCGGGGGAGTTTTAGAAAAAAGTTCCCGAATTGTATTGTTTATTGACTGAAAATGAAAGTTTAAATTTTGTGAGTTTTATGAAAAATTGTTGTTTTTTTTTATTATTCTTTTAAAATAAGTAGAGTAATTGCCATAATAAGTTGAAATTTGAAGAAGGAAAGGGGTTTTATGTGTAAAGACTGGCACCAAAACTGGAGTTGGAATGGAACCCGAATTTTTTGTTCCTTCTATAATCCCCACTGGGGGCAATTACTGGGTTTTCACCAGAGAAACATCAAATTTCTTTTTAAGTCCAAAAAAATCGGGGTTTTCATTAATGGGAAATTTGGTTTTTTGTTTTGTTAAAACATTTTTATATTACTTTATATTTTATATTGATATCAAATTTGTAGCTTGTAAAAATGGCAAATAATGTCCTTGGGACAATTATTGTTGAAGATAGAGTAAATTTTTACAAGAAAACATGAGAAAGAAAATGATTCCCATTCCTAAGTAGTCTGCAGGTACATTGTGAAAAATTGAAATGATATTTTTGTCTTATCCCTGTGCCTGTTTTTAAAAACCATCTTTCTCAGAAATATTAAATGTCATGGCCTTAATACTCAAGAAAATTATTTAGAAAGGCATACATAAGGTGCTTAAATTCTCTGAAGTTGAATTCATTAAAATGCGAAAGTGAAAAACACTTTATTTCACACCTTGTAAAATTTAACTAATGTACAAGTAACATTAAGAAACATTCCAATAGAAATCGTTATTGGGTACAGTATTATCAATTTAGACTTGTTTACATTTCCAGAGTTCAAAAGATTTAATACATGCATATACAATACAGCAATGAAAACATTTTCATTATTTGCATTAAATGTTTCAGAACTGATCTTCGCTCCAACTATTTGTTGAATACAAAGATTCAAGGTGTAGAGGAGGCTGACCTGATCTTATTGGTTGGTACCAACCCAAGGTTTGAAGCCCCATTATTCAATGCCAGAATCAGAAAAAGGTAATTTTTAACTTTCTACACTTAATCATTATTTCTTGAAAGATATACTTTATTAAGTTGTGATTTAATTTAAGTTAGTTTTCTGCTGAAGCTAAATGTTCTTATAAACTTTTCCACACAGGCTTTTAGTCTGTCGGTTTCTAAAAATTATCAACTTCAATCATTAGATTTTTTGCTGAATCTGAATATTATAATATTAAGATGCACAAGTATTTGAGCCTTCAGGACCGGGTTATTCAAAACATTGGTTAAAATTAACCAATGGATAGCTTATCCACTGGTTAAATCCTTAACCAGCGGCCAGCTATCCAGTGGATAAAATTTCATTGTTCGACAGTTGGATAGTACCCTGGCTACCTAACCAGTGGATAGCATATTTATCCACTGGTTAAGTACCACAATGCAACAGGGTTGGTTAGTGATTTTGGAAACAAAATGGCCGATTTTTTGATGATAATTAATTTTTTAGAATCAAAAAGTTCCCAAAGAAATAATTTTGCATGTTTTGTGCTTTCTATGTTTTTGGAATTATACATAAAGTATATCAGAGACCTTAAAGTATTGATAGATCTATTTTTCCCTTAGACACACATAAGAAAAAATTCAAAAACAACTTTTTTTCAAATTTTGAATTGAAATTACTTCCATTAGATGGGTTATGTTCTAACTAAGAAAATGAGTACTGACACTTGTATGTTTTATTAAAAAATAAGAAAGTTATGACTGTTTAACTGAATTTTCTGAACTACAACAACAACAAATTTTGATTGAAAAAGCGTTCTAAAAGCACTTTTTCAGAAATGTTTCAATTTAATCCTATGCATTTCATATGAAATGATCTAGTTAAGAAAAATTAAACATATATTTGTAAGAAAAATCTGGTTTAAAACAAGTTTTAATGATTTTTACTGTTTTAATGATGATAACTAACCACTGGTTAAGGGCATTATCCGGTGGTCATAGGACTGGTTAAAGTTAACCACTGGATAACAAATTTTATCCGTTGGATAAGTTTTGAGCAACAGAATTTATCCAACAGACAAAATTTAACCAGCGGATAATGAATTTAACCACTGGTTAACACTAACCAATGTTTTGAACAACCGGATCCTGCAGGTGTTTTGATTGTTGATCTCGTGCTAAATTATTTTAAGATGTAAATTGTTATTCAGTTTCTGAAACCTCATAATATTTCATGTGAAGAAGTTATCCAGTTATTAAATGGATGCTCAGTGGTTCTTTCAAGATGATAGCTTTTGTCTCACAGAATAATAAATTAAATGTAGAAAGACCATTAATTTTATACCCTCTGTATATTTAATATACAGAGGGTATAAATGGTCTTTCTACACCAGTAAAAGCTAGGTGAATATAAATTATATCATCCCATATAATTACCTCTTATATATACAGTAAATATATTGTACTTTTACAGTTGGATCAACAATGATCTATCAATAGCTATGGTGGGTACACAAGTAGACCTCACATATGATTATGATCATCTTGGTGACTCTGCACAGATTCTAGAAGATATTGCTAGTGGAAAACACCCATTCTCAAAGGTAACAGGACATATATCGATTAAAATACGTGAAAACAAAAAAATGCATTTGGATTAATAAAAATTTAGACATTAAACTTAAATTTGAAATTATTGTCATGTTTCATCTTGTTCTGTCATTAATATTATTAGATAAACTATTGTATACTTAAAGTTGATAGAGTTCAGGTTATGTGAAGGCAGCACAAGCGTTTTTGTTTTCAATGGGTTCCTTTTTTTTTGCTACTTTTGCAAAAAATAAATTGTCAGATGTTATCTACCCAATGTAAAATCATTGGGTGATATCACTTTCAAAATTGCATGCTTTATTATGTCTTTGCAGTTTTTTGACTTGCTTTGTCTCTTTTTTTTTTTTTTAAATAAGAGCCTTACATTTGTTGTGATATCATAAAGACATTAAAGTCATCTTTTGTATATTACAGAAGGTGTCACTGCTTGATATTGATTTTCTGGCAGTCTACTTAGCTCAATATTAGATTAGTATGAAGATTTTTGGTTTTAATCTCGGGCAAGGCAGAGTTTCTTATGACAACTGATCAATAACGTTTAGTCTTGTCATCAATTGTCTCAAAAATCAGGTTGGATAAGTAGTCAGTTATGTGGAACTGGTCATTTAGCCAGGAAAGCTGTCAAGGTGGTTAAAATGTCGAGATACAACCAAAAATGTGCTAAAATCTCTTTAAAAGCAAGGAAATAATGATTTTCTAGTCATTGTATGTATATTATATGAAATGAATACTCATGAAAGATCCTTTTAAGCAATATTGATATACTTATTGTTACAGACCCTAGCACAGGCTAAGAATCCTATGGTGGTTGTAGGAAGTGCTGCATTACAGAGAGACGATGGTACATCTCTTTACAAAGCTGTCTCTACCATAGCACAAAATGCTCGCGTACAATGTGGATGTGGTGAAGACTGGAAGGTTCTTAATGTTCTACACAGAGTAAGTATTGTTTTTAGCTTGGGCTAACATACTTGCGTGAGTGTTATGTTAACATTTTGATGAAAGTAAATGGCTGTAATTTCTTGTACAACTTCATAGTTATCTCATCCATCATTAAACATATTCACTTTAACTTCACATGTCTTTAAGATCACACTTGGAGCTCACTATCTAAGGTCCTTAACTCCAGAATGGCTTTTAACTGAATTATGCCCCTTACAAAATTCCATGTGCATCATCATTCTTCAAAACTTCTTAAGATAATCACTTGAAACTTGATACAAGTCTTTCTGATCATGATTTGGGGTCACTGACACTATTCAAGGTCATAATTCTGACATGGATGACTGAATTGATACCCTTTGTGAACTAGAAAAAAATCCCAGTCCAAGTTTTTTTAATGAAAGATCAATTTTCAAAAATAATATTCACGTGAAACTTAATTGATTTCTAAAGATTATAATATTTCAAAGACACATAATTTTTAACTGTGGTAGTTAGTTTGAATGAGATTTCCTCGTTTATTTATTTATTAGTATTATATTATGTATCTGTCATGATTAATGGGTATTCAAATTTGAATACACTGTTACAAATGTTGAGAATAGTGTAAGATATAACAATTCTATTAAGGTTGTTTCTCTGGTTATGTTCATGCTTAATGCATGGAAATTTGAGTAGATGTCTTCAATGATATATTAGTATGAATTTGAATAATGCAAGATGCATCTTTTTAGTACCGTCTTATTTATATTCACAAGTCAGAGAAACAAAGCTGCTGCACTTCAAACTAATAATACTGTCATTAAGTTAAATTATTTAATGTGTATTGTTGTAGGTAGCAAGCCAGGTTGCAGCTCTAGACATTGGTTATAAGGCAGGTGTAGAAGAGATTAGAAAGAATCCTCCCAAGGTTTTATACTTACTGGGTGCTGATGAAGGCGCTATTACCAAGGATGATATTCCAGCTGACTGTTTTGTCATTTATCAAGGTAATTATTAGTATGTACAATGATTCAAATATATCATGTAGCAGAGGAAAATTTATTACATTTACCAAGATAAAATCATCAATCACTGTAAAAAATTGAATGGAGATATCCAGCAGGTTTTTCAAATGATCGGACACAGGTCAACACCCAATTTTCGTTCAACTTTATCATAATGACCTGATTATGACATAAAACCCTTGGGAAAGTAACAATATGTAATTATATTATTTATATTGTATATTAGGACACCATGGTGATCATGGAGCATCTATGGCTGATGTTATATTCCCTGGAGCAGCTTACACAGAAAAGGATGCCACATATGTCAACACAGAGGGTCGTGCTCAGCAAACTAAACTGGCTGTTACACCACCAGTGTTAGCAAGAGAAGACTGGAAAATAATCAGAGCATTGTCCGAGGTAAATACATTTGATAGTTTACCATTTTAAGAAAGTGTAGACAGCTTTACAAATTTGTTCCTTTCACTTAAAATATCTTTTTACAACCATTAACCAAGTTTTTCCCCGATGTTATTTTTGTAACCAAGTTTTACTTGGGTGCTCTATCCTGGAGTCAATCATCATATACCTATCGTTCTGATTTAATTGAAGACTGACTCTGATATTCAATAGCTTTGAAGCTTTCCTTTACAGCAATACAAGGCTTATAAAACAAGATTGCCAGCTGCCTTCATGGCATAGGCGTTTTAGGCTGCGCATCAATTTTCTTCAGTTAGTAGAAGAAAATGAATGAAATTAATTAAGATAAAGTTATTGTCTTTACCCTTAAATCAAAATTATGATAAAAATTAAAAAGATCAATAACCAAATATATCCAAAATACATAGTACTGTGACAGTTGTTAGTGACATAGTTAATTTGACAGACTTATCTCTTTAAAAAAAGGAAATTTGTAATGCACCAATTGTGAGCCTTTTAGATAGTAAATGATTGCTTAACTTAAAAACTGCAAGTTTAAGAAAAGATATAATTGATGGGTGTTTTTATTTGAAAGTATTTTGAATTACCGGTAATTATACAGATATAGGATGTGTTATATGGTCTGTTTCAGCTAACTGGTAACACTCTTCCCTATGATAAGATACAAGAAGTAAGAGACAGACTGCATGAGGTGTCACCTAACTTGGTACAATATGGAGAAGCCGAAGATGCCAATTACTTTAAACAGGCACAGGAACTTACACAGGTCAGTTCTTTCAAATATTATATTTATAGTTGGCACAAAGGCAGTAAAAGTTCAAGTTTGATTTCCATAGATACCGATCAGTGCCATGTAAGTTGAATATGGGATTTTAATTCTTAAAAGCTTGCACGTGTAACCAAAATATTGATTTCTTTAGCATTACACATTATTTTTAATCTTTTAAAAATGTTGCTAATTCTAAGAGGGATTTGTTTATTAAAATATAATTATTATTCATAAGTAACACTTTGTCAATGTTGATTGTTCTCAATGATTTGAAATTGAGCCATTTTTTTTTTTTAAATGACATTTATTTAAGGAACAAGTGGAATTTTGTAATGACTTAATTTAAATCAAACTTTGATTATATTACATTTTAATTGTCTAATATTTCAGACAATAAGTGGAAAGGTGCATGATAAACCCCTTACTCCACCAATGTTAAATCTCAAAGATTTCTACATGACGAACTCAATTGGCAGAGCCTCTTCAACAATGGCTAAATGTGTAAAAGCTGTACAAGAAATGGATTAAAACAATTCTTACATTCTCTGAGATACTTAGTGTGTGTGAATTTTTGTTAAGTTTAATTCAAACTAAAGGTGTGCTAGAGTGAAAAATGGTCAACATGCAAGTTTTGTAGTTAAAATGGACTCTATAAGAAACAATTTTTGTGTTTTTTCTTCAAGGAATGTCAGACATTTGTATTTTCTAATTCGGAATTATGATTTTATCATATATATTAAGATAAAGGTATAAAACCAGTAAATTTGTGGTTTTATTTATATATATGTGAAGTATAGTGCTACAAATGATGAAGATACAGATTTTAAACTATGAACTTAATACTAGTATCTGGAAAAAAAAGCTTGATATTTATTATTAAAGTTGATGAAATGAATATTGGATGTTGTATTTATTTTTTTGCTATTTAAAACCCATCTGTTGCTGTAGGAAGTAGTGAAAGTATACAGTATACCTATATGTAACTGCAAGTAAACAAACACCATTTAATTGTTATGAAATGTAATCCTGATTAAAGCAGTTGTTAGTCTGAAGGAGGCCTCATTAATCTGTATTTCACATGATGCATTACTATTAAATTATACTGTTATTAATGATTTGGACAGCAAATTCAAAATTACCATCAATTTAGTTAAAGCTTTATATCAATAATTTATGACAAGAAGACTTCACTGTAACAATTTATTAAGTAACTAAAACAGTAAAGGGAATAAATTACGTATTTAATAAAAATAGATTCATTAGTCTGTCCAACATTCAACTGCAATCATGCAGAGATGATTTTTAAATATGTAATTCTATTTGATGTCACAAAGAGCAGCAACACCTCTTAGAATCCAGTGATCAGGGCTTTGGCTTGTTTTGAGAACAATGAATGTAATGTATGTTAAGTCTGTCCTGTGTGGCTTCTTGTATACTGGACATTGGTACAGCCTAGGATCTTTTGGTGCTGTTGAATTGATTGCATACATGTGAATGACAGGAAGGAGTGTAAACAACACTTTGGCATGAGATTCTGACAGTCTACAGTTCCTTTTGTCCCAGCTAGCTCCATCCAGATAAAGACCATAAATATATACCCCTTCCTGAAACAAACAATAATACATGCTAATGACTATAACATGATATCCTCTTACACTGTTTATATCAATGTGGAAATGAAAATCTGATTATTTTTTTTACAAAATAAGAGTTTTAAAAGAAATTTCCTATAAATTCAGTCTATTACGAAAACCATATTATGTATAGTAAACGGTTCACGGGAAGTATCAATAAACAGAAGCTTTTTTTGAATATGCCTGTGTACGCTTGAAATTATTGGTTAGTTTTAAAATACTTGAAATACAATGAACACTTACTGCAGGAGGTCCAGTAATGTCTTCTTTCAATGACTTCAACACATCATTGTGTAAGGTGACAGAATCCAAAGCCCAACCTTTGTGTGCTCTTGTCACTTCTTGTCTCATAGCAGTTAAGAATCCTGTAATAATGTTAAATGGTTAAGAAAGATAGAAGATGCAAAATTTGTAAATATACTTGTTTAGCTGAAACTTTTAAAGAGCATTTTAACACAGTTCACAATGTTACAAATTACATAGATAAGCAATGACCCTTATTAGGGAACAGTGTTGAGTTGAAAATAGTACATCACTTATTAGTTTTGCTTTTGGAATATGTTTGACAGCATTTCATTTTTGGCATACTTGAATTAATTGACACAAAATCAGGTTTTCTGTCAATATTAGCAAGTTAATCCCTTCAGGGATGTCAGAGGCCTTATGAACAGAAGAGTATTCTATTACTTAAATACAAAAACACAACAAAAGTTCATAATTTCCCTAAAATAAGTAACTCACAAAACTTCTGCAATATGCGCTTAATGACAATATTTCTCTGGAAAATTTAGTTGAAATCCCACTGGAAATGTTGGAAGATTTGGACTGGTTGTCTGACCCATATGTGCTAAATAATTTAATAACATTATGTTGCGGGAAATATACCAGTCCTTACCTTGTGGATTGAATAATCCTGTCATCCAGAATACATCTGGTCTACCCTGGAAAACCCATTTGAAAAACTGGTCGTTTCTTTCTAAAAGTTCTGTATACCAGAAACCAAGGGTTGAGGACTGCCAGGACACTTTGCGCCACAGGTTTGGAACCTTGGCATCAAACATGTTGTCTAAAGCATCTCTTAAGTTCTGAAATATAAAGTTCATACATATAAAATTTCTATTTAATATTCAAACACTTTCGCTTTCATTTTGGGAAAAAAGAAGAAAGAAATTCAAATTTAAGTAAATTCAGGCGAATGTTAGTTTAATAAATGATGTTGAATTGGGTAATTGTTCTTTTTCTTTTCTTTTTTAATTAAAAGCAATAACCTTTGTAATATAATGTTACGAGATGTTCACAGTTGTAATATAAAAGTGTTTATTTCAACCACTTGTGCATAAGGTTTTATATACATGTACAATCAAATGCGAATCTTTGTGTAGTTTCTTACAATAATTTTGAGCAAATTATATAAGCCTCAAATGGTTATTTGTTAAACTAGTATTTTTGGTCAAATCAAACAGCAAGTATGTTTGATCACTTAACCGATATTATTAAACAGTTCAATTTTTCAATGTAGGACAATCAATTGCTTCAGTACATACCTCTGACATAATAATTGTTCCTTCAATTGCAAGTTTTAGATCACTCAGAGTGGTTCTAACAATGCCGATAACTCTTTGCATTCTGTCAATTTCTTGCTTCAAGAAAATGTTCAATGGATGTAATTGTCCCATTTTCTTTAACCTGTCTTTAACCTAAAATGTGACACAAATATTAAATTAATACTACTATAATTTAAAATCTTTAATGCTATCACAAACTAAAGATTAAAATGCTTTCCAATCATCAAGAAATGTCTGATTGAAAGGTTTTCATTACAATTTAAAACTTTATGTTAGGAAAGTATGGTTTATTTTCTTTTTAAATTTAATATTATCAAATCAAACAACTGAATTCAATTAGCCATTTTTTTACCGTGTATCAAAACACTGAATTTTGTTGGAAGTAACTTATTGTAAAAACTGCTTTTCCATGTTAAATTTCTATGATATAGAATATATCTCACTCTGAAGTGAAAATGTTGTATCAAACTTGCACTACATGTTTGAAAGTAAGGAATCATGAGACAATGCCTAATAAAAGTTCTTGATATCTTACTTCATGAGGTTTGTAGTCAACAGGTAATTTATCCAGCATATCCTCGGCCATTCTAAACACAACAGATTCTCTTGTTTCACCAGCTCCAGCACCACCCTCTTTTGGTTGTATACTCATTATTGTATCTAGAATACTGCCTGCCATATTTGTCTGGTATCTGTAAATAAATAAATGTAAATTACTTGATTAGTACTAGTCCACAAAAATAAACAACAGATCTAAATCCAACAGCGATATAAGTAGTTTTTTTTAACTCAATGTAGGAGTTGTTTAAAAAGTATTTGGCTCTTTCTAAACAAAAACTGGCAACATAAATTTTCAAAGTCCTTTACATACAGTTGCCACACAACTTTTCCAGATGAAAGAAAGCCATTCATTTCAGAATACAGTAAATCTTCACTCCAGAAATAAACTACTGGTCTGCAATGATGTAAATTGTAAAGAAACAATACTTCAAATTTGTTTGTTTGGATTTTTACGGCACGTCAACACGTAACTGGCCATATCGTGCCGAATGCTATAATAGGCTTAAAATGTTATGTAATGTTTTGTAAATGACAATAAAATCAATCCTAGAGTACAAGTTTATCTTTTTCAAATAATCAATGATGTTTTTTGATGGAATTGTATTAAAGAGTTCTTTGAGTGAGTTTACATGATAAAATCTATTACGGGCCTGTGAAAAATCATGACATTCAAGAAGAAAATGTTTGACAGTAAAATTTTCATTACAACCTACACAGAAAGGGGCATTGTCATTTGTGAGGAGATAATAGTGGGTAATTTTAGTGTGTCCACCAATTCGGCATCAAAGAAGAACTATTTGATCATGGCCGTTTGACAGAGATAGAGATGGTGACACATCAAGAGATGGGTTTATATTGTTAAGTTTATTAAAAGCAGGTAACAATAAGTCAGTTTGTTGAAAATTTAATGATTGTTCAGCTAAAGCATCTACTTTTTCATTTCCTTGTATACCTACATGACTTGGAATCCAATATAAGTTAACAGATTTTGTTTTAAGTACATCATGAAATCGTAAAAGAAGTTTCTGAATCATTATATTGTCAGTTTTTTTTATTTTTAATGGATATTAAAACAGAAAGCGAGTCAGAAAATATCACAAATTTATCATGGGTATGCTGTACAGTGTAACTTCCGAATTCCGGAACTTCTGAAATCCGGAAACTTCTAAAAACCGAACCATTTTTTCGGTCCCGATTTTTCCCCTTCTATTTTCTATTAATAAAATACTTCTGAATTCCGGAACTTCTAAATCCTGTATTCCGGACGATATTTTCGTAAAATTAGAGTCAAATCAATGCAATTTTACCTCCGAAAACCGGAAATATCCCAAGGTGTGAAATACATTGTAAATCGAGAATGTTTACCCTGCAGGAAGATTTAATCTCCCTATCGATTGTTTACTAATTAGCGGTGATCGTGTAATTTGACACGTGTTAAAATCACAAACTGTGAAATGTGATGCGGTTAATCAAAGTAATTTACCGCGGTCAGTTAATTTGAAGTGTTTATTAGCGGATTAGTTGGGACAATGTATGCATCAAACGTCTTTAGGGATTTTATTGCATTTGATGTAATGATTAATTAACTAGCATCGGACGATATGTAAGTTTATGCAATTAACAACATTTCTACAAACTGATAAAAATTCATAAGCATTTGCAGATAAGATAAAAATGTATTCTTTTCATTCACATCTTTATCTTGATTAAAAGACTATTACATGTTATATATAGATATTACAGTAATGGCCACATCTTCCTTGACATTTAGTGATATTAAGTGGCTTAGTTTTGTCCACATTATCATAAACCTCTGAATTCCGGAAACCTCTGAAATCCGAACTTTTTGACAAGTCCCATGGGTGTTCGGTTTTCGGAAGTTACACTGTACTATGTATGACAATGCTAAATCTATAGCTTTTGCTTCTGCAGTAAAAATTGATGCATTATCTGGTAACCTCATACTAGATGTAAAATTATTTCCAAACACAGCTGCACCTACTTGCAACCTTGTTTCGAACCGTCCGTATAAATATGTATAAAATCTTCATGTTCTTCCTTAATTTCTAGAAACTTCTCTTTGAAATGTTCAGGTGAATTTGATGACTTTTTTTAAATTTGAAAGGTAAATATTAATTTTCGGGGAATTATAAGTCCAAGGTGGAACATCCTCCTCGTCATTTTTAAGTATACCGTCTGGATTAATTTTAAGTTGGTAAAGTCCAGGCAAAATAACAATGTTCATTTTCAATTAGAGCAGCAGGACGAGCTTCGAACTTTTAGTGATGATTCAGTGTTACAACTTTATATTAAGTAGTTGAATTAATTTGCCCCTAAATCAAAATTTTCTACTTATTTGAGGTCATTTAAAGGGCAGATAACTTATACATACGTAAATCAATTCTTGTTTACTTCTGGATAATGTTTTTCGTTTTATTATTGAAAACAATACATAATTACATGCAATTCCTTATATCATTTCTGTTAATTTTTTTTAATGAAAATAAAGGTACTTTAAATTCATAAAAAATAGGCCAAATTTTAAGAAAAAATGCACTGGTTAAGAGAAGAAGTGGGAAAAAAAACTATCCACACTAAATTTATACTTAAATTTTTGCATATTAACTAAGATGAAGGTAATTAAGCTTCATGGAAATAAGAAGATAAAAAATGTTTTGTTTCGTTTCATTGAAAATTATCTGCCCTTGAATTTAACGAAAAAGTCTAATTCAAAGGCAGATAACCTGAAAATGACCCCAAATTTTTTTCTGTTTAAAATGTTTCTGTTATCATATTCTAACATGCCAAGTTTAAAGAAATTCTATTGAACAGTTTTAATTTTGCCTATATGTCTATATGAAAACTCCCGAAAACGTCTGTAAGATTAATAATATCTGTCATATGTTGCGGTTCGGACCGGAATATCCGTCCCGAGGGGACCCGCCCATGGGGGGTGTTCCCGAGGGACGGATATTCCGATCCGAACCGCAAACATATGTTAGATATTTTTTCTTGCATATTCTGCCATATTATTTCATATCTAAAATGGTTTACCTCAATATGATATATGTTCATGGAAATTAAAGTCATTTCATCCATAACTATTTTCTTACAATAGCGTATGAACTTACAACTTAAATAACAACGGCGAACTGACGTCATCCTTAGCACATATTTCCCTTATAAAACGATGTCATTTTAACGCGGTGCATTCATAAAGCGCGCAAAAATGACGTTGTTGTTTGGCACGCGACTTATCTGGCACCCCCCCATGCCAGATGAAATTTCCGGCATGGGTAAAACTCACGGAAACGCCAGTCTGATATGCAAGAAATATGCATCTAAGTGTCATTCCTGCAAAGTGACTAGTACTGCTGGCCAATGCCTAGAAGAGAAGCCTGTACGCCAACTACTGAAGCATAAACATCCATGCATGTAAGCAAGTTTACAAATCTTCTAGTACAAAGGTCTTACGTGATGTCAGCATTGGGATGTAGACCAAAGGCCTCTGGAGAGTCCACTAATTGCAAATTATCTATGTAAGTCATGAACTGATCATAGGACTTTACTTTTGGAATCTTGTAACCAGTGTAAAACTGGAAGTTGTCAGCAAACATGAAGTCACCAAACCATACCTGAAAATAACAGAAATAGAAAGTGCAGTTAAATTATGAAAGAAATCATTTCTATGGAACCATTCTCTTTTTTCTTCCCTTCTTACTTGTAACATAAAAATAATAAATATTTTCCATTCTTATTGTTTCTTTTTCTTATGTTGCTAAATTGACATCTCACATACACTAATGCCACTGATTTGATCCAGTTTATATAATTTATATTAGAAAAATCTACCGGAAGTCATATGCAGCATAATGTCATCTTAAGTCTGCATCTCATTTATAAAGGCGCCAGAATGATGTCATTTCAAACTGACACGGGTGAGGAATGAAGATTTAAGATTTATCCTTAGCACTGATGTAAACACAATACAATCCAGTTTGACACATAAGTTTAAATTGTTGAAAAATTGATAAAATCATTCATAAGAATAAGGTGAAACATTTTTCTTATTATGTCTTTTGTTTAATAATTTTCATAACTAAGCAATAGACGGGTGCGAAAAACAGCTCAATACAAAAATCAGCAGCGGAAAAATTTTTTGCTTAGAAAAATAGTGTTTGTGGTAGTGGTCTCTCTTGTTAGAATCATCTGACACAGGTTTGTCGTTTTGATGCGAGATAGTTCCTGCACATTAAAACTCCAAACCGTTGTTAAATAACCAATAAACACATTTGTAAGCAAGCATTTCCAAAATCAAAATAATGATTTTTAAAACAGATATATAGCTTGATACACTTTTAAGATTATTGTAATGTTGAGTGACTGTTCGCTAAACATATAATAATTTATTGTACAGTTTTTATCACTTATATTCAGATAACTTGCCTAACTTTTCGAATAATAGACAAGTATTGTATTTAAGTGAACTATATATCAATCCATCACTACAAAGAAGTTTCTAGAGTTTCGTTTCGTCTAGGACTCTTACTCTAAACAAGAGGGCCATGATGGCCCTGAAGTCGCTCACCTGTATATAGGCCCCCCGGAGCGGGGCCAGTTTAAACCCCAGGGCTTTTATGTGAACAAACTTGGTAGACACCCATTAGAAGATGTTTCATGCTTAATATCTAAACTCTAGCTATTCTGGTTTTTTCGAAGAAGATTTTTAAGTTTTTGCTATACACTATGATATAAGGAAAATCAATGTCCCCCAGGGCGGGACCAATTTTGACCCCAGGGCTCTTATTTGAACAAACTTGGTAGACATCCATTAGAACATGTTTCATGCTAAATATCTTAGCTCTAGCTCTTTTGGTTCTTAAAAAGAAGATTTTTAAGTTTTTACTATATACATATAGGAAAAATCAATGACCCCCTGGGGCGGGGCCAATTTTGACCCCAGGGCTTTTTTTTTAACAAACTTGGTAAACACTCACTAGAAGATGTTTCATGCCAAATATCTAAGCTCTAGCTCTTTGTGTTATTTAGAAGAAGATAATTAAATTGTTTTCTTTTGGTTGCCATGGCAACCAGAGTTCTACATGGAATTAAATTCTTTGAACAATTTTTAAAGGTGACCACCAAAGGAACAACCCTGTGAAGTTTGGTTGAAATTGGCTTAGTGGTTATATGAGGAGATGTCATTTAAAGTAAAAGTTTACGGACGCCGGACGAAAAGCGATCACAAAAGCTCACCCTGTCACAAAGTGACAGGTGAGCTAAAAAGCTTTCCAATCACTCACAAGTATGCTATATAAAATGTTTACATATACTTAGATGTCACGAACATCTGTATTGTTACATCATGTACATTGTATGTAATTGCTGTTATTGTTAGTTCAGCACTTCAAATATTGGGGGAAATAAAAGTATATATCTATCTGCCATAAAATATATAGTTATACAATCGAAATTTAAAGTTTGTCACCAGATATAACGTACTCTAGCAAATGTATTGAGAAGTCTCTTATCATAATCATCTGTTACTCTTCCGCCATACTGCACTTCTCCAAGCATGTACCTTACAGTCACCCATGATACACCCTGAAAATATATCAATGTAAAATGTAATGAAATCTTAGGGCAAGATGTCCACATCTTCATACTATCAAATGGTTTATAATTATATTTGTAAGAAAGGTTAAAAAATTAAAGGTCTCAATCTCAAGTTATGTAATGTTCTATGCTATGTTGCAAAATGATAAAAACAAAACAAAATAAAACAAAAAAATTTCAGATAATTTATACGCCAATAAGCAGTAAAATTATATTATCACAAACCTTTTTCACATCTATGTCATCTAAATGGTTTTGACAGAACTGCACACTGGCTTGCCAATCTGAGGAGTTAAATTCATAAGGAATATTCCATCCTAATGGACCAAACTTTCTACGTTCCTGATTTAAGAAAAAAAGACAAAAAAAACCCGTTATTTTATTATGTTTAACTTTCAGCTAAATGCTTTGTAATTTAGAATGTTATATTACTGAAATATAATCATTATTGTGTTCAAGAGTAATGATTTATGAAAAAAATTACAACATGCAACTAATTAATTTTTATTTCTATGTTTACATAAATAAGGCACTTAGTGAAACTTAATAAGCTGCTCTAACAAAGTGTAAAATATCAGACAAAACATAAAATATATTTTCACAGACCGAAAATTCCAGACATGCTTAAGACCCAAGATAATAAAAAGGCAGTCCAAAGGACAGCTAAATCCCCTTTTGCAGGGGACATGAATGTGTACTCCTAACCATGACCTTGATATTGTGCCATGCATATCATAAGCACATAGTCTTATGATTGTAACTGTTGGTGCCAAGGTATTTAAAATCTTCCATAAAGTCAATAAGTTTTTGAGAATATTTAACCTTGACCTTTGGGGTAGCAACCTTGATGTGCTCTGCTCAAAAGTTATGGTGCAGACATGAAAGTGTTATGGATGGACAGACATGCGACCGAATTGGGATAAAGGGCCATTTCTATTGAAATTTTCTTTTGTTAAATAGAGGGCCATTGGCCCCTTCTGCTTTTGTTATGGAATGAACTCTATTGCTCTCTTTTGATCTGTTTACAGTTAGATGGCCCTGTAACCCTAATCGGTAGTGCGGACTGACAGACGGAGGCCATTCCACTTTGCGGAAGGGGATTAAAAAGCAATACTAGTAATAGCTACAAGTTAAAAATGCATGCATATAATTTATTGTGAACTGCAGTATAATATGAAAGCTGTTATTGTTGTGTTTGTCAATTTGTGGATTCGAGGTTAGCGTGCAAGATGGAAATTCATGATAGCAAGTTGTAGAGAGGTTATAGTTAATCTAATTACAAGCTAGCACAACACAAATAATATATGCTCACCAGTTCACACTCAGATGAATGTCTGTTGATTGAATTGAGAGTTATTATCAAATTATTATCAAATAATTACATTACATTTTAATTTAGAATAATGTGACTTAAGTTAATATGCCCATCAATCCTAATTTAAAATGGAATAATTTTAAAATGGAAATTTACGTTTAAATTTTTAGCTCAAGATTTACGATCAAAATCACTGCTAGAATCTTTTTTAGTAATTTGTTTGCTAAATACTAACGTTTCTATCAATTAACATTATAGGCTATTAAGTCAAAAACAAAGATTTTGCCAGACAAGATTATTACCTGAACCACTGTGTGTAGAAAGGAAACGCCAAATAGAAGAGACTTCCACTGTGGCATGCTGCAAACATCAAGAAAGTCCTGACTCAATCCAGCGTAAGTTCTCTTTAAGCCTGCCTTGATACCTTGAGGTGGCTCATTGGTAAACTTCAATGAAGACTGAATGGAAGAATATATTATAATATACATATGTATTTGTTAACATTAATGTCTATGAACAGCTTTTATGAAGGGATATACTGTCTGTCACTTCATCTCAAAATCTTTACAACTAACTTAAAATTTTAATGAGAGCAAGTGAATGTATTAAAAATCTGCAAGAAAAAATAACAACTCCACAACCAGTCATCATTTTTGGGAGTTAAACAGGAATAGAATTTTATTATAATCATATAAATAAATCAAACAGATTTATAGAAGTATCAACCTGGAGTAAGCTGATAGGAAAGTGATCATGGGGTTCTGTTGTAATCCACACTCTGAAGTCATCATGTATCTGTTGTGCCTCTAACAATGTATCCAACAACTCATCCATAAAGTTCAAACCTAAATGACAATTCTGCAGTAGAGCCCAGCCTCCCTATAAAATGCAAGTATTGTATTTTATATTGATAAACAACAACATTTTATAATGAAATATTTTCCTTAACATTATGGTCTGTTATATTAATTTAGCAAACCTATGTCCTGTGCAAATTAAGATAATATACATTGACATTATTGAATTATGAAATAACTAGAAATGTGTCCATAGGACACGGATGCCCCCACACGCCACTGTTCTGTCAATCTTATGACTCTAGGTCAAATATTTTTTGGACTACATGTGCCACAAGTTGAAAACTAAAAATCAACAAAGGGCCATAATTCTGTTAAATTTGGTTGCAGCAAAAATTCCTTCCATAACTACCATCTACACATTAAGGTTGTTCATCCCTGGCAGTTTAAGCAAAATCTGCCATCCGGTTTAGGAGGAGTTGCGTTCACAAAATTTCTACAGAGTAAATAGTGAAAAAATCAACAAAGGGCCATAATTCTTTAAATTTGGTTGCAGCAAAAATTCCTTCCTTTACTACCATCTACACATTAAGGTTGTTCATCGCTGGAAGTTTAAGCAAAATCTGCCATCCGGTTTAAGAGGAGTTGCGTTCACAAAATTTCTAAATAGTATATAGTGAACAAAATCAACAAAGGGCCATAATTCTGTTAAATTTGGTCGCAGCAAAAATTCCTTCCTTTACTACCATCTACACATTAAGGTTGTTCATCGCTGGAATTTTAAGCAAAATCTGCCATTCGGTTTAAGAGGAGTTGCGTTCACAAAATTTCTACATAGTATACTGTGAAAAAATCAACAAAGGGCCATAATTCTGTTAAATTTGGTCGCAGCAAAAATTCCTTCCTTTACTACCATCTACACATTAAGGTTGTTCATCGCTGGAAGTTTAAGCAAAATCTGCCATCCGGTTTAAGAGGAGTTGCGTTCACAAGATTTTGGGACGTACGGACAGACGTACGGACGGACGGACAGACACTTGGACGGACAAGTGCAACGCTATATGCTCCCACTCTGTGGGAGCATAAAAAGTTCTAAAACAGGTTCATTTTCAGCATATCATTGTTTCGTTTTATATCAAAGATATACTTTATAATGCTCATTTTTTAATAAAATATTTTAGTCGAGGAAATTTATTAAAACCTATAAAATTCTTACTGAATATGTCTAATTTGAATAAAAAAATGAATAAACTATGCGTTTGAAGTCACGTTCTCTATTATAGGAGAAGTAAAGTTGTTTTTTTACTGCCAGTTTTTTTAATGACACTTTATATTCATATTGTGACGACCTATAGTGTGTAGAGTTTATAACATGAAATATCAACTTTGTGTAAAATCAAAACATGTTTATTTCATATTTACAAAGAGACTGTGTAGCAATTATCAATATTTTCTGATATCAAATTTGAGCATAGTATATCTTTTACAACAATTATGACCATTATCTTTTATGTTATATATGTATTGCTTATAAAATGAGTTTAGCAATAAACATAAGCCTAACCCGAGTCTGATGATTTACAGATCAGATTTTTTACCCTACTTGTTCTTTCTTTAAATTGAAACACTTACAGTTTGCATGAAAGCATGAATGAGTTTTCTTGCATGTACTTCTTGTCCCTGTCCCATTGAAATAGCCCTGAATTCTGTAAAGGCAAAAGTATTCAACATCATAAAAGGAGTATGATTACACGTTTTAAAGCAAAATTAAAACATTGCCTATAATTAGGAATGGCAACGAGTAACCGATTAACCGAGTACTCAATCGAACGTCCGCTTATCGGTTAACAAAATTTATATTCGATTACTCGGAAAAAATATAATATATTTTCTATTTTTTTGCGATTTAGAAAGATAGGTGTATCCAATTAGTTCAGAAATCCGAGATGTGCATGTATCTTCATTAATACCCATTAAATGCAATCAAAACATCCTTGCAGAGGTGCGAAAATGATATCATAAATTTAACGAGGCGATCAACAGTTTGCTTATGTCATCCAGCCGAAGTAACTGTTTTGAAAACAACAAAGGGCCGATTGTTATTATGAATATAAGAATAAAAGTAACTAGTATTTAGACCAGGTTAAACTTTTGTTGCCTGACCGATCAGTCTATATTATTTCAAAAAGAAAAAAGATATATGAACTGTTATACATGTTTAAAACTTGATATTGCATTAATTAAAACATTGTAAAATATTATGTTGTTGATTTAATTATAATTAATTTGTCTCCCGTGCAGTCCTATTTACTATCTACAGAATTCTATGAATTTAAATAGAAAACGATAGTAGTATGTGGAGGGTGTTGATATTGTGTGATAAACTTTGAAGATCACTGGCAATCATCCGAGTAACCGAGTACTCGATCAGAAAAATAACCCAGTACTCGAGTATTGATTTTGGTATTCGTTGCCATCCCTACCTATAATATTAAGTATGCATGAATAAAAAGAAGAATTTACTTGTCATGGAATAATGTTACATTAGTACCATCTTGACATATTCAAAAGTTTCAGTTTTGCTATCTTGGCAAAGAAATATCAGTCTTACCAAGTTGTCTTTTCTTACAAAGATTCTCAATCTGGTTGGTTGGATCAGAACCCATAGACAAGAAGCAGATGAGAGGTGTTCTTGTATCACTCTCCGCCCAGGTAGCTTCAAGATTAAGCAGTACAGCTTCAGCATACCTTGGTCCCATTGAATCACTTATATACTTTCTTGCTTGAGGCACTGTTCTGTCTGGACACCAGGATCTATAAATAATTTGATATGCTTAATTCATGTAACCAATGACACAAAATGCTGACCATTATGCAATTATATTTTTGTAATCTTATAGATTTCAACAAATATGGCATGTGACTAGTCAAGAATTAGACTTTGTCACATCATATATTGTAGTTTTAAATATGAAAAAACAAATGTCTTTTATGGAAGAAATATTCTGTAATGTTAACCTTGGAAGTGCTTTTCTGCCTACAGTTTGTATTTTTTCTAGCTATGTAAAATACTTGCTAAAGGGTGGAATTTGTATTCTTGCATATCAGACTGGCGTTTCCGTTAGTTTTACCCATGCCGGAAATTTCATCTGGCATGGGGGGTTCCAGATGAGTTGCATGCTGTGCAATGGCACGATAAAGATGACGTCATTTTACCGTTATGAATGATTTTGTAATTCATACGCTGTTGAATGAAAGTAGTTACGGTTGTAATGATATAAATTTTCATTGAAAATAAAGATAAAGAATTTAAAATATAATGGAATATGGTAGAATATGCAAGAAAAAATATCTGACATATGTTTGCGGTTCGGATCGGAATATCCGTCCCTCGGTCACCCGCCGATGGGCGGGTCACCTCGGGACGGATATTCCAATCCGAACCGCAAAATATGACAGATATTATTATTCTTGCATATCAGACAGAATTATCTACGATTTACACCGGTGCTAGAAAACCCTGTCTTACACCCCCCATGTAAGACAAGTCGCGTGCTTTAAATGACGTCATTGCTGCGCGCATTTTATGAATGAATTGCGTTCTTAGGATGACGTCACTTAACCGTTATGAATGAAGTTGTAAGTTCATACGCTACTATAAGAAAAAAGTGCATAATGAGAATATCAGTTTTCATAGTTGATATGAAAAAAATTGATATTTAATATGCAAGAAAAAGAATCAAACACCGGCTGTCTGTGCAGACAGGAATATCTAGCTCTCGGGTAACTGTTTAGCGGAAACTCTGCAGAGCCTCATTACCGCTGTAAACAGTCACCCTCGAGCTAGATATTTCGGTATGTACCGGCAGCCGGTGTAAGATTCATATAATACCTTATAAGCAACAGCTTCTTGAATGAATCTAGTGCTGCTGTATAACCATCAGGCATGGTTTCCTCCTCGGGAGCATCTGTGTCAAACCAGGCCTTCCAGCCTCTATCATTCCGGGTAACTTGGTTGAGTATCTCTGAGAACTGACCAAGAGAACTCAACTGTACAAGATTCAGCCAAGTCATGTCTGAAATCCATTTGGCAGGCTTTGGTGTAACTGCATTTAAATCTAGAGCAGCTCCACCTAAAATATTCAGAATAATGTGTTTTCATCATCTAAAAATAAAAAATTTAACATGAATTTTTTTAATCAAAGGTTTGACAGTGTCAAAGTTAGAGGAATACAAGAGCCACTATGTTTATTTTTCAAATGACCATAAATAATCATTTCCATAATGTTCAATGTTATCAATTTTACATCTGAAACTGTGCACATGGTCCAAATTTTATAGCTGACATTAATGAACAAGAAAGAAGCAATAACAACAACAGGAAAGCTGACGTAACTGTAACAATACCTCTATATTTTTTTTTCCTTGGAAAAAAAATTCAAGCTAAATTGAATTAAGTATCAGAGAAAATATATAGTTCTTCAGAGTAAGAACAATCCATCATACTCATATAAAACAAGAACAAAACTACCTACCTTTGACAAATGTTTGAAACTCGTCATGTTTGACTCTATTCTGTTGTATATCTATCTTAAGTGACATCAAAAGGACAAATAGAAACTTATGTTCCTCATACAACCCTCGGCATGTGTACCTAAATGCTTCAAAGCCCAGATAATCTATAATGTTTTGAATTCTTTTGGATGTAACTGGACTTTTGTCCGATCTGAAAACAAAATATTATAAACATCAAAAATATTTTATAGTCCTATATACTTTATTTTAGAATAAAAGTACCATTCAGAAATAAGACCTTTCTCAAAGAGCCAAAAAGTTACAAAGTTAGCACATATTTATAAAAAAATAAAACAATGTTTAGCAAATGTCTGTCAGGTAATTTAATATAAAGTCATTATTCCATTTTTATTCATTCTTTTTTTTATTTAAATACCTTGCCATTGAGATGTCAAATATTCCTAAAAACTGGGTTAATGACGTCTGATACATTCTGTTCACAATAGTCATATCACATATCAGGAAATACAGGATACTTCCCCTTGATGCCACTAGAATGTACAATAGAAACAGTTAAGAAAAGCAATCTTAACAAAACAAATAGATAGGATAGCTCTACACATACTTCGTAAACTCTACCAAAAAAGTGCTTAATGTCAATCAATCAAACATAAGATCTACTGACTGCCATTCTAACCCACTATGGAGCTGATCAGTTGCCTCTTATTATATGAAAAGTCTATACATTACATCATTTGATAAAAAAATATCAAAAAATTCTTTTTGTTTACTTATGTGATGTAACAATTAAGGACAACTTTACATCATATCTTTTCAAATTGATTCTTCTGTCATGTATTATACTGTGTCTGCTGTCATGTATTATACTGTGTCCGCTGTCATGTATTATACTGTGTCTGCTGTCATGTCTGCTGTCATGTATTATACTGTGTCTGCTGTCATGTATTATACTGTGTCTGCTGTCATATATTATACTGTGTCTGCTTTCATATATTATACTGTGTCTGCTTTCATATATTATACTGTGTCTGCTGTCATGTATTATACTGTGTCTGCTGTCATATATTATACTGTGTCTGCTGTCATGTATTATACTGTGTCTGCTGTCATGTATTATACTGTGTCTGCTGTCATGTCTGCTGTCATATATTATACTGTGTCTGCTGTCATGTATTATACTGTGTCTGCTGTCATATATTATACTGTGTCTGCTGTCATGTATTATACTGCGTCTGCTGTCATATTGTATTATACTGTGTCTGCTGTCATGTATTATACTGTGTCTGCTGTCATGTATTATACTGTGTCTGCTGTCATGTATTATACTGTGTCTGCTGTCAAATACATGTATTATACTGCGTCTGCTGTCAAATACATGTATTATACTGTGTCTGCTGTCATGTATTATACTGTGTCTGTTATGAACTTTTATATCTTCTAAGTTATGTCATAAAAAGATATACAGTCGGACCCCGGTTGTTCGACAACCCTGTATATTTGAATACCCGGCATATCCGTAGTAGATCTGTGGTCCCGTTTTATCTCTATATAAGTCAATATAAATACAAACGTGTTATTTGAAATGCATTCTCCGAATACCCTTTATTTTTTCCAAGTAAAATTTCGGTCCCGATTATACAATGTTGACAGGATTTCACACCTATTATTTGAAGCCAGACATATTGCCGCTGATCAACTTGCTTACCATAAAAACTTGTGAAAAATTTCCAACAACCATGCATTTATATAGACAATTGCGATAAATACACGTCTTTTTAAATTAATTTTAAGTAAAAAAAATTATTTGTTTTATTTGTATGCGAGTGATTTCTCTTTTAATTATTGGACGGTAAAAGTATTCAATTCAATAATTTCAATTTAAAGATGAAAGTAAACAATTCAAGTAAAGAAATAAATAAATAAACAAGCAAACACTAACATATTTGTATATGAATACTTAGAAATTCCTATTATATTTCATATCGGTGCATTATGTCCATTAGAACAAAATATCCTTATCTTGTCTATGACAAAAATTCTGTATCATGTCTGATGTTGTGACACTTAAAGCTTGAAGATGACAGCGATAATTTTCAATTATCCTGTGCTACATAATGTGGAATAAAGTGCAAGTATTTATGTCTTCGGTACCAATTAAATTTTATTTTTTATGCATCTTTTGTTGTTTATTTAATTTTTTCGATTGATTAATGGTAACAAGTGTGTTGTAAATGGTACTTTTACTATGATTAGTGTATGGCCAAAGTTGAATAGTTGTTGCCCATCAATATATTTGGATTTTAATTATTTGAACCCATCGATTATTCAAAGTAAATTTTCTATCCCCAGCAATTCAAATTATCAAGGTTGGACTGTAATATAAACAAACAGTGTCTTATATACACAGAAATATTATATAAATATAATATGGCAACATGTGAGACTTTGATATCGTCAACCCAAAGACAGAATTTGCAACAGCTCCAGTGGCATACCTGGTCTAAATTCTTCTCTTGCCTCATTAATCTTGATTTCTGTTTCAGCAGCTACTGTTAACTTCTCACTGACCTCAGCTGCTGTTACTTTAGTCACACCCAACACAGTGATCAGTGACTCATCATCTACTAATGAACCCTAAAGGAGGAAAACACACTGTCATACATTACACGTACATAAGCCTATAAAAATACCAGCAAATTTATTTAACAGCATAATGAGTGACTGAACGCTGTGGATTCTTAAATCTTTAGATGACATTGTGGCACAAATTATATATCATTATGAATGGATATTTGATTATTACAAACAGATTTTACATGGTATTTGTTATCATTACTATACAAATAAAACTGTGTAATGACCAAAGTAAATTACCAAAATATTTTTTAAAACACACTGCAATTATCATTTTAAAACTCATCTAAGGGTTTTTACTTCTGCCTTAAATATCTTACAAGACTTCTTGAGAAAGTATCCAAATTGAATTTTTATCGATAGATATGTCTTTTCTATATTTGTAACAAAGTTTACTAACATTTCTTGCAGACTATATAAGACAGCTACCTTATCAAAACTGTCATTAGAAAGCACAGTACACACCAAGTAATTTTGAAGGTGAAACAAACAAGCACCACATGTGGTTAACTCCAAAAATATAGCTTTTCATTCTTATATTACACAAATGTTATATTGAAATTAAAAAATAAAATGTGAAAAAAATGTGTATATTATATATATTTTAATTCATCAAATCTTGCCCAATAAGTGGTGGGTTTTGTCCACTCTGTAAAATTTAGTGGTGGGGTTTTGTCCACTCTATAAAATTTAGTGGTGGGGTTTTGTCCACTCTATAAAATTTTGAGTGGTGGGGTTTTTACTGGTGGGGTTTTGTCCTACATTCTTCAAATTTATGCCAATTGTCTTACAACTGCATCTTCATATTCCAAATTGAATGCTGATAACTTCTAAATTGTTTGAATATTTGGCTACATTTAAAGAACAACGACACTGCAAGGATCATAACAATTTGACTTTTTCTCTGAAACAAACAAGCTAAAAATGAAGAAGTAATTAAAGTGGAATATCAGTCAGCCTGAAAAGTTTATCTGTCCTTCCTAACCCAGAACATGGCTTATGTTAAAATGTAATACATCACAGAAAGGTAAATTGTACCTTTGTACTGGTGAGTTTAAATAGAAGATTGTCTTCAAGTTCTTTCATCTTGCGTTTGTTTGCTGTCACATCCTCCATTAATTTGACACGCTCAGCTTCTAATTCCTGTATGAGACAGTAAAGAAGATATCATATTGTTTCCTAAAAAAATAATTCAAATTGTACTCATTATATGTAAAGTAAGAAAATAAATAAATGGGTTGAAATAATATCAAACAAGAGCTGTCCGTAAAAAAAGTTTTTGCAGTAAAAGGCAATACAAGAATCTCTGTATTTTTAAAGTGAACTAGTTGTTTGATACCCTTGAATATTACAGCAATGTTTATATGACATAATTTATGGTAAAGTGAACAAGTGGATAGGAATGAATTTTTTTAGATTTTTTAAGTTTTTTAGTGCTTGCCTATAATACAAAACATTGACAGTTAAGGGCCATAATTCAAATAAAATCTTTGACAGAATTACCTTCTCCTGGACATGTTTGGGAATCATGATTGTAAACAAGTATTCCAACTTTCAAATTAATATCTCAAACAGTTTGCAGTCAAAAAGTGGACTGGTACTAAAAACTTAACCAAGATTCTAAGTCGATAAAAGGCCTTAATTTTTAAAACAAATCCTTGACAGAGTTACCTTCTCTTGCGTACAGATGGGGGTAATGATGTGAAATAGCATTAAAGTTTCAAAGCAATATCTCAAAGGGTTAAGGCAATAAGTGGATTTTACCCATATTCAATGTATTTTCTAAGTCAAAAAGGGGCATAATTCTGTCAAAAAACTTGACAGAGTTATGTCCTCTTGTCTGTTGATGAAGTCGTGATGGTAAACAAGTATGGTCAGTTTCAAAGCATACCTCCAATGGTTTTGAAATAAAGTGAGGTGGTACAAAAAACTTAACCAAGCTCAATACACTTTCTAAGTCAAAAAAGGGCCATTAATTCTGTCAAAAACCTTGACAGAGTTATGTACTCTTGTCTGTAGATGGAGGTTATGATGGTGAAACAAGTATGGTAAGTTTTCAAAGCCATACTCTTGTAATACTTCTGAAATAAAGTGGGGTGGTACGAAAAACTTAACCAAGGTGTGACGCCAACGCCGACGCCGACGCCGGGGCGAGTAGGATAGCTCCCCTTTTCATAGAAAAGTCGAGCTAAAAAGACTCTGGCCTTTAAAAAGTTAGTTTTTTTGTGTGTGTTTATACTTTTACTGACAAGTTAAATGTATAAATGACTGTAAGACTATAAAACCTAATCAAGCATAGGTTTGTACAGTTAACAACCCATTCTACACAGCTATATAACCTGTGAAGTTTAAATAAATAATTTTATTGTAATGAGAAAAATAGAAAATCACTTTATAAAACAAGAAATATGGCAATGCCACAAACTAAGTTTTCAATTATCACTATTGTAGAAAGTTATGATCTTGTACAAGCAACATGTAATATAATTATGTGCAATATAATTGATAAATAATGAATAATAAAAAAAGAAATAAGCAAGCATTTCTAATAACAGCAGATGGAAAAATCAATCCCAAGCGAGGTCTTCACATAAGCTTGCTATGCACAAAGCTTCTTTGAAATATCTCATTCCAAACTCTAGTTATTGACCAGAAACCAATTTAACATTTTTAGTAACAGTGACAGACCTTAACCTTAGGGAGCTAGCTATATATACACAAGGTTTCTTGATAGTAAGTCAATCTAAATTTAAGTTTTTGAATTGAAACCACTGTGTCTGATACCAGCCTGTCCACCATACCTAAATCTAATAACCAGACTTTTCAAAATTGAGAACTTGGTTAATTATAGATAATAAATTGTCACAAAAATAGACAATTGTGACAATCATATTAACACTATAAACATGCAGGTTAATTATATTTCTTTAAATGCTTGTCAAATCTTACATTTTTCTCAGTCAATATGACACGTCCCAGCAACTGATCTTCCAAACCTTTCATAGTCACAGTAAAATCAATGATAGATGTTCTGGCACTAACCTGTAAACAAGTTGTTATATTTTTATCTCTTAGCAACCGTTTTTGTACTAAATTATATACTTCAAAGGTAAAGAAAATACAAAGTATGTACTTTCTTTTATATTAACTATGTTTTAATGTTAATGATTGCACTAAATTTATGCACTTTAATCAGATTTTGTTATCTTTTATATCAACATACAAAAGTATAAGTTTGCTAATAGCCTTTTAAATAGAAGATGTAATACTACATTAATTCAAACTTTGAAAAAAAAGCATAAAAAACAAGCAATTATCATAGTATTGCAAGCAATCCATAAGTCCCCTACCGGTAAGAGCCCAAGAAACATTCTATGGGCCATTGGCCATTCACTTAGGTTCCTATTTAAAAGTAAATTTGTTGAAAAAGTTCTTTAAAAGTGATCACAGGAAATAGTTTTTATGTACAGACAGACTGAAAGACACTCTAAAGTTATTTTTTAAACATCCCTGTTATCAAAATATAACATTTTTAAAATCCTATCATGATTGAAGAAGTTGGAGTAAAAATTACCAATTTCTCAAAAAAAAGTCTAAGTTCAAAAGGGGCATAATTCTGAAAATAGTCTTGCTAGAGTATTGAACACTCACAAATGTTGAGTGACAATAAGAAACATTTATATGAAGTTTGAAGTAGATACATTCAGAAAAAGAAGTTATTAAAAAAAACAATGTTTTTTCCATGAAAATTTCAAGTTCAAGGGAGGTAAGTCTGATAAATTTTGTGCTAGAGTTGTAAACCTTGTCACATATGATGTGGTTGATGACAAGCAACTTATATTTAAAGTTTGAAGAAAATATCTTAAGAAATAAAGAACTTATAGTGAAAAAACTTAAAAACTAGAATCAGAAATCTTGAAATTCAGTCTATTTGTTGCCATAGCAACCAGAATTTTCAACATAGGAAGATAAGAAAAGGATGTGAATAATTTCCATACTGCCATCTACCCATATGTCAAGTTTCATAAACATATTTTCAGTACTTTTTGTGTTATCACTGGATCCAGGTTATGTGTAAAATTTGCCATATTTTCAGTCTATTTGTTGCCATAGCAACCAGAATTTTCAACATAGGAAGAAAAAAAAAGACGTGCATAATCTCCATACTGCCATCTATCCATATATCAAGTTTCATAAAAATATTTTCAGTACTTTTTGCGTTATCGCGGGATCCAGTTTATGTGTAAAATTTGTCATATTTTCAGTCTATTTGTTGCCATAGCAACCAGAATTTTCAACCTAGGAAGAAAAGAAAAAGACGTGCATAATCTCCATACTGCCATCTATCCATATATCAAGTTTCATTAAAATATTTTCAGTACTTTTTGCGTTATTGCGGGATCCAGTTTTGTGGACGGACGGACTGACGGACGGACAGACGGACGGACTGACGGACAGACAGACGGACGGAGGGTAAACCTAAAGTCCCCTCCGGTAGACCGGTAGGGGACTAATAAAAAGAAATAAAAAGAAAACAAAGTATTTTTAACAAGGCTACCTCTGGTGTATATGCTGGGTTAGCAAACTTTGTTGTGATGTAGAGATAAAACCCAGACATCACATCACACTCCTTGTCTCCAACTTTTACCTACAATTAAATGTTAAAACAAAATACAATTTTTTTTCAATCATGTACTTACTTAAGAATATGATAAGCATTTATCAAGGCCAGTCAGTACAGACAATTTACCAATCCCACAAAACAATTTAGTAATTGAAGTTTGATCCCTGAAATCTAAATTTACAGTTCCAAATTTAAGTAAATTTCAAATCTTCTTTAAGCACTATTGTTGTATCATTTTGTTACAGAGGTAAAACAGGAACTTTCAGATTATTTTTCTATATCTTAAATTAAAGTCCTTTTAGAATAAAAGATGATAATTTTTTAATCCTTTTGATATTATTTTAAATAGCACAGCAAGTCTATAATAAAGAGAAAACCCTTACAAAAAACAATTTGACATAAATGTCCCATATTCAATTGTTGAAAACACTCATGACAATAGGACCAACGGACAATGGCAAATGTAATATGTCCCATGAACCCCAAAGAAATGTGGGAATAAAAAACATATAAAAGTAAGGCTTAGAGATTATTATACACTGATCGAAGAACTGGAAGTACAAAATGGCATACCTTGAAAGTGGAACCTGATTTAATAAAGTTTTTCTCCAGCACATTATCGAGGGCAGGGTCTAGCTCTTCCTCTACATCCTCAATGAGCAGTGGTCTTCCTAGAGACAGAGCATCCTCAAGATGTGTACGGAAATACTTGTGGTTCAAAGATGTCACCTTAATACAACATAGATAAAATAATTCATACTTTTCATACAAAGAACAATTAATTCCATCGAAAGAAAAAAACTTTCTAAGTCAACTAAGTTTGGGTAGACAAAAAGCTGCTGGTAAGTAATAGTTTGAAATTGTCAAACCTGGAGGATCTTTACGACCTTTTTATACACCAAGTTTACAACATAAATACATAATTATAATGACACATTATTTCACATTTATTAACATGATTTTCATAACATGTTAAATGTAATTTTGTAGTTACAGTTAATTTTGTCATACAATGAGAAACTTCCAGCATGTTTTTCTAAAGGAACATGTCAATAAAATACATCAGTTATTCCAAATTAATTATTAAATATTTACTTGTAATTCTCTTTCTTTTTCCCTATTTTTGATCCAGATTTTCCCCTGTCCTTGCGGATCAATAAGAAGTGGGTATCTGGTAGCTTTTGTTGTAATAATACCATTCTGTACTGACAAGTCATCATTTGGCAAACCTTGAATATTCCATTCACCAATCTAAAAGAGAAGAACCGAAAAGAAAATGGCAAAACATGCATTCCTGATTTCATGCAAGAAGTTCAATTTCCCTGAGAAATATTCAAAGGATATACATGACCATTTGAGTAACTATCAGCCACTGTTCAAAACATGAACACCAACAAGATAAATAACATAATTTCAAGAATATCAAATCAAACCCTGAGTATTTGTTTGTTTCATTTACAAATAAAAAAGATTTTATAATCAATGAACTAAATATTCTACAATTTATACGGACCATTTAACTTGGTCCTTTCACTTACTGTTGCATTATCAACAAGCATGGTGATGAGATTAAGGTCATTTGTAAATGGAATGCGTCTTTGATACATCTCTTTCTGCCAGTTATTGACCAGCTTACTGCGGAACTCTTGATTAAATGGTCCAGAATAAGACAAGAATCCAGTACAAAGTAACACATCCCCAACTAGCCTGAAAAAAGAAAAACGTTAATGGCAGGTATCCAATCAGCATGCCTCTAGATTCATGCTAATGTTCATGAATTTTTTTTTTAAATATATTAAAAAATTAAATATTGTCAAGTGAACAAAGAAAATGATTTACATATTGCTAACATTGCTTAAAATCTACTAAAATTACAAAAGCATTGGTCAGAATATGCAAAAATAACCCTTATTGTGTTAATCATGCAGTAGAAATATGGTGATAAATACTGCTTAATTAGTCATTAATTGCAAATAACATGTAAATTATTTCTTGAATTGTGAATATTTCTATTTTTCTTTGTACATTTTTCTCAAGTTTGATTTTCTTGAAATATTACTGTCATCTTGAGGCATGCAGTTTTAATGTTTTAACCATCATAATGAAAATTCAAAAGCAGTTAAGGTACAGAATTCAGGAAAAAAGCCAGGTATAAGTAATTTGCCAAATGATAACAAAGCAAACCTAACTCAGCACTGTCAATTGCATAACTCCTAAAGTTAATTCTTAAAATCATGGGAAAGATGAAATAATATAAAAGGCAATTCCTCGTGAGATAATAGGAAAGCAATATACTAGACAATTATAGTGGCAGAACTATTATCATTCACTTTCTCATAAATATGTTACACTGTTTTAACAACGGCACCATGTCAAAGGTTCAGTTACCAATACATCATGAATATAAAGTCAATTTTAAGTAACATACCTGTCAATCTGTGATTTAAACTGCTTGCTCTGTTCTGTCCATCTCACTTTTTCACCAGCTAATCCACCAATAAGTGCTGATGCTGCTGTCATTCTTCTCTTGCAGGATTCAGCATCATCTAACAATTCCTGAAATAAGTTATAACCATTGTATAACTTTTCTTAAACTGAAGATTTATTTTAGAATCTGAAAGGTTTCAATATTTTTTTTTAAATACCTAAATACTAATAACCGAGGTGTGGTGGAGTCTGTGACTAAATGTGTAAATATCTTTTAGATGTATTAACTCTTATGCTATGACACATTTAAACAGTACTTCCTTAAAAGTTTTTACTTAAAATTATATATATATTATTGCCCATTTTCATGATATCTTGATTAAAAATGTCTTGCAACAGTGCATTTATTTTTCTAATAACTCTCAAAAACAATAAATTGGTAAATATAGCAGCTTATCTTTAAAGACATTTTATTTTGCAAAAAAAAAATAAATAAATAAACATAATGAACAACGACACCTGTTTTTCTTTCATAGCAGCATCATACATGGCCTGTACTGCATCAAGTTCTTTCTGCTTATCATCAAGCTGTGCTTGAGCTGTATCTAGTTCAGCTGAAGCTACATTAAGTCTTGCCTCTTGCACTGCAAGGTTTGCCTACAATAAACAAAGTGATCTCTATTTCCAGATTATTATTAAGAGAAAAAATGTGAATAAAAAAAAAAGGAAAGTGCTGTAAAGATATATTATTGTAATTTGTGTAAAAATTAAACTTATATCTTGCTGAAAAATTCTATCAATGCTAAGTATAAATCTTTAAATAAATAAATAAATATCATTCCACAGTTATTGATAAAACAATAAATCAAACTTTACTTTCAAATTCTGAAAATTCACCTGTCTGGTGTTGTTTTTTTTTTTGTACACTTTAGCTTAAACTTGATCTATTACAAAGTTTGTGTATAAATCTATTATCGAACTAACCTTCAATGGTAGTACTTCTTTATTTACACCAAAGAAGAAAGCCATAGCACATGACCAGGACAGTAAACCTGCAACATTACTGCACACTTTCTTAGCAGACTCCATGTTAAAATCTTCCATACGTAGATATGGTTCCATTAACTCTACAGTCTCAGCGTTGATGGTGTCTTTTGGAAATTGCACCAAAGTTTGTAAGAAACCTGAAGCACTCATCAACTAAAAATGACAATGTAATCTTAACATAATTTTAATTTCTATTACCATTTCATTTACCCTATTTTCAAACAAGTGTACTTGTTTTTTAATGTTGAACTGTTTTAATCATTCTTATATTCTTTTTCTCAATCATATGCATTTAATTTTAAGAATCTGAAGTAAATTAATCTTAGAATTGATGGCGAAATATTAACAAATTTACTATACCACTCAAGCTAAAAGATACTGTTACTGTTTGGTTATGAACTTTCTGTTTTTGTTTTGTTTTCAGCATCACCATCTCAGTAAAGATCATATGGCGATTTTCCAGCTTTACCTGTGTAGGAAGACCTCAGGTGCCACTATGTGCATTTTGTCAGGTACAAATGGGCACCTGAGTAGAACCACCAACAGTGAGTAAGCTAGTTGAATAGCTTCCACACATGAAAGTATTCAATGTCCCTGGCAGGATTTGAACCTACATCAGTTAAGGGCAAATGGTTTTAAGTCAATGACCTTAAGCACTCATCCAACTTTCAAGATCAAACAAGTAATATAAGATCTCTTTGAATTTTTCATGAACTTTTTTTCTATTTTTTTTTTACTTGGGTCTCCTTACAAATACATGTACATATTTAGTCATATTCTAACCTTAAGTGATTCTCCCCAGGAAGGTTTAGGACAAGGTCTTTCAGGATCAGGTGTTACTGTATCTACCCTTTTTTGGAACAGCAGAAGTACACAGTCCTAATTCTCAAAAATAAGTTTGTGGGGGTTTTAAACCTGGGTTTTTTTATTTTTGGAAAATTCAGATGCTTTGATTGTTTTAAATTTTTACATTATTAAATTTATTTTAAAGTTTTTTTATACTTTTTTTTAAATAATAAAACCCAATTAGGGAAAGTTTTTTAAATTTCTATCAAATTATCTGTTCTAAGATTATAAAAAAGTATTAAAATTTCAGATCTCAGATTTCCCTTTTTTTTAAAAAAAAATATTTTTTGCAAAAAAAAAACCCAAAAATGATTTTTTACTTTAAAAACATCATTTTAAAAAACAGCTGTAAAAAAATTAAAACAAGTGACTTGATGCCCTAAAAACAAAACCCTTGAAAAAAATTTCAGAAACCCTTTTTAAAATAACCTGCAGGGTTTCTTTCAGCTTCCATGAGAGGGGGTTTTTAGCAGCCTCTTTTTGTTTCGCATATGATTTTTCCCCAAACATTGTTTTCTCTACTTTATGCGTGTTTTTATCTTTTACTTTTTGCACATCAGCTTTAACTTTCTCTGCTGCTGTAGCACTAGCTGTCACCTCAGCTAACACCTGTTCAGGAAATACAAGTGAATATTAATCAAGCATTATATTTCTAAGCTTCAAATCATGTACAAAATCTCTAGATAACAGTCCATTTGGTGCTGTATATATATATTTTCACTTTCGGTCGTTAACTTCCGAATAATAAAATTCTAGGGTTGGACACCGGTTCCCGGTATCAGTCCTATACCGAATAGTAACTTCGTAAATTACCGGTATATACCGTTTCGTAAAATACCGGTACTGGATTTTGATACTTTTGTAAAAAAAATAATTTAATAGTCAATATGTCAAAAAAATAAGAAGATTTTTAAATAAAAACAGCCTACAAACACGTAAAACAAACCATGAATTACTATTATCATGCGGCGAGTACGGCTTTCGCGGCAAACTTGAAGTTTGTGATGCGGCGATATTTGGTAAAAGTATTGTGCCGCTTATGTTCAAGATAATAATATTTTTGTACTCGGCAGGAAATTATAATTATTTGAACTGATTTTGCTAAAGTTTGTAAGTTTTAAATGTCAAAGAAACAACGAGAAAAACAAATCAAATACTTGAGTAATCATCGGCACATCGCACACAGTGACAGTCCTTCCAAACACATCGCACACAGCTTTTGCCGTAATGACAATGTAAATTCCAACATATGACATGTTTATTCAAACAATGCTTTAAAAAAAAATTTAAATCCATTTTTCAGTTTAAGTCTCTAAACACTCATAATGAATACATTTATTAATGTTTCCAGGTTCTTTTCATCCATTACCACATGTACAAATCCACACGTGAATTACGATTTTAACATAAATGAGGCCGAAATATTCCAATACAATATGCCTCCTTTTTTTTTGGTGTAACACTAAACTATTATTAAACATTTATACATTTTCTTAACAAAAGAATGCTGGACAGAACTTCAATCAAAAAGTGTGAATGTCGGCGGCTCTTTGATGGTGATAGAGTAACAACATCAAAGGGAGGCATATTCTTTGAATAGGCCTATTATGCACCTGTCAAAAGGTCAACTTGTGTGTATTACACATTTAGATCTGTGATACTTCAAACAAATTGAAACATATTTCATATAGTGTTTTGTAGGATTTTTTGCAAATGTTGGCTAGTATTTTTGCGTATCTGAGCAGTATGGAATTATGCAATTTGGTAAGGACAATACTTTTTTTCTGTAGCAAGATGTTCACGGTGCATGCTATTGAAAAATAAAAGATGTATAAAATTGAAGGGTAAATTCAATATTAATAAATACCAAAATCCTTATTATTTGTAAAGCATAGGTATTTGCTTTATGACTTCTACAAGGACTAATATTAGGTTAACATGAAAATGTAAACAAGTCATTTTGGAAACAGTCTGTGCTGACTGTGCATATACATGTAATTTCAAATTTCTAAGTTAATTACTGGTGGAAAAATATGTTTGTGCTGTTGTAGTAGAACAGACTGGAAACATAAGTGACTTTGAAAAAACATCTAATGAAATTTCTTAAATGTAATTCCAAATTGCAAAAGTAAGCCAACCAATCCAGTGATTTCATTTATTACAGTAAACAATAATGTGATTTAAAAAGAATATATGCATCAGAATAAAATTTCTACACAGTAATGATAATAGCTGTAAGAGAATAATAGATAACCAACTGTCTTAAATTCTTTCAGATGTAGAGATATCAAGATTAAAACAATAATTTGTAGACTTCTCAGCTGCAGACTGCTGTCCTGCATAAGATATTTTGCTGTGTTTAAATTATGTCATGTTCTTTTGATGAAAAAGTAAAAGTATTTTACAATTAACATGTGTAAATGTTGTAAAAAGAGTAAACACAAAACAACAAAAGAAAGTATACTTTACAGCATGAAATTTCAGAAAGACAGTAATGTAACATATTTATTTCTATTACTACATGTTATATCTCTTCAGTTTCTTATACTTGCAGCAACAGGTTTGGTATTGTAAAAGTATCAGTATCAGTATCGATAAAATACCCGTATCGTTTCGTCAGTACCGGTATCGGTATCGGACCGTTTCGTGAAGAACGATATCCAACCCTATAAAATTCATTTGTTAAATGGACAAATGTGACATAAACAGGGCAAAAACCAAAAATCCTTTTCCCCAGTGGACCCGGAATGCTTATACCCGTATACGCCTTTAAAATGGAAAAACTATAAAGGGCCCCACCTGTAATTGTTTAAATTTAAGTTATCAATTTATTTTTAATTTTAAAGAACATATCATGATTTTTTAATAAAACAGAGGGCCCTTGATAAACCAAAATAAAATTTAAAGGTAATAAAGTGGGCGCTGGGTTAAAAAATTTTTTAAATATTTTGCAAATTTAAACTTGGGAAACATCCAACACCAAATAATTAAATAAGGCAATTAGGTAAATTTATTTCCACTGACAGTAAATTTGAACATAAACTAAGAGATTTTGTTTTTCAAAATAAGATTTATTACCGATTTGCATTTGCAGATCAGACTTCCCGAAAGTTGAAAAAAACTGTCAGACATTCGGTCTGACAAACCATGAAAAATCTGTCGGACCGAAACAAAAATCTGTCGGACCAAATAAAATTGATCAAAATCAAAGAAAAAACTTGTGTTTGTATTTCTAAGACATTTTTTGTCTTTTATTTTTTTCGCCGTAAAAATCGGCACAATCCGCACAGCGCATTTTCATCTTCTCCCTGTCATACACCAATGATTCATGGTTCTGCTTCCATTTTTCATTAAATTTTGTCTCAGGTCTATTCTTTTCATCCTTTTTATTGCTGTTCTGCGCACTCTTCTGACGTAGATTTTCGTTTTTTCCCAGGTTTGGCACCTTTAGCGACGCCATTTTGTATACATGCGGCTTGGATAAAAGCCGGACAGTCGGACCGACCCGGAATAAAAAATTGTCGGACCTGATCAAAATTTATCGGACATGTCCGTCGGACCGACGTATTTCGGGAAGTCTGGCAGATGATTTTGCATAAATTTGATCGAATTTAAATTTCAAAAAATTTCTTTTTAATCATTTTCCCCAGAATAAAGATAAAAAAAAATTTTTTATAAAGCATTAAAAAATGAAAACTTTTAAAATGATCTAAATTAGCTGGGTAAATTTTTTAGTTTTGGAAAGGGGGACTTGATTTCCCAAAAAAAAATTTTTAGTGTCACCATTTACTGTATAAACTGTATGGGGACAATTGTTCCTTATTAGCGTTCTAGAATAGTTAATAATAAAACTTGACAATAAGATTATATAAAAAATGTTAAATTTCTTTCTGTTAAAGTAGATTTAATTTTTCGATTTTTTACTTTTATTTGAGACAAAAATCAACTCGGGACACCAACAGGACAGATACCTTATTTCCGGGGGCAGTCCCTTGATTGTCCAGGACATATGGCATGTATGTCCAAGTTTCCCCTAGCCAGTGGCTGAACCGACCATAGAACAAAATAAATCAAAGTCAGTGTTACTGCCTTTTCATATGTACCTTTTGCAAAATACTTTCATTATATTTATATTTATTGTTAAATACCACAATTATTTCATGATCATGAGTAATATAAATGTACTCTACCTTGTCTGCTTTTACATTAGGGCCACAGGGCCAAGTTTTTTCTTTTCACTACTAGTTTCTTTGAGAGTTGATCTAGAAGTACTAGCTTGTCTATGAGGTTTTTCTAAGAACCGTAAATTTTTAACCGCCCTGGGCAATTTCCCGATTTTCATATTAATTGCTTTTTTAAACAGATCAAATAAGCCCCCGAACCCCCAAAAAGGGAAAGGGTTAGAATTTGGTATTAAATGAGTTCCTGGTCTTCGAAAACCTTTAAAAGAATTTAAAATTTAAAAATTTTGCGAATTATATGACAGTTAATATTCAAAATTCCAAATTTAGAAAAATAAAAACTATTTTTTTTCAATACCCCTTTAAAGGGTACTAAAAAAAAAGGGCAAATAACTTTTATTTTAAATGCAAAAGTCAATGTTTTAGAAATGTTTTTAATTAAAACTAAGGGTTTACAACACATTTGGGTTTGAAAATTAATTTGTTTATTCAGATAGGGATTTTGATAGGGCGGCCAAATTTTATAAAAATGTTTTTTCATTTTTAAATTTTCAAAAAATAAAAATTTATCTTGGGGAAATTTAAAAAAAAATTACAAATTTTTGAGATTTTCCTTTTAAAGTATTCATAAAAACAGAAAACCAAAATCCCTCATTTCCCCTACACCCATATTTTTTAACCAAGCTTGATTTTTGTATCTGGGGAGGGAAACAATTCAAAAAAATTGACAAAAAAAAAGGTTTTGGGTACAGGGAATCAAAGCATCTTTTGGCCAGCGACCCAAAAAGTCCCTTGTAAAAGCCAGATTTCAAACCAGGAAACTTTTAGTGACCCTTTCGGAAATTCTTTACCAACCTTAATTTAAAAAAACAATTTTTTAAAATATTCCAATCTTTTTTTTCAAAACAAACCCCCTCCCATGCTGGGAATTTATGATAATGTTAAACCTTTTTTGAATATGAATGTTATTAAATATACTACCTAGGTGTTTTAGATTTTATTTTTGTAGATTAAGAATGAATGGCCTTCCTTTTAAGAATTCAAACAGGTAGATTTAGTAGAAATAGAATCCCTCGTGAAGAAAGATATTGTTTGTTTTGCAATGATTTAGATATTGAGGATGAGTACCATTTTATCTGTATATGTAAATGCTATGATGTTATAAGAAAACAATACTTAAAAGCCTACTATTACAGAAATCCATCAGTTTACAAATTTATTCAACTGTTAAACTCTAAAAATAAAAAATGAGCTTATACGTTTATCCAAATTTGTTAAAGAAGCTCTTTCCATTAGATATGTACTTTCAAATGCTACTGTCTGATTACAATTAATGTTCATTCTCCAAATGTTTTGTTTTTGATTTCCAAAAATATCCATAAAAGCGTCATATTTAATTATAAAAGTAGATAGTAAATACACATTTTTCCATAGCTACATTTTTGTTTGTTTGTTTGATTGATTGATTGATTGATTGATTGATTGCATGTTTGTTGTTATGAAACTATTGTATACGTAAAATGTGATATCCATATTTTGTTTGTTAATTTTCATGCAGCGATTACATATGTGAATATAATGTATTGTAGATGATGTACTTTGTACAAGTCTTAATAAAATATATGTTCTGTTCTGTTCTGATAATAATCATAAAATTTTTTTTAAAAAACCCAAAAAAGCCAAAGGGTTTTTTTAAAATTTTTTTTCATTGGGCAATCATGCCCTTTTTAAAAAATTTTATATGCCGGGGGTGCTTTTTTTTGAAAAAAAATCTAATTTTTTTGTATAAAAAAAAGGGATGTTTGCGTATTATAAACTTTTAAAAAAAATTTTCCCCCACAGGTTTATATTTGGGGGTATTTGCAAAATTACCATTTGCCTAGTAATTCAAAATTTTATAGCCCAAACCCAAATTGCCCCTCACACTTGTGGACTTGGAAAATTTTCCCAACGGAGGAAGCTATTTAAACTAGCTTTTCCCGGGAAAGTCGGGGGGGTTCCCACTCAGGGACCCGTTCCTGCTGAAAAAATGCCCGGAAAGGGGACCCGGGGGTTTTTCCCCCCAAAAGTAAAACTGAAAAAGTCGTTTTATGCCTTTACTGTGTCCGAATTTTCATAAAAACCCCAAAAAAACAAAAAAACAATATTTTTCAAAAAAACCATTAATATGGACCCTATAACCTGTCGGGGAAACTTTTTAAAAAAAATATAACCACAATATTTCATCTATTATTTAAATTTACTTAAAAACTTTCTTTTTAAAAAGGAACATTTTCATTTTTGCAAAAAAAATCAATACATTCCAAAATCTTTATTATTAGTTTTAAAATTTTTTAAAAGGAAATATAATAAAATAACCCCCAAAAGGAAAAAAAGCTGATAAAAGGTTGGATGCAAAACTTTGGTTGAAAAAACAAAGAACAAAAAATGTAAATTTTTCTTGCCCTTGAAATGAAATAATCATAAAGATTTTCAGGTGTTGGAGGTCGCCTTGGACACTCTTTCTTCATGACAGGTATCAGTTCTTGTGTTATTTCATCTAATTCATCTTTGGCAAACAAGTTTGAAACCTACAAATAATGATGCACATTATTTTCAGCATAATTCATTTAATCATAAAAAAAAAGGATAACCTGATGAAGGGTATATAGTACCCGAAACCAGTAGTTTAAATAAATATAGAAACCGACTTGGTGTTTTGATGTGTTGTTCTCCCCTCCCAATCTTTTAAATTTATTGTTTAATCATAAAAAAAATTGAATTAATTTATTTTATACTTTTGAGTAGATTAATGATTTATCTGTGTTCACACTTTTCAATGAAGAAACTATTTTTTTTAAAGATTTTCCCCAATTGGTAGTTCACTATTATTTTGGTTAACAATTTTGACATAATCAGGCCTGTTTAGAGCAAAGCAAAGCTGAAATTGATTAATAACTTAAATTTCAATGCAATCATAAAGATTCATTCAATTTACCGATCATCAAATATATGATTCACAATACACTTCCTTTCACATGCAAAACTACTCATGGTGACATCTGGGAATATTTAAGTATTGTATAATGCAATTTGTTAAAGCAATGACAATCATCACCCAGAAAGATAAGTAACAAATAACAAAGCGTTACAACATATTTCTAGTTGTCTAATGAAAATGCTTACAATTGAAAATTGACAGTTAGTAAGACAGCCTTGTTTTCTAATTCCTAATCGCCAAAATTTCAAATGATATAAAATAAAAATATTTAGTTCCAAATCGGTTTGCACAAACCATTATTTCATTCGAAGTTCAAGGCCCTTAAACTATTCAATGTTAACACAAACCATTTTTTATACAATGTTCAAGGCCCTGAAACTAAATTGATTCAGTGTTAACCTATGACTATTGCAAATTGCATATTTGTAGCTGAGATAATGATTAGAAATTGAGAACTTTTAAAATTTTTCCAAAGGAGATAACTGTCAAAAAACATCTGACCATAACCAAATTAGAATGTGAATTGTATTTTGTATTTTCTGGTAAAACACTAGCATCAGCAAAGTTTATCTTGAAAATCGTGCTAAAATGCAAAACTTGTAGCATATAGCATGCAGGACAAGTAGAAATTTGAAGCCACTCGTCTTGCAGGATGTGTGGCTGACTCTGAAAATTGTTTTTGATCCCTGTATTTTAATTTGAGTTGAATGTGTACAACTGTTCATACATGCCATATTTCCAGTCACCCAGATAGGGGGATTTGGCTTTAAAAAGCAGGGGATTTGGAACAAAAGTAGGGGGATTTTTAAGCAACCACAAACCAGTCATAATCATAAAACTATGCAAACATATCATTATATTTCCCCCATTTTATTATGAAAATGAGCATTTCTACACTATCATTTGATATTTTCAAGTTTTACACAAAAATTAATAACAATTAAAATGTATCCGAAATTTGGTATTCTGGCGCCTGCAATACTGACACTGATTGATAGGTTTATTGAAGAAGAATTGTGTCATGCATTGATTTGTTTATTCCTTGACAGCTGAAGTGTGTCAGAGTACCCACAATGCAATTATACGTTAGACCCCTGCTGTTTTAAGAGGAGATATTACTTCAGGCTTGTATAGTTGTAAATATTGTGTAAGTCTTTTGTTAAATTATGTTTATTGGTAAAAATGTGAGGCTTTAATTTTTTTGTTGGTTTAGTTTTTGGAAATAGGGGGATTTCGATCCCACGGTGAGAGATTGGGAGACAAAGTCGAAAATCGGGGGTTTTAAATGTCCCCCGGCAGGGGATATGGCATGTATGACTGTTGGTAGGATATTGAACAGAAACTGAACATTTCTTGAAAGGGTATAACTCTGTCAAAAGTTATCAGACCATAACCAAATTCGAACTTGACCTGCATATTCCTATGATGTATCCATATGTAAAATTTGAAAAGTTAGTCAAAGACTAATTCTGTTTAAATGCTAATGTTTAGGCTGTTTAAGTGACATTATGCCCATCCAGGGGTATATAGTGAGTGAACGGGTGAAGATCAAAATATGTTTTCATTTTGCCATAATCCCTTTTAATTTAATAATTAAGTTCACATAAACAATAGATAACAGTCACAAATCCAAATGAAATTTCTGTAAATATCCGTTAGAATTAACGTATAACGCTTAGTTTATAAAGAGTGGGGCAGTCTTTTTAAATTTTAGGCAGATTTATAATTTTATCCTAAACATTTTCCAATATGAACTGTTGGTCAAACACCATTTTGACAGTCAATCGTTAGAAATATAAAGTCAATTCAGCTCAACTTGACTATGAAAATATGAGCATAATGTCACTTTAACAGCCATTTGTTTTTACCTCTCCAGAGCTAAGCACATTGTTAAGGTATTCAAGGAAAGCTTCATCTTTGATCTCATTGTCTGTGAAAATGAATGATATGCCTTGCCCTTTTCCACCAGCTACTCGATATAGAAACTTTAAATCATCCATCAGGTTAGTGATACCATATGTCCTGCAATAACAGTACAAATTTTATTGAGCAATATTACATTTACAGAAATTTTACAATGTTACCAGTAATAAAGAAATTTGTTATGATTAGCAGATGCCTTCTAAAATCAAGGATATATAGCCTAAATGAATGGCCTTTATGTATACATCTATTCGATGTGTTGTAGTTGAATCATGTAGGCCGTTTTTAAATCAAATTAAAACATTCAGGGAAATATACAGAAACACATACTATAGTGTCATATATATCAACAAGCATATTCAACACACATAAATGCAACAAAAATGTAATTATAAAATTAAGTAATATGTCTTATGTTAGCACATAATTGCCCATTAAGCTTAAAGCATATTTTCAAACATGGGCAAATTTACTACAATTTTAACACACTACATTATATAATAATAAATGAATTATCATGAAGCTAAAACAAATGAAATAATTTTGCAAACATTATACTACATTCAAGTTGTAGATTAAATTGTACAAATATTTTTTTGTTACATTGTACCATTTTACATCATATTATGTGTTATCATTTCTTTCTTCTAGAATTATAAACAAAGCTTTAGTCTCCATATGACAATAAATAAATGAAACATTATGTTTAAAATGAAGATATATTTTATATAAAACCCACAAATCCAAACAAGTTACTTTTTTACATAAAGCTAAACATTTTTAAACTAAAAATTCAGATACTATCATACATGTCCATGACACAAAACTTAACAATAAATGTCGGAGGAATAACTTTTACTTTCCTTGGTGCTGGATAGAATGAAGCAAAGTAAAAATAAAGCTGCAAAATTGTTAAGCTGAATAAGTACTTGCCATTGGAAGTTATCAAGTCTTTCAAGTTTAAAGAGTATATCTGTGATGGTTTGAGGGATAATTAATCTTTTCCCTCATACAAGCATGTTTTGACGGCTTTTTGACACCCCTATTTAGGCCTCAAACAGTGAAAAAATTCCCTATTTAGGCCCCAAACACTGTTTTTCGTTTGAGAAATGTTGTTAAAAAAGTGACCACTTTTTCGGCGCCGTCCCCCATCCAAATGTTACATCAGGGGATTGCCAGAAGGGAGATGTGCCCCCTTCTGTTTGGGGGGTTTGAAGGGGGGCACCATTCCCCTATTGCCAAGAAAATTTTGGACATGTGACAGGCTAAAAATGGCTTCAGGTCTATCTTAGGGTAACTAGTAACCAACGCTGAAAAGCTTTTTACTTTATCTCAACTCATTGAGAAGTTGCAGCACTTTGAAATCAGTTTTGATGGAAAAAAACAATGCAAATAGTGATTTTTGGCAATGTCCCCCCATTGCCATGGTAACAGGAAATTTACGATTGAGCATGCTGAGGCTATGGTCTAGTAAACATTTGTGCCAAGTTTCAACAGTATTGAAGCATTTTTCATAGTTTCATCATAAACAGTTTGATCTTGTTACAAGAGGCTTTTCAATGAAAACGGCCATTTTTCGCAATATGCTCATAGGGTAAAAGATTAAGAAAATATAAAAACAAGGGAGATAATCAAGCAAAATGACCCTCAGGGTTATCAGCCATTTTAAAAATGCATTCTAATTTGGAAAGTGAACAAGTATGCAATGTTTAAAATAAATAACTAATAGTTTCATAGAAAATGTACCATAACCTATCTAAGGTACAAGTGAACTTGACCTTTGACCTGAAAATGGATTGTTAATATTGAAACCTTTCCTAAAAACATAACAAAAATGTTAAACCAAGGCCACACCTTTTATTGGTCCTGACAATAGCTCTGCTTTTTCTTCGAAAAGCTGAAAACTAAGAAAATCCTTTATTTATATATTTCATAAATGACAGGTTTCTGTACAATGCTATTATATTGCACTCATTTATTGAAACTGAAACAGAAAATCTTATACTGGAAATAAAAGCAATACAAACCTGCTAAGAGTAATCTGAAACATTTTGTAGTTTGCAATAAAGGAAGCCAATCTTGTCAGTGATTGTTTTCCAGATCCACCAACTCCAACAAGTAGAGCATTGCCTCTTGGTGTGCGGATAATTCTTGATATCTATCAAAGACATTGTACAAAAAGTTAATTATCCATTACAATAATAGTTTATTTATTCAGATTATGATAAACATTTTATTTAATTTAACTAACTGTTGTTTTTTTTTCTGCATTACACCAATTTTAATTTTAGCCTGTCAATTTTATCTCTCAACAAGAACAGAACAGAACAGAACAGAACAGAACATATTTTATTATTCAATATGACTTGAACATAACAGTTCCTTGTCAATTTACACAAATATACAGCATACATTAAAAACAGCGAGAGTGAAAATACAAACATACAAATATTTGGTGTTATCATACTAGTCTTATACATTATTCATATTTTCATTTCTAATACTAAATGCTTTATTACAAAATATTGCTAATCTATTCAAAGTATTCAAAGTATTTGTATTACAATGTATTTAACAGATCAATAAATTTAAACATACTGGGCTGCCTATAGTAATAATGTGGTAAATACAATTTTCTTAAATCTGAATAAATAGGACAAATTATAAAACAAAATGGTATTCATCTTCCATGTCGTTTATGTTGCAAAACGTACATTTTCTTTCCGATCTCACAGTGTTTCTTTGTCTGCCAGTCTCTATATTTAAACGGTGCGAAGACAATCTTAGTTTAGCTATTGTATTTCTCAATTTTGTGCAAAACATTTTATTTTATTTACATAATTTGATAATTCAAAGTTAGTTTTTAATTCTTTAAACAAAGAGAGTGAGCTTTTATTATTTACATCTTGTCTCCAGTTACTGATATAGAAGATATCTATAAGTCTTGTTCTAAGTATTGGAATAAAAATACATTGACAGATTCAGGAAATAACCAAACATCATTAAATCCTGTTTCTTGTAACAATTGCTTAACTTTAGAAGCCCAGTTAGTTTGATTTGCATCTCTATCAGCAATATATCTAAGTGACAATATTAGATTTTCTAGCAAACAATTATTACTTTTTTCTAAGTGTAATTTCAAAAAAATATTTTACAATTCTTATTTGCCATATTATAAAAAGCGGAAAACGACTGTCACCAGTTTCACCGTACAAAGCAGCATTACATGTAGTCATTTTTACATTTAAAATCCATTTTAAAAACTTCCTATGAACCCTTTCTATTTGTTTAATCCCCATACTCCACAAGAATAATTCTTAACAAGAACAATGCATGTATTTTTTACACTCATGTTGACCGATTTTGCTAACAAAAATCTTAGTAAAAGGAGCCTAACTAAAAAAAACAGCTCCTAATGTTATGTAAAGTATTCCAAATTCCATGTTGATACCTTTCATAGTTTTGAAGTTATTCAATTAAATTATATAAATTTTGACAAAAATTTACAGTAAAAAGAGGCATACTGGGATCCTACATATTTACCGGACAATCAGTTTACCGGATAAAAGCTGCTGAATAGTGCTTTATTTTTTGCTTCGATTAAAAAATCATCCGGTCTTAATCGTACACACACTTTCTATTTCAAAGTAAGTAACAACAAAACCACTCTTAGGTAAATATGGTTGATTCAGTTCTTTATCTACTAACATGCCCTTTTGTTTACTAGTTATTTCATGACCTGGTCATGCGGGGGAATAATATTTTCTGCGCAGGCCCGAACATGGAGACCCTTAATGTTTAGTTTTTAGAAAGGCTTTACTTTTAATTCTTTTCAACGTTACCTCAAGAGACAATCGTAACATATTTTAATGATAAAAAGTAATTTTAAATTTAGTCTTAACAGTATCTCGTTGTTGTCTTTTACAAAGAAGTGCAAATTAAAAAACATAATATAAGGAAACGGGTTACGCCCATGGGAGGAAACTCTACATGAAATATAAATAAAATAGATTTTATGGCTTTTGTAACATGCTACATGATGACCAAAATGAAACTGCATGACAAAGAACAGAATTCCATTTGAATATTAAAATATTTCATATGTTTAAGGATTATGAAGAATCAATACGTTGAGTTAATAGTGTTAATTTCAATTACACTATATACTGGCCTCTTCATGCTGCCGTGTCTATTTCTAGTGACATACTGGGTTTTTCAAATATCTTAACCTTGCCATGCAATAGACATAGTTTCCTTGCTGATTATTTAAAGATTATTTTTAATTCACAACTTCAAAAATGTTTGTTTGTTTGTTTTGGGTTTTACGTCACATCAACACAGTATAGGTCATATCGCGACGTTCCAGCTTTACTGGTGGAGGAAGACCTCTGGTGCCCTTCCGTGCATTATTTCAGGCACAAACGGGTATCTGAGTAGAACCACCGACATTCCGTAAGCTAGCTGGATAGCTTCCTCACATTAAAGAATCCGAAGTTCCTGTCGGGACTCGAACCCACAGCGGTGAGGGGCAAGTGGTTTAAAGTCAACGACCTTAACTAGTGATGTTCCGATTGTCGCAAGTCGCTGATAATCAGTTACTGTTATGTAAAACGACAATAATCGATTAACAAAAAATTGTTCCGCGACGTCGTCGAAAATGTTTAAAGTATCAAAACGAATTAATTCTGGCGGTAATTTTCTTTAAGGAACACCTTGCCGATCGCAAAAAAATTATCTCAGAGACAATTTTGAGTTGAATAGGATCAATACGTGATGTAAACAATAGTAAATAAATATATTATGTGATGTGAATGTTATTATTTGACATACATTGGAAAATTAAATCTATTTCGTAAAATAATAACTAAGTAGGGTTAAAACTGTGTTGAAAAGTGCTAAATAAAGTTCATGTTACAAAATAAAATCAAGTTCCTTGGGAAATAATGTTTCTTCCCTATTTCTTTTTAACGCGACTTTAATCGGAAAGTTATCGATTATGTCCCATCCGATTGAACCGATGATCGATTGGGACAAATTTCATCCGATTTCCATCACTAACCTTAACCACTCAGCCACGGACGCCCCTCAAAAATGTTTGAAACACAATGTCCGGTAAATTGAGTTGTTTGCACATTTTTTTCCTCTTATAATGGCCTACTTTAAAGACACATTTCTACAGTCAAATGTTTAATTTCATGCTTGATAAAGAAATGTTTACGTGCATTAAGAACCCAAAATTATTTGGATAAAATTCCATTCTTCTTTATTATTTTGAAATAAAAGTTACAGATAAAAAAACTTCATATTTTGTCCGGTAATATGTAGGATCCCAGTAACTTAAAATATTGCTTTCAGTTTGCATTATAATATCTAAAGTATTTTTCATATAAATATTCAAACTGCTTAAGACCCTTACTCTAAAAGCTCTTACCTTAATCAGATGTACCATGGCATCTTTGAAAAATACAAGGTCCATTGATCCTCCCCTTACTGTCTCATTGTATTGTACCATAAACATTTTCAATTTTTCATTCAACATTCCCAAGTCTTCTATCTGATAAAGAATATACAATCAACTTGTTTAACTTTAAGTAACATAAGTATTAAATTAGCTTTGAGCCCAAAATGTAGTGTTTTTATTCTAGGGTGAGTAATTTTTGCCATGTTACAGGTGGTGGTGAAATATGACCAATTTTATCACAACTGTTTTTTGGCTCGGAATACAATTCAAAGTCATGTCATGATTTCTTTAAATTAACACAATAACTTTATCCATTACTTTATTTGATAAGTTCATTTTTTTCTTCAAATTTTATTCATATCATTTCCCCATTTCTATATAAAAATTGATTTATGAACACAAAAGATATAACATTCTCATTATGAAGAACAAACTGCTCAGCTTAATTTCAATAAGGCAAAATTGTTAATTAAGATAAACAAGCTTTATTTTCGTCAGACAATGATGCCATTACTTAGAAGGCATTTAAAGATCTAATTATCTACAAAGTACAGATAGTTACATTTCTATAAAGATACATCTTTCTAGAAATAATCCTGACCGATTTCACATGTAAATTAGCAACCAATTTTGATTGTCATGAAAAATAACATTAACCACTAACTAAATAGGAATTTTACACTACTGTGTACACAATCAGAAACTGACACACATGTTTTTTTTCAAAACACATACGTAACAGAGCTGTTTTCACAATAAAATTAATGTAGCCACTTTATAAAGGTGATGAAGAAGGTAAAATTTTAATATTACAGCCCCTACATTTTAACAGAAAACCTTAGGCTGGTCTGTAAAAATTACTCCTGTCAAAGCTGACACAGAAAGAATAAATAAGGACATTCTACAAACACATTTAAGAAGTTTACCTGTTCATAAATTTTAGGAGCATCAAGGGAAGCATCTTCTGATTCTTCACCTGTAGGTTCAGGGGCGTCCCTGAGGAAATCAACAAAGAATGGTTCCTGTGGTAGTTCATTAAAATATTCCTCTCCTAGATGCGTCTTACACACATTAATCATTGCATTTTCAAACCACTGCTTGTCCTCTGGATTAGTAAACCTGCAGGAACAATTTTAATGTTTTCAGCATAAATCAGTGATATTGAACTCTTTCATGATTCCTGTGACATTAAATCTTTCACTTCTGACATTGAGTTTCATGTATTACCCTTTTATAAAACTGTTAACATGAAAATGTTGCTGCTCTATGTTTAATGTAAAGGTAGTTCACTCAGATCAAATAATTCAAACTACTGTAGATTTACTTGGTACTCGGAGCCTGATAATTTGTATTTTGATTTAATATTTGATAAGAATGAATTGGGCTGAATTATATGATTCTCACATGGACCAGTATATCTTAAAAATACCTGTCAGCAATGACCCTTGTGCATTCATGCTTCCAAAGCCCAAGCATAGTGGCTTTACTAGAACAATCATCTCCATGGATTTTCAACATGCCTTCCCAAATACGGGACAAATCTCTCAAGTTGAAAATATAATGGAACTTTGCAGGGGTTGGTAACATTTTCACCTGCACAAATGAAGCATATCGTAATGTTACAAATATTGTTTTTAATTCACAACAGAAGTTTTGTTCAATAACAAGAGCGATCAGTGATCACATGTGTCGCCTCATAATGGCCAATTTCATGTTGGGACAAGTTTTGTGACAGACGGACAGACAGACGGACAGTGCACAACTAGACTTGGTACTGATCATTCCTGTAAAGTTTGGATGAAATTGATCCAGTAGTTTATGAGGAGTAGTCCGGACAAGCTTTTGTGTATCTGGCAACACACAGAAAAAAACACCTTTTTTATCAAAGGGCCATAACTTGGCCAAAAATCATTCAACCGGAAAACCCGTGCAATATGCGCAAGGACTTGAGCTACAGATCAATCCTGTAAAGTTTCAATGAAATTGCATTAGTGGTATAAGAGAAGTAGTCCGGACAAACTTTAAAAATAAAAATTATTAAAGGGCCATAACTCTGACAAAAATCATTGAACCGGAAAATGCTGACAATATGCACAACTAGACTTGGTACTGATCATTACTGTTAAGTTTGGATGAAATTGCACCAGTAGTTTATGATGAGTAGTCCGGACAAGTTTTGTGACAGACAGACAGAAAGACGACGGAGAAGTGATCCCTATATGTCGCCACTACTCCGTAGAGGCAACACAAAAATTATATTACAATATTTCATATAAACAACAGCATTCCAAACACGACTAGAACTATCACTAAATGTGATTAATACCCCTGAAATGAGGAAAGTTACTAGTAACAGAATACCTTGCAAAATAATTGAAATAGAGTTATGGTTGTGGGCAATTAAAGATAGTTGTGGTTCTTGTACGTTGCATTTCCTTTCAATGTGGTTGACCATTGATGAAGTGTTATTGAATTACTCTGTAATAAGTCTAGAAAGAGTTACCCTTTTTGAGCACTGCTCTTCCTCTCATTGTGCTTGACCATTGTATGAAGCTGCATTGAATTCTAAACATTAGTTTTTAAGTAAGCCACCGAACAAGGTAAAGGAACAAAGGGCAACAAGAGCCATGTCAACATGGCCATCCCCCGCCGAATGTGTTTGCTCATTGGAAGAATGCATATGTAGTAGAGCAGAATAATTCCATTTTAAGAGGTCCTATGGTAATAAAAACTGATGGCTATAGTGATTACAGATTTGAAACCTATGTGAATACTGATGGCTGAAAATAACAAAGGGCAATAACTGAACAAGAGGGCCATGATGGCCCAAAGTCGCTCACCTGTATATAGGCCCCCGGAGCGAGCCAATTTAAACCCAAGGGGTTTTATTTGAACAAACTTGGTTGACACCCATTAGAAGATATTTCATGCTAAACATCTAAGGTCTAGCTTATTGGGTTTTTTTAAAAGAAGATTTTTTATGTATATATATTATATATATATATATATATATATATATATATATATATATATATATATATAAGTGTGTGTATGTATGTATATATATATATATATATATATGTATGTATGTATGTATGTATGTATGTATGTATGTATATTGTATATATAATATATATATATATATAAATTACATATGTATATATATATATATACATATATATATAATATATGTGTATATATATATATATGTATGTATATATATAATATGCATATATTTAAAAAAAAAAAAGTCGAGCTAATGAATGACCCCCGGGACGGGGCCAATTTTGACCCAGGGCTCTTATTTGAACGAACATGGTAGACATCCATTAGAACATGTTTCATGCTAAATATCTTAGCTCTAGCTCTTTGCATTCTTTAAAAGAAATTTTTTTAAGTTTTTACTATATGCATATAGGGAAAATCAATGACCCCCTGGGGCGGGGCCAATTTTGACCCCAGGGCTTTTATTTGAACAAACTTGATAGACACCCATTAGAAGATGTTTCATGCTAAATATCTTAGCTCTAGCTCTTTGGGTTCTTTAAAAGAAAATTTTTTAAGTTTTTACTATATACATATAGGGAAAATCAATGACCCCCAGGGCGGGGCAGATTTTAATTCTAGGAACAAAATTTGAACAACTTTGGTTTTGGACCTATAGATGATACCATAGACCAAATATCAAAGCTCTAGGCCATTTACTTTCAGACCAGAAGATTTTTCAAGTTTTCACTATATGTATATAATGAAAATCAATGACCCCCGAGGGCGGGGCCAATTTTGACCCGAGGGCCATTATTTGAACAATCTTGGTAGAGGTCTACCACACAATGTTTCATGCCAAATATCTTACCTGTAGCCTTTGCCAATTCAGAGAAGAAGATTTTTTTATGTTTTACTATATACATATTAGAAAAACCTATGACCCCCCGGGGCGGGGCCAATTTTGACACTAGGGACAAAATTTGTACAACTTTGGTATTGGACCTTCAGATGATACCATAGACCAAATATCAAAGCTCTAGGCCATTTACTTTCAGACCAGAAGATTTTTCAAGTTTTCACTATATGTATGTAATGAAAATCAATGACCCCCCGGGGCGGGGCCAATTTTGACCCTAGGGCCATTATTTGAACAATCTTGATAGAGGTCTACTACACAATGTTTCATGCCAAATATCTAATCTGTAGCCTTTGCCAAATCAGAGAAGAAGATTTTTTTAGATTTTACTATATACATATAAGGAAAAACCTATGACCCCCGGGGCGGGGCCAATTTTGACACTAGGGACAAAATTTGAACAACTTTGGTATTGGACCTTCAGATGATACCATAGACCAAATATCAAAGCTCTAGGCCATTTACTTTCAGACCAGAAGATTTTTCAAGTTTTCACTATATGTATGTAATGAAAATCAATGACCCCCCGGGGCGGGGCCAATTTTGACCCTAGGGCCATTATTTGAACAATCTTGATAGAGGTCTACTACACAATGTTTCATGCCAAATATCTAATCTGTAGCCTTTGCCAAATCAGAGAAGAAGATTTTTTTAGATTTTACTATATACATATAAGGAAAAACCTATGACCCCCGGGGCGGGGCCAATTTTGACACTAGGGACAAAATTTGAACAACTTTGGTAGAGGACCCATAGATGATACCATATACCAAAAATCAAAGCTCTGGCCCATGTACTTTCAGACAAGAAGATTTTTAATTTTGTGTTTTTTTTAAATCCTTTTCTGGCCCTATGACCTACATATGCAACAGACCGGAACCATTTGAACAACTTTGAAAGGGGACCACCCAAGGATCATTTCTGTAAAGTTTGGTTGATGTGCAGTCATTGGTTTCAGAGGAGATGTTGTTTATGTGAAAAGTTGACGACGCACGACGACGGACGACGGACACAGGGCGATCACAATAGCTCACCCTGAGCATTGCTCAGGTGAGCTAAAAATAATGCAGGGTAGGTTATCATTCTTGTGTGCTGCATCCCTCCTCAGTAAAATCTATCCACCTATGAAGTTTCAAGTTGATACCTCAAATACTTTTTGAGAAAAAAATTGAATTGAAAAATTAAGTATGAAAAATAACAAAGGGCAATAACTCAAAAATTATAAAAGGTAGAGTTATCATTCTTGTGCAGTGCACACCTCCTGAGTGAGATCTATGCACCTATGAAGTTTCATTTTGATATCTCAAAGGTTTTTTGAGTTATGCTCTGGACAAAAATTAATTTTGAAAAATAACAAAGGGCAATAACTCAAAAATAATGCAGGGTAGAGTTATCATTCTTAAGCACTGCACTCCTCCTCAATGAGATCCATCCACCTTTGAAGTTTCAAGTTGATACCTCAAATACTTTTTGAGATAAGCTCTGGACAAAAAAGCATGAAAAAAAAACAAAGGGCAATAACTCAAAAATTGTATAGGGAAGAGTTATCATTCTTGCGCACAACATTCCTCCTCAATAAGATCTATCCACCTATGACATTTCATGTTGATATCTCAAAAACTTTTTGAGTTATGCTCCACTCAGGTGAAAAATTAGGTATGAGAAATAACATAGGGCAATAACTCAAAAATTATGAAAGGTAGAGTTATCATTCTTGTGCACTGCACACCTCCTGAGTGAGATCTATGCACCTATGAAGTTTCATGTTAATATCTCATAGGCTTTTGGAGTTATGCTCTGGACAAAAATCAATTTTGAAAAATAACAAAGGGCAATAACTCAAAAATCATGCAAGGTAGAGTTATCATTCTTGTGCACTGCACTCCTCCTCAATGAGGTCTATCCACCTATGAAGTTTCAAGTTGATAACTCAAATACTTTTAGAGATATGCTCCGGACAAAAATGTCGGACGGACGGACGGAAGGTCGGACGGAGACTATTTCTATATCCTCGCCGAAAATTTTCGGCAGGGGATAATAACTCTACAAATACTGAAGATGGAGTTAAGGTTATTGTACACGGCACTTCCTCTCATTGGGCTTGACCATTGTATGAAGTTGTATTGAATTCCAACTACTAGTTTTCAAGTTATGGACTGGACAAGAAAGTAACAAAGGGCAATAACTGTAATTAGTCCAAATAGAGTTATGGTTCTTGTGCACTGCACCTCATCTCACTGCCCTTGACCATTTTATGAAGTTTCATTGAATTCCAACCATTAATTTTCAAGTTATGCACTGGACAATAAAAAGAAACAAAGGGCAAAAACTCTTAAATGAGTCAAGAAAGAGTTATGGTTTCTGTGCACTGCGCTTTCTCTCAATATACTTGACCATTGTATGAAATTGTATTGAATTCCAAATTTAGTAGTTTTCAAGTTATGCTCTGGACAAGAAAAAAGCAATGGAAAAGTAACATAGGGCAATAACTCTATAATTACTCTGGACAGAGTTATGGTTCTTGTGCACTGCACTTTCACTTATTGTGCTTGACCATTGTATGAAGTTGTATTGAATTCCAACCATTAGTCTTCAAGTTATAGTCCGGACAAAAGAAAGCAATGGGAAAGAAACAAAGGGCAATAACTCTGTAAATACTTTAGATAGAGTTATGGTTCTTGTGCATTGCACTTCCTCTTATTGTGCTTGACCATTGTATGAAGTTGTTTTGAATTCCAACCAGTAGTTTTCAAGTTATGCTCCGGACAAGGAAAAGTAACAAAGGGCAATAACTCTGTAATTAGTAAAGATTGACTTATGGTTCTTGTGCACTGCACTTCCTCTCAATGTGCTTGACCATTGTATGAAGTTATATTAGTCTTCAAGTTATGCTCCGGACAAGGAAAATGCAACGGACCGCTGGACCGACCGACCGACCACCCGGTGACTCCTATATACCCCCCAAACTTCGTTTCGGGGGTATAATGACTTGACAACAAAGTACTGTAGTACTTCAGTGAGTTACCTTGGTTGCCTGCCAAACAATTCTTGTTGCTGGGACTAACAATTTTGTGATGTCACATATTTCTGTGTTAAATCTCTCTGGACAGAAGTATCCACATCCAATGATTCCTTAATAGGAAAAAACAGCATACTAGGTTGCATTTTACAGTCATATGTATCAAACAGAATATTTTGATTTTTAATCATTTTATCAGTAAACTAACTGATTAAAGAATCCTAGCATTGGCAAATTTCGGCTTGTCCTACCAGACAAGCAAACATATTACAATTATGTACTCGTCATGCGTCCAGGCTGCATTTTCATGAACTGTGAACTGAACTATTTTCATGAAGGCATATATATAGAAATCATAAACAATTGTTGTTTCTTCAATTAGTAATAAATTATTAGGGTAACATTTTCAATGTCTTTTCATATTCATAGAGATGATGAAGATTCTTTTTCTACGTAAGATAAGCATTTACAATTTTAAAATGCACTTTGTTTCAATAAAAATCTAAACTTAATAACTTACCAAAGATTTTATCTATAGAGTTGTTTGATGGCAAAGTACAATTGAAGATACAAAATTGCCTTTTTAATCTTTCTGGAATATCATTTCTGCCTCCACCAGGGTGAATCATAGCTGCTACAAACTGTAGGTCTACTATAGATATAAAGTCACCAGGTTTATCCAGACTGTACATGCCATGCATTTCCATCATCTGGCGTGTGATCTCATTGGTTACCTAAAAATAAAAAAATACAAGAAATTACATCATCAATCAGCACATATTTTAAAATATCATTACTTCTTCAATATGTACAGCATACATGCCAATTAACAGCCCGTACGTTTGGTAATTCCTGGAAGTGTGCCAGATATGATTTATATCCTGGTAAAAATAGAAATAAGAAATAATTTCAGTAGGATAATAATCACAATATGAACTATTATAATTCTATGACATAACTATTCAAAGGCAATGATAACGAAAAAAATTGAACCCAGAGTATAGCAATACACAGGCAATAATTAAAATCAAATAAAGATTAAATTTTCTCTCCCTGGCTTGCTGAGTGAAGGTGTCTTAAACAACCAGCTAGCACAAACTGAATCTACCTTCAGGTTGATGCTTGACTCCATTTAGTGCTATAACACCATGAAAATCACTGCTTATTATGGGATAATAAAGTCTTCAGAAATTAGTTAAAATTTCAGCTATTTTTACCAAATGAAATGGCAAAATGTCCATAATTAACATAGCCTTATGCTAATGCAAATGTCCACCCATCAATTATTATTGGGAGGCAAATGTCCACCCTTTGGAGAGGGTGGGGGTGTCTGTTACAGAAAAAGGGCAAATATCCTAAAAATTGCTAATATTTATTGACAATTTGTCTAAAGGGAGTAAGTTTACCTGATCTCCCCACTCATTTATAATGGGCATGTTGACATCATCAATGAAAACTGTCATACGTCTTCCACCAGGTGGTCCATATGTGCTTCCCATTCTCTTGTCCACATAACTTTCTATCGTTCTCTACAACAGAAACATACCAATCATTGTTATAATAAAATAGATTACAACATTGCCATGTTACCAATCATACAAAATTACAATCCTTAATCTTAAGTGCCTGTAAAGACCTGACTATTTGGATAAAGAGTTAGTCAGGAACAAGACTCTGCCAAGTTACTACTAAACATAAAATTGAGAGCCAGATGTATCTATCTCTTACTCTACTGGAAGCAAGTATTTAATCCTTTTATTTTCTTGTATTAACCTAGTCTGCCAAATAAGGCACACGCCTGAAGCCCGCGGTGTGAAAAATCCCATTCGGGCTTGAAGAAATCCAAAGATCATAAGCCCGACGGGCCTTTGAATTTAGAATGTGTTTTCATTCAGCTTCAATATTTCTCAGAAATTACTGTGTAATACGTCATAAGTCTATGGACATCAATTAAGATTTGCGTAATATGTCATTCAATAATGCCTATTCTATATTTAACGTCTTCAGCGATTGGTTGGCGTAAATATACCAACAATGCCCAAGTATAATTGTTAATGTTAGCTGTTTAAAGAACAAGTAATCATAAATTTCCGTTAGAATATATTTATTTTTAGATTGACCTGTTTAGATTTGTGATCAGCTACATTATTACACCTCTGAAGCGAAAACCGGGAGTTAAACTGTCTGGTTGTGTGGGATGTTCATTGAATGCAATGCTTCCTTTGTTGATATTTGTGTTCATATATCAAACAAATAAAGTGGAAAGCAGGTAGATCGACGAGTAATGTTGAGTATATACAGAACAGAAAAAGAGAAATTCATTGAAAAGTGGCCAACTGAATTTCTGTCCCTTTCTGCTTAAATTGAACCTTGTTGATGTGAATAAAACATAAAATTAACGGTTGTCTATTTTGCATAATAGATATTTTGGGCCTCTGATAATCTCGACTCCGGGCCTATACTATAATGATTTAGTAAACATAGAAGGGATGTAAAAAAAACACTGTCAAGAACATCAGAGAGTGTTTAAACTAATTTATTTACTGGTTTTGGTCAAACAATGATATTCATCAGTATAATACAATACAAAAATTCAGACCTAAGGTAAAACCTGTCATTAAAATAAAGCTTTATATCAGATTTCAACTGTTTTGGTGCAAAAACAAAAATAATTAAATGATGAAAACATGTTTTTAATAACAGATGTGAATTAAAAAATATTTTCTTTCTTTGCATATGCAAAATATGTATAATGTCCAAAATGATTTTTATATTTGGATTGTATTCAGAAGGTCATTCTCAGACACTATGAAATATCTATTATGGAACATAATACACTTATCTTTTATTCTATCACGCTTCACACTATTACCCTATCACACATATAGGGAAATCAAGTGCATTATCACACGATATACACAGCATAAAAAAATGAATGCTTACACGTCATATGACATTGTCATATGTGACGTCATTGAACTAAATGACTTAAGGAAATTTACTTCTACGCTCAATGTAGTTCAACATATTTTTATCAATTCTCTTTTAATGAGCATGTTAGATTATGGAAATAGATATTTATTTTTTTCTTGCATTATCGTATTATAAAAAATACTCAAATATAAGTTATATTTTTATATTACATAATAAAAGAGCTGTCGGAAGGACAGCACGCTCGACTATTCTAAGTGCTTGATAGTAAAAGAGCCTTGATAATGTTAAATTTTTTAAGTTCACAAAAGGGCTAATTTTTTTTTATAAATTCATGTTATAGGCCTTAGAGAGAGTCTAATTCTACTGCACTGGACCACCTAGGGTTAATGAGATGAACATATGATCTTATCAGATGACCAAGCAGAACGCTAAAAGTATCCTATCAGAGTGGCCGCAGTTAATTTCTCTTAATTTATGTGTTTATGTGTTATTACTAGAATTAAGATTTATTCAATTATTCTTGTTAAATGGATTAATACAATTACTTAATAACTTTTGTAAAATGGATTAAATACCGGATTTATTTGTTCATAATTTAATTTAAAGTGACAATATTCTGGATATAACAATTGACTTCTGTTTTTGATTTGATTATCCATTTATATTTTCCACATGGATTGCTACAAGAATGGGTAAAGTGTTCAGTTCCAGTAGGGAACTCCACTTTTCAAGAAGCCCAACAGTCGCTATATAACCAGTACAGTAGGTACTGAGGCGTACTGCAACGACCCCAGAGTTTGCGGACAGTAGGTCCAACATAACTCTGCAACAAAATTTGGAATGTCTAGAGTTTGCGGACAGTAGGTCCAATATTAACTCTGCAACAGATTAGGAAAATCTGTTTCGTCATCATGGAATGATGGACAACAGTATGAAGCCTTGGCCAGATGATTGACCTTCCAAGTTTTTATGCTACAACTACTACTACAACAACAAAGACAATATTGCTTTAACTTGAAGTTATCAAATTAATATTATATTATTTAACAATTTAATTTCTTGAGCCACGAACATACCAAAGTCATGTGTCTTAGGCCAACGAAATGCACATATCACAGCTTATAATTTATAAGACTCTTATTCTATTGGTTAAAAAGATCTGCAGTATCTTACTGTTTTAAATCTTACTTGATATAAGAAAATATCAGCTCTTGCTCACAAAATATAATTCTATGTTTAGTTGGGTAACTGTATGATAAGTTAAAATAAAAATTATTTGAATTAAAGATATACTATGCTCAAATTCATTGTATTTTTAAATATTGATAATTGCTATACAGTCTCTTTTTTAATATAAAATAAACATGTTTTGACTACACTCTAAGAAGATATCTTATGTCTTAAACTCTACACAATTTAGAGGCACAATAAGAATGCATAGTGTCAAAAAAAAAACAAAAACAAACAAACAAAAAAAAACAAACTTTACTTATATGCAGCTTCCCAAACACAGTTTGTACATTCTTTTATTCAAATAAGACATATTTAGAAAGAAATACATAGATATCAAATAATTTCTGGGATAAAAATATTTTACTCTGAGATGAGTATAGTATATGTTTAACATGCTTTGGGCGGAAAAACAGTAAGTTACATTTTACAGTATCATCCTTGAACAGGCTCATTCAAACCAAGCCTGCAACATTTTCATTTATGCTGTTTTGGGCGTATTGTAGAGATTTTATTTGCACAAAAATGGTTTTATATTAGAGGAATATTCTGGAGTAAGTTTTGCCTAGAAATGTCAAGAACTGTATACTCCAAATTTGTTACATAACAGGGAATATGCTGGAGTAAGTTTTGAATAGAAATGTCAAGAACTTTGTACTCCACATTTGTTATATATGATGGAATATGCTGGAGCTAGTTTTGCATAGAAAATGTCAAGAACTGTGTTCTCCAAATCTGTTATATATAGAGGGAATATGCTGGAGATAGTTTTGCATGGAAATGTCAAGAACTGTGTACTCCAAATTTGTTATATAAGAGGGAATATGCTGGAGCTTGTTTTGCATAGAAATGTCAAGAACTGTCTACTCCAAATTTGTTATATAAGATGGAATATTGCTGGAGCTAGTTTTGCATAGAAATTGCAAGAACTGTGTACTCCAAATTTTTTATATAAAATGGAATATGCTGGAGCTAATTTTGCATAGAAATGTCAAGAACTGTGTATTCCAAATTTGTTATATAAGAGGGAATATGCTGGAGCTAGTTTTGCATAGAAATGTTAAGAACTGTGTACTCCAAACTTGTTATATAAGATGGAATATGCTGGAGCTAGTTTTGCATAGTAATGTCAAGAACAGTGTACTCCAAATTTGTTATATAAGATGGAATATGCTGGAGCTAGTTTTGCATAAAAATGCCAAGAACTGTGTACTCCAAATTTGTTATATAAGATGGAATATGCTGGAGCTAGTTTTGCATAGTAATATCAAGAACAGTGTACTTCAAATTTGGTATATAAGAAGGTATATGCTGGACCTAGTTTTGCATAAAAATGTCAAGAACTTTGTACTCCAAATTTGTTATATAAAAGGAATATGCTGGAGCTAGTTTTGCATAAAATGACAAAACCGTGTACTACAAATTAGTTATCTATATAAAAGCGAATATGCTGGAGCTAGTTTTGCAATAAATATCCAAACCTGAGTTTCTCCAAATTTGTTATATAAGATGGAATATGTTGGAGCATGTTTTGCATAGAAATGTCAAAACCCGCGAGTACTCCAAATTTGTCATACGAGAAGGAATATGTTGAAGCAAATTTTGCATATCTTGTCAAAACCGGAATACTCCCAAATTTTTTATATACGAAGATCAAATATGCTGGAGAAAGTGTTTTGCATAGAAGTGTCAAAAACTGTGAGTCCAAATTTGCTCTTGGGAAAACGCACCATTTGGAGCTGATCTTACGAAGGAATTGTTACTTTCCTTACGGAAAGTAAACACATATTAAATAACATTGGTTGTATATAGTGTGAGGTAAGAATCTCAGGGGCAACCATGAGTACATATACAAGAAAGCTAACAAAATGTGAGTATGCATTGTTTTTACAATACTCTAGAAACACTTCGAAATACCCTGAACATTGTAAGTTGATAACTTTCAATATTGGTACTTGCTCGAGATGGTTCAATAATGAAATTTATATTGAATAACTCTTTACCTGTATATCTCAAGTAAAGTACACTGACAATGTCGATTGTAAAGAACTTGCTTTTATTTTTAAGAAAATGACATGTCATTCGAAATGGAAGAACATGAAATAAGATATGAAAAGTTTTAGTGAAGAAAATAAACATTTAATCACTAAAATATTTTTCCAACCAGAATTTTCTTCGACTGAAAGGTGTATATAGACATAGCTAAATGCATAATTGAATACATGTTTGATATACTTTGTATGCATTGAAATTTTTGCTCAAGCTAACTACAGTAAAACATAGAAAAGAAATAAAATGAATTAATGAATATAATAAAATAAACTATTAAGATGGAAAAAAAAAAATCATTTGCATTTGCCTTGTCTTTCATTGTTGGACAAACCTATGAAACCAATGTTTTACCATTCATTACAATAATGATAGTTTATACAAAGTTGTAATGTGCAGTATTTTAGATGGTTAAGATAAGGTTGATAATTTGGGATTTATTGTATACATGTACTACATCTTCAGATAAATCTCTCACTGGACCCTCTCAGTGAATTGTTTTTGTTAGGGTTTATCATCGGACTTATTCCTGGGAAAACAGCAGGTATTAATAGCTGTACCTGGTTTGTAGGTCAAACATATGTCTTAATTTGATTTGTTTGTTTGCAAGGAGGGGTTGCTTATTAACCTTCACTGTGTTATGATCCATGGCACTATAAATCACTCAGAGAGGGATTTGTGTCGGACCTATCACAACAATAGGCAAACAAAATCCTGATTAAGCTAGGGCTGTCAAAGTGTCATTAAAATTTTGATATAAATAATTGAAACAACTAGTTTCAATAAAAATATTAATTATATCAAGAAAACTGCAGTTTAGTCTATGAAACATTTCTACGGTTGATGAACGCATTTATATTTGTAGACTGCATGTTAATTAGTCAACTAGAAATGTTATAAAATTTGGAAAAAGAAATGGCAGATAAATTAATAATATATCATTATATGTAGATGTGGTACCTTACTCGTCATTGTCCGGGGAAAGGAAAACACACTAAGCAGATTATTCTACCAAATGGCATGATCATAGAATATTACTTGTTTGGGGTTTTGTTTTCAAACAACTGAAGTGGTGATAAGAGATTCAGCCATTTGTTTTGGTAGTTTTTCATTATCGTTTTTGAAATAAATCAGTTGATGACTTAATTAACTAATTAATTGATTGATTGATTCCAAACAAAAATGATAATAATATTAATAATTCAGGAAAAATGAACAAATTCATTTGTATGTTTCATTATATCCTATCCTGTATCGAGTGGAATCGAAAACGTGAACCATAGAAACATGTACTGTAACTGCAATACAGAGCTGATTTGGAAAATAATATACATGTGTTTATTGAAGAAAACATGCATGGAAAAAAAAAAAAGTAAATAATATAAACGAATAATGGCAGGTTTAGGCTTAATGGCCCTTTAACCGCAGATCAGTAATTTCAAAACACTGATTTTGCAAGATATCAGAAATCGAGCCTAAAGAAATTATAATAAAAAACATAAATGTGTTGCTTTAAAACCATAGAAAACTTCGAATATCACTACATGTGAAAGAATTTTGTGCTACACGTATATGTGTGTCAAACTTGTTTGCAATTTTCTGTTTACAATATACGATACAATGTATCAATTTTGGCAATGTAACATTGCAGCAGGGGTCAAGCCTATAATGACCTTTAATTTCCGCACAGTAGAAATAGGGAATAGTATTCTTTTATAATGATTGTTACTTTTACAGCATTTTTATGTATATGGCAATATTTCATACTTTATTTTGTACATTACATTTTCAGTTTTGAAAAGTTAATAGTCGTAGATTGAATGCGTAATCATTGTACTTGGTTATGAAGTTTTAACGACTTATCAAAATGCGAGCATGGTCTCTAAAATCTCATTAACCCTAGGTGGTCCAGTGCAGTAGAATTAATAAATTAAACGAGACTTACCTGGAAGTTGAAGTTCAATTATTATTCTACTGCTACTGGACCACAGGGTTTAATGCCCACCCAATTACCCCTCCCATATGTATAAGCCATTGTCGCATTTTGCATAATTATGTATGCTCTGAAAGTCTGCTTGGTCATCTGATAAGATCATATGTTCATCTCATTAAACCCTGTGGTCCAGTAGCAGTAGAATAATAATTGAACTTCAACTTCCAGGTAAGTCTCGTTTAATTTATTAATTATACAGTATTGGCTTGACTATTCGGAAGGTAATGTCACAAGGGTGTTTTATTGAATATAATAATACTAATTACCTATGAAAAATAAATTTGACAGACAAGGTACAAAGGCTTGTTATTAAGATGTTTTATCAAGAAATCACTGCTTTATTATTATGAATGCATAAAATTGTCCCAAAAAAGGCACAAAGTGACAAAACCCTTCAGTAGTTATTGAGATAACAGCTTTACAAACAAAACTTTACCATGAATTTCTAAGTTGAAAAAAGGGGAGAAAAATCAGCCTAAATGCAAGATAGAATTATGGATCTTTGTCAGTGACCTACAATTATAACCCTAAATGCATATGTGAAGTTTTAAATAAATATCTTTAATAGTTATTGAGATATGTAAAACTTGCATGTAAACATTAACCAAGAGACTAAGTAGAAAAGGGATATGAATCAGCCTTAATGCAAGATAGAGTTATGGAACTTGGTCAGTGACATACAATTATGACCCTCCAATTATGACCCTAAGTGCATGTGTAAAGTTTCAAGTAAATATCTTTGAATACCTTTAACCTTAAACCAAAATTACTAAGTTTCAAAGGGGCAAATAATTCTGCAAATATTGCAGGCAGAGTTATGCAATTTTTGCACACTGATGTACATTGTTACAACAAAAAAGTATTTTAAATTCCAATTGAATATCTCAAGCAATAATTGAGATATTTGACTTTACAAAAAAACTTTAACAAAAAAGTTCCAAAGGAGCATAATTCTGTAAATATTGTAGGCAGAGTTATCCCACTTGTCAATCTGATGTACCTTGTTACTTTAAATAAGTATTGTAAGTTTAAATTGAATATCTCAAGCAATAATTGAGATATTTGACTTTACAAAAAACTTTAACCAAAATTTCTAAGTTAAAAAGGGGCATAATTCTGTAAATATTGTAGGCAGAGTTATCCCACTTGTCAATCTGATGTACCTTGTTACAATAAATAAGTATTGTAAGTTTAAATTGAATATCTCAAGCAATAATTGAGATATTTGACTTTACAAAAAACTTTAACCAAAATTTCTAAGTTAAAAAGGGGCATAATTCTGTCAATAGTGTAGGCAGAGTTATCCAACTTGTCTATCTGATGTACCTTGTTACTATAAATAAGTATTGTAAGTGTCAATTGAATATCTCAAGCAATAATTGAGATATTTGACTTTACAAAAAACTTTAACCAAAATTTCTAAGTTAAAAAGGGGCATCATTCTGTCAATATTGTAGGCAGAGTTATCAAACTTGTCAATCTGATGTACCTTGTTACTATAAATAAGTATTGTAAGTTTCAATTGAATATCTCAAACAATAATTGAGATATTTGACTTTACAAAAAACTTTAACCAAAATTTCTAAGTTAAAAAGGGGCATAATTCTGTCAATATTGTAGGCAGAGTTATCAAACTTGTCAATCTGATGTACCTTGTTACTATAAATAAGTATTGTAAGTTTCAATTGAATATCTCAAGTAATAATTGAGATATTTGACTTTACAAAAAACTTTAACCAACGCAGACGCCGACGCGGACGCGGACGCCGACGCCGGGGCGACTACAATAGCTCTCATATTCTTCGAATAGTCGAGCTAAAAATTATTTTGTACATTTTGTATACATATTTTACTTGTTTGTATTTTATAATTTAAACGTTTAAATAACATGTATTTTTACAGTTATAACTTTTTTAAACTTTGGAATAAAAACCATTACTTTTAACATGTTAAACATACTTAAAAAATTTTTTTACATACAAATCAACACATTTTGCTTAAGCCTAGGAAGCACTTTAGGTCTTTTTAGCACTTTTCTTTGTTTAACAGATGGACTGTTTTTTTAAAAAGTAAATAGAAACAAATACAAAATAATAGTTATAAGTAAAATATCACAGCTTTGTTTCCTTCTTAGTTTTTAACATGTATAACTTCAAAATAAAAACCCATTAATAAATTAATTCTACTTTTCAAACAATTCCAAAACATACCTATAAAAGAGACAGTTTAAGGTTAAACAGTCATAATTTCTTGAACTGTCTAAAATAAAGAAAATTTTAACTTATACTGTCTATGTGTTTTTCTACAGGTATGTTAAACTTTATTTTATATTTTAACTCATGTTAAACTTTATTTTATACTTTAACTATTTTCTCAAATCTATAGGACATAAAATTTTGTAAACTTACTTTAGTTACTAACTTGTTAAAATGTAACTTTATATTGTACTTAAAAAATGTTTTTCATATAACTTATATTAATTAAATACAGAAAACTAAGTTCTTATTACATTAAATATTAATTTTGTAATGTAAATTAAGTATTTTATTATATACATTTTGTTAACATGGTACCTGTTACCTATTTTAATAATCAAAATGTTACAACTCGTAATGCTAAGTGAGTAATTATTTCCCCAACTTAATTTTTAATTAATAATTGTTATTTTCTTAAAACAAATTGTCTAAAAATTTTATATATTGTCATACATGTATTAAAAACTCTTAATTAAGAATATTTCTTATTATACATTGTATTTGTAAATATAATTTCTTTAACTGTCTAAAATAAAGAATATATTTTAACTTATACTGTCTATGTGTTTCTCTACAAACTGTAAACAAAATAAAAATCCTTCCCCTCAAACACGCAGTTCGTGAAAGTATCATAATGCACAATCTATAGCTCAAATACTTTCAGCTTTAATAATTATATTCCTGTGCATCTGAACTCGAACCTTGCATTATTCTACAACAATGCATTCAAAATTGCTATCTATTTCCTAAAAAATATGACAATAACTAACAGAAAATCAGAAACATACCTGGAACATCATAGGTGTACTGGCTGATGAAAAGTTGAAACTCTTGCTAAGATGTGCATCTGGGTCATATTTTGCCATGTTACCTTTGATCATCACAGTCTTAGCTGTTCCCTGTTCTCCTATCAGCAATACAGCCTGCAAAGACAGTTTGTAATAATGTTCTACTTGAAATGCTTTAAATGGGCAGCAAAACTGACAAGGTTTTTATTCTATTTCATTAAAAAATATTTATTTTGTAATCAGCACATGCATCTTATTAAATAGTCATTTTTTTTGAATTGACAAAAAGTTGCATCATATATAAAAAAATAGTTTATATGATCTCAAAAACAAAATGTTGATGCACAAAAATAATATAACACTTGATTTATCTATTTATCTTGCTTGCAAATGAAATTACAAAATAAGAGCATTAATGCTGATCTGTTAAAATAACCACTTTTGACAGAAAATTTTGTCATGTCAACATAAGCAAGACTTCTATGTTTCATTTTGAGAACTTTTAAAATGTTTGAATAATGGTCTAAATTAAGGTTCTTGCATGACAACAATGATGACGATGAGGCATAATAACGAGACTTTTTTTGAAACAGACAAGCTTAAACAACAACAACAATGCAAATGCTGTAAAAATATAACACTGAAATAATCACCTTGTACTGCTTTGCAATAGTATCAATGAGAAAGTTTGTTCTGACATTGTCCACATTTGGTACTAGAATTGAACTGAACTCTGGAACATAATCTGATGCATAGATATACTCCTCTACTCTATGCATCCAATGTAACCATTCCCCTAAAATATAAAATTAGTGAAACTGTCAATGAAAGAAAGAAGTTCAACCAAAGTTACAGCTTCAATAACTTAATTCAAATTAAATTTGCATTGCTAATGATGGCCTTCTAACCCTATTTTTCATTTAAGGCACACAATTATTCATATAAACAAGTTTTTGAATTAAACTAAAAGAAAACATCAGAACTATTAAACCAAACAGACTTCAATTCATTACCTTTCTCATCAACCAAGTACTCAAAAATGGTTTCATCATCTTTTACTGGAGGCAAGGATAATTTTTCACAATCATTCACAATGAAATGTTCCATCTTGGCACGATCCTCCAGTTCCAACAGTGCTCCTAAACTCCACATTAAGGCAAAAATGAACAGCTTTTCTAAATGGGAGCCTGGTAGGTTTCCTTTGTCATCTCTTTTGGGAATTAAACCCTCTAGAAGATCTGTTGCCTACAAATTACAGAATTTTAAAGTTATAAGTCTCTGTCAGCAGTTTAACTATTGCAATAAAATAACAATCTAGGAGGGTTTTTGTCACAAAAACATATGTCTCCCAAAACTATATGTATGCTCATTCATGTGAAATTTCATTGAAATCCCACCTTTTTGTGCAGCAAAGTGAAACAACGCAGTGATGTGCACAACTAGGGATGGTACTGATCACTCCTGTAATTTGGTTGAAATCCCTCCAGTAGTTTGACCTGTGAAAGCTGGACAAGATTTTTCTATTTTTAGCTCTGGTGGCCATTTTGTGCAGCCAAACCGAACATGCCAGGGAAGTGCACAACTAGGGATACTGATCACTCCTGTAAAGTTTGGTTGAAATCCCACCAGTAGTTTGACCTGTGAAGGCCGGACAAGCTTAATGCGGACAGACAGACAACCGGACGGATGGACATCCAACCAAATTTTTTAAGGGATAAAGGGCCATTTGTAATGAGTAGTAAAGCATTCAATCAGAATGGAAAAATGTGGTTTTAGGTATTAACTAAAATGTGCTGTCACTGTGAGTGCATCAACAAACTTACCTGTCTGATCTGGTTACATTCAAGAAGTATCATCTTCATGTTAAGATTCAAGTTAACATATCTGAAGATATCATCAAACACTTTGTCAAACAGTCCAAATAGAATGTCACTTTCCTGAGCAGTTCTTGTTTTTAACCATCCCTGTAAAAAAAATCTTAAACATTGACAATAATTTAAATGCCAAGGCCTTTTTTATTTTATCCAACAATAATTATAAAATGCAAAAACAATAACAAATATTAGTATATTAAGACTGTGTGTAAGTCAAATGCATTATAGAAGTTACGGAAAGAAAATTAGTCACCATATCAGGTAATAAGGTTATTCTACCTGTAAAATAGGTCTCCAGTCCAATGCAGATGAACTCATGAAGACCATACCGTTTCTGGATACAGTAGCAGGCGAGGCATTGTCAATGTTGTGCACTTCAAACACAATCTTACAGTTTGGTGCCATAGGAATACGATCTCCATTAGCTAATGTTAGAGTTTTGTTGTCATCAAGTACAGAGTTGAGATTCTCAATCCAAATAGCATCTACTGGACCATCTAGAACAATCCAAATATGCTCTCCTAAAAAGTAGATAAATACTTGTTATCAAAATTTAGGTAGATTTTCAAATAAAACAAATTTCATGTCAAGCATTTCAACAGTAAATAGTTCAGTATAAATTTCTAAATTAATGTAGTCATTTTATCAGAATTTATTAAATAAAATAATTTATATAGGAAAATGCCACAAGAAGGTCCACATGACAAGAAAAGACATCCCTGATCCTAGATTCTAAATAAGTCTTTAAACAAACTTTTTATCACAAAGGAATAGGTAAAAATTTCTTGAAGATTCTGCATAACTTGAGAACAGAAAAAACATGTACTTTTTTTCCTTATGTTTCTTTACCTTTCTTTGCTTTCAAAGATCTTCTCCAAAGTGTAGAAAATATACCATCTGTCCAGTCATTGGTGGCAACATCCAATCTACCAAACATCTGTGGTGCTGTAATGGCCTTTGGGTTCATTCTCATTTCTCTATGTGGAGCTCCACAGTCACTCATTGACTTCATCAGTACATGAATGCAGCATGATTTACCAGCACCACTTGGTCCTAATGTCATCATTCCATGACGTACACGCTGAGTCTCATATAGCTGTAATTTGGCAGAAAAATATACAGTAGAACTTCTATGAGTCGAACTTCGATTAGTCGATTTTCTCGATGTGTCGAATAAAAATGAAAGTCCCGACTTTCCCCCCTATATATTCCTTATAAAAACCTATTTATGAGTTGAAATTTTATGTGTCGAATTTTTCGATGTGTCGAGGTTTTCTCGTGGTCCGTATAAAGTAAATCTAGTGCAATTTACCACAAATAAGTCGAAGTCGTTGGATTGTTTTGACACCTTTGACCTCGAGACATTTTTCACACCTTATCTGGCAGCGAAGACGATTTCCAATCAACTTGTGTGATAGGTGTTAATAACACAGCCGTGTGTTCAAACAGCCTTTGTTTGCGATAAAATGTGTGATAAAATGCTTTAATCGTAACTTTTTTAATTGCCGTAGTGGTATTTGAAAGTAAACAGTAAGAACTACTTCACTACTTTCATTTGAAAACATCCTTGACCCGGTGTCGCGTGAGAATAACACGCGAAATATTTACTATAAGCTGGTTTAGTTATCGCCCTTTCGTATTCATACGCCTTTTGTAACTCTTTGGGTAGTCGTGAAAAACGTAATTTGACATGCTATATTTATCATTGTAAAATTTAAAGATAAGATTAATGATGGAAAAACATGAAATATGTTTCGTTATAGAGCTTATAATTAGGACTAGTCACGGGTCGAAATTTTGTCATGGAATTGAGAGCGATTCATGAGTCGAAGTCCCGATGTGTCGAAGTTTTTACGCAAGTCCCTTCAACTTCGACTTACCGAAGTTCTACTGTATATCAATTTACAAAATTACCAAGGTCATCAATTTTTGTCATCTTAACTTTCATGCTGCAAGTTTACCCTATAGTTTTACCTTCATTTCTTCTCCAAATTGTTAAACATTAAGAATCCTTTAAATCTTTAAAATATTTTGAATATATCATTACACTGAATATTCACGTTAATGAGTTGGCAATAATTCTGAATTACCTGTACAAGTTTCAAGTTCCATGATGGATGGTTTACGAGCCCTGCAGCATCTACCTGGTTTGCTATTGCCACTTGAAGTTCAGCGTAGGTTGCTGAATCAAGGGTTATTCCAGGGAACAAGTCAGCAATTAAACTCATAAACAATGGTTCATCTTCATCAACCTATTAACATATATTTATATAGTGACACTGTGTAATTCATTTCATGAATGTTGACATTTCAGACAGAAATAGAATTGCATTTATAATATGAATCTTACATCTTTTATTCTTTTCAAAGGTGGGGGTAATGCTAGGCTGCTAATTCCACCTACTCATTTCATTGACAGCATATGTTCTCTCTACACAATGTGATATTCAATTTATTCACATTATTTTTTATGCATAATATTGTTCTTACGTCTTAGAATTACCTGGAATTCATATTCTGTCATAGTTGTTTTTGTACAAAACTAAATATTTTCTGCATAATGTTAACTTTAAATATATATTGTGATACCAACCGGACAATATGTGTAAAAATGTTGTCTTTAGATATCAGCAGTGTATCTATACCTAAAAGGTTAAATCTACTTCAAATATGTTTACCTAACAAGATGAAATAAGACTTACCAGTTTTGACAAGTTCATATCTCTGAGTACTCTCATGACAATTGTGCTTTCAGTATCATTTGGTCTGGCTCTCTTGTTTGCTCCCAGTGTTCTCAGTACTGACAAAATGTTTCTTAATCCAAAATCATAATGTACCTACAATATATATGAGCAAACAATGTTGTGATTCTAAACCAAACTTTAAACTATATATATAATTTCGAATCCAAGTTAATTTTAGATACATATACATATGTACATATCAATTTATCTACTAGTTTTTCACAAACCTTACCTTAAAGAATTTGTGTTAAGTGTTTGTCCTACTTTGAGGGAAATAAACATCAAAATAATAAAACTGACAAGTAAACATCAGAGAACTTATTAAGACAGCAATGATGGCTGGCCAGTATTGACAAATTATTACTGCAATAAAAATACTCCTGCTCATCACCACTTTTTTTAAGAACAATTAAGGCCATTTTTTAAATGTAACATCCAATAACTTAGTCAAGCCTTATATAAGATCCAATGTCAAAAGAAAATCACAATATATTAAAAAAAAACTAACCTGTTTTGAAAGCTGTTCTTCACACAGTTTGTAAAGTGTGTAGAATTTCTGTGCAAGCAAGACATTTTCAAGGAAACCACAAGAAGCAAGCTTCACTCTCATGATAATCTGGATTGCATAACATTGTTATTATTTAATAATTGAATATCCAACAATATTCTTTTTTAAGTAATTCATGTCAACATTTTAATTATAAAAATTCATTCACCCTAAGAAACACACCACAATGAAGAAAATAGATATAAAGTATTGGTAAAAATAGTTTAAATGAGAGGGCCATGTCGAAAGCCCTAATATCCCTCACCTGAATATAAATACTCTTAATGACAAGGAACAAGTAAAACTTATAATAAGCAACAGCAGATATAAAATCTAAGTCTTGAACTTTAAAGTTTATATTTGTATTTGAAATAGTGGTTGGTTGTGCTTAGCGAAAACAATAGTTACTAAAGAAGTCACTGGATGTTATACAAAATCAGTAGTTTCCTTGAAAGTCACTGAATGCTATGTAATTCAATGGTTTATTCACTCATTGCAAAAAAACTAAATGTTTGCTATGGAAGTCACTGGTTGCTGTTTAAAAAAAGCAATGTTTGCTATGTAAGTCACTGGTTGCTATTGAAATTAACAGTTTGCACTGAAAAGCCAATGGCTGCTTTGAAGTCACTGGTTGCTATAGAAGTCAATGGTTGTTATGGAAAGAAAGCAGTTGCTATGGAAAGTCAATGGTTCTTATGCTATGAGAGTCATTAATTGCTATTTGAAGTCAATGGTTGCTGTAGAAAGTTACCAGTTACTATGGAAGTCTACAGTTGCAATGGAAATTCAGTGGTTGCTATGGAAGTCAATAATTGCTGTGGAAGGTCCATGGTTACAATTGAAGTCACTGGTTACTAGACTAGGTTCGGGTCACTAGGTCTTGCCCTTTGTGTGCACACCTAGGGTAAGACCTAGTTTGTAAGTGGGCATCAGTAAAAGTCATCTTACTGGATCCAATTTTTAAGGTTAATTATTCGGTTGCGGATCTTTGCTCCCACGAAGAGTTTCTTTGTCAGAGAGTATTAAAGCTCACCCTTATGGATACTTTTCATTTGGGGCAGGCATTTGTAATCGAGTGACCAGTTGGACTCAAACAATTCAAGTTTTTGTTATGTTGTCAGCAACAGGGACATACCCTGACTACTAAGTTAAGTTCAACATAGAGGTTAATAACTTGCTGCGCCTGGTCGCTTTCCGGCTCATTTATATAGGTTTGGTCAGAGCTTCATTGGAGTACTCTTCCTGGACTTAAGTGGCCTTAAAAAGCCTACTTGATAGACAATTTTTTCCTAGTCATCAGATTATGACGCATGTTTGTGACATCATAACTGTATCGTGATTGTACTGTCATCATAATTGTTGTTCTGCTGTGTTTGTTAATTCTGTGTTAATGTAATAAAGTTAAAGACACTGCAGGTTTTAGGTCTTTATTTTGAACATAATCAAAAATAGAAGCTGACCCTGAACCTTCGGTTCTGGTGAGTTAATTACAAGTAAAAAGCAGGTACTACATGAAATACTGTCTAAAGGATAAATTGTAATAATTAACATAATGATATTGTATCAACTAATTCAGATATAGGTGAAAATGAAATTAAAAATAGTTTAAAAGTCCTAAAATTTTGCCATTTTATAAATTTAATCACTTCATATATTTCTCATCATGTTTTACTTAATCACTTGATGTTTAATGTCTCTATCTGTTCATATAATTCTGAGCTTCTACATTCCAGAAAATTCCAAATTCCCAACTTTTTGGCTAGTCCCACAGGTGTTCAGTTTTCAGAAGTTACACTGTATATGAAAAATCATTGACCCCCTTGGATGGGGCCAACATTGACCACAGGGATTTTATTTGAACAAACTTGGTATACACCCACTAGAAGATGTTTCATACTAAATATCTAAGCTCTAGCACTTTGGATATTCTAGAAGAAGGGTTTTTTTTTATTTTAACTACAAGTATATACATTTAAGGAAAATAAATGACCCCCCAGGGCGGGGCCAATTTTGACCCCAGGACTTTTATTTGAACAAACTTGGTAGACACTCACTAGCAGATATTTCATGCTGAATATCCAGCTCTTTGAGTTTTTTAAAAGAAGATTTTTTAAGTTCTTTCTTTCGGTTACAGGGCAACCAGGCTGTTCTGCCTGGAATTAAATTCTTATGATTAGATTTCTTTTAAAGTAAAAGATTATAGATTGATGCCAGACGCATTGCAATCACAAATACTCACTGTCACTATGTGACAGGTGAGCTGAAAACACATCTACAAGACAGTCATCAAATTTAGCACTGGCCCGGTGGCCAATGGCCAGTGTAAATTAATTTGGGCAAGTGTAAAGTTTAAGAAAATTTAGTTAAATATAAAGTAGAATAAATTAAAAACTGGAATTCAGGCCAGTAAATTCAAAATCTTAAATTCATTGACTGCAAGATGAGTTTTATTAATTTTAAAATAAACTAGACCTATCACTGAAGATGATTAATACCCCCACCAGCAACTTTTACTTTTTAAAAAATAACTGGTCTGAAGAAAAATTTCAACTCAACCTATATTAAATGAGGTATGAACTCTAGTTATTGTCCAGAAACCATTTTTCTATTTTTAGTAATGGTGACCTTGACCTTCACCTCAGGGGATCCAAATGCAATACAAACTAGGATATACATATAAGCTTGCTATACACCAAGTTTGATTACAATATCTCATTCCTAACTCTTGTTATTGTCTAGAAACCATTAATCTATTTTTAGTAATGGTGACCTTGACCCCGAAGGTCCAAATGCAATATCAACAGGGGTCTCCACATAAGATTGCTATATACCAAGTTTGATAACAATATCTCATTCCAAACTCTAGTTATTGTCCTGAAACATTTCTCTATTGTTAGTAATGGTGACCTTGACCCCAAAGGAGTCCAAATGCAATACCAACCGGGGTCTTTATACAAGCTTGCTTTACACCAAGTTTTATCACAATATCTCATTCCTAACACTAGTTATTGTCCGGAAACCATTTTTCTATTTTTAGTAATGGTGACCTTGACCTTAATCCCAGGGTGCCCAAATGCAATATCAACGGGGTCTTCACATAAGGTTGCTATATACCAAGTTTAATAACAATTACTCATTAAATCTCTAGTTATGGTCCGGAAACCATGATGTGGACCAACTGACGGACCAACAGACTGACTGACCAACAAGCTGATTCCTATATACCCCCCTTAACTTAATTTGTGGAAGTATAATTACCTTAAAAAAATAAAATCTTTATTGAAATGTAGAGAAAATATTGATGTTTTTACTAACCTGTCTATCAGGAACCATCATAGCAACAGTTCTAAATTGTACTTTCAAATTCTCAGGCAATTCTTGACGTCCAGCATAACCAGGGTTCTACAAAATACATCAAAACCAGAATGGTGCTGACTTTTGTTAATAAACAAATAAAGACTGTTGAAGCCACAATATTTTACAGGATTCCCACAATGAAGAGAAATGAAAATTTCATGACTTTTTCCTGACCAATAACAGCATCAAGTTTGCACAATTTTTGAGCGTTAATTGTATTTTTCATATTTTGACCTCCTCCTCCCAAAATAAGCCAACCTGTTTCCTCCTATTCTTTATTTCAAATTATAGCATAAAATTGGCTATTTTCCCCTATTTAACCCATGTTTTAACGGGACCAAAACCATGTGCTTTAACAGAGTCACATGCTCTTGTTATAGCCCGTGTTTACCTATGTGCAATACATTAAAAAACTAGAACTGCCATTATCAAGGCGTGAATACCCCCGCATACCACTTTGTCAGAATCAACATTGGCCATTTAGAGCTCAAGGACAACCTCCCTGCCGAATCTGAGGTTACTAAGCCAGTGCATTGCTAAGTTATGTATTCTACATGCTTCAAATGTGAAAATGTCAAAATCAATACATTGCGGACAGGACATTCTTTAGCAATTGAGAAGAAAAGCTTTTTTTTTGTCAAGGTCCCTGTGACCTTGACCCAGTGACCTCAAAATCAATAGGGGTCACCTTATAGTCATGATCAACATCCATGCCAAATATGAAGACTGTGGGTCAAAGGAATCTTAAGTTAATGGGTGGACAAACTTTTTGAAGTCAAAGTCCCTATGACCTTGACCTTTGATCCAGTGACCTCAAAATCAAAAGGGGTCATCTACTAATCATGATCAACATCCATGTTAAAAATGAAGACTGTGGGTCAAAGGAATCTAAAGTTATTGGGCAGACAAGCTTTTTGAAGTCAAGGCCCCTGTGACCTTGACCTTTGACCTGGTGACCTCAAAGTCAATAGGGGTCATATACTAATCATGACTAACCTCCATGCCAAATATGAAGACTGTGGGTCAAAGGAATCTTATGTTATTGGGCGGACAAGCTTTTTGAAGTCAAGGCCCCTGTGACCTTGACCTTTGACCTGGTGACTTCAAAGTCAATAGGGGTCATCTACTTATCATGACTAGCCTCCATGCCAAATATGAAGACTGTGGGTCAAAGGAATCTTAAGTTATTGGGCGGACAAGCTTTTTGAAGTCAAGGCCCCTGTGACCTTGACCTTTGACCTGGTGACCTAAAAATCAATAGGGGTCATCTACTAATCATGACTAACCTCAATGCCAAATATGAAGACTATGGGTCAAAGGAATCTTAAGTTATTGGGCGGACAAGCTTTTTGAAGTCAAGGCAACTGTGACCTTGACCTTTGACCTGGTGACCTCAAAATCAATAGGGGTCATCTACTAATCATGACTAATCTCCATGCCAAATATGACGACTGTAGGTCAAAGGAATCTTAAGTTATTGGGCGGACAAGCTTTTTAAAGTCAAGGCCCCTGTGACCTTGACCTTTGACCTAGTGACCTAAAAATCAATAGGGGTCATCTACTAATCATGACTAACCTCCATGCCAAATATGAAGACTGGGTCAAAGGAATCTTAAGTTATTGGGCGGACAAGAAAAAACCGACGGACAGCCGAACAGACAAGCTGATTCCAGTATACCCCCCTTACAACTTTGTTGTGCGGGGGTATAATAAAAAAGACGCCTATTTGGCCTATTTTCCGAAAGCGTCATGCACTCCTTAATAATGACATTATGGATTTGAGAGCTTTTATACCGGAAATACCACATATAGACATTGCCGTTATCCCGGTTGTCACCCTTTCTAAGAAACGGACAGTTGTCAATGTAGACAAATATCTGTCATTCAGTTTAACTCTTCAATTAACTTAGAAAACATGAAAGCAAAAATAAAAATAAGAAAATGTTGTTTTATTGTTATTTATATTGATAAATTCTCTTTATATTTCTTTCAGAGTCTAACGCAAAAATAAAAATAAGAAAATGTTGTTTTATTGTTATTTATATTGATAAATTCTCTTTATATTTCTTTCAGAGTCTAACGCAGGATTTTTTTTATAAATTGTTACTTGTGTGCTTGGAAAAAAAAAAAAGATTCTGATGTCAAGTCTATTAAATGCCCCTGATCTTTTTTCTACTGTACCGTCAGTCTGAAATCCTTTCCGGAATTTTATGAGGGTCATGTTTTGTATGGGTACAGTTACTACAGTAATTTTATTTTCTTTCTCGAGTTAATAAATCTCCGTTAAGACTTTTTGTTCGGCTCTTGGCATTTGTATTTCCAAAGTTGTTGGCCTCGGAAAAATAAAGTGCATACAGAAAAATAAAATGCATACGTAAAATATGATAAATTGGATAAATACCGTCCAAGGATTTCATGTACTTGTTTTGTATTTGAATAAACATCATGAATCTGGTTAAAAATTTTATGCTATAATAGCATCAACACATTTTTTCTGTGTTATAATGTCTGCAGAGTCCCTTGGAACTGTTACGGCCCTCACCCTACCGGGCTCAGGCACCAACAGTTCCTCGGGACTCTACAGAGGTTATAACAGGGGAAAACGTGTTAACCCTATATTATTTCAGATACAAAATACATGAATATGAGCAAGTCATACTTGTTGTTTAAATTCAACAAGTATGTGTGCAATTATCCGAAATGAAAAGTATTTCATAATACATGTCATGCTCAAAAATGTTTCATTCTTAAACATACAAAGCAGTGTAATCAATGGAAGACTGACTTAAACTGGCATGCATTTTTCTTGAATATATGTTAGTAATCAATGGAAAGCTTTTGTTGAACAAAAAACAAATTAAGAGAGGTAATGAAGTGGCTACATAAAAAGTAAAATGCAGTAAAGGTTAATGGTACTAGTATGCAGTAGAGATTCATTAAATAGTAAATACAAAACTAACTATGGCAGTTAGTATCTGAAAACATGCAAAAGTACAACACAGCACTAGTTATGATGGGTATTTAATCAAAGTCCAGTTTTTCTGATGCATTTTCTAAAGGTTTATAACATATGGGTTTTTACCATTGTTAAGAACAGACCAAATTCAGGATTTAAGTCTACATTATCTCCATCTGTGAAGACAAATTCCTTCTTTCTATCTTTTTTGGCTGTGAGTACAATGTAGATCTGCTGTGCAGCTACAGATAATACAGGCAGCTCTATTCTGTTAAATTCATCAAAGCATCCCCATGATCCAGACTGTGCTAAACCTAAAATGTAAAATTTCAGTAAGTTTCTTTTTTACTTTATTTCAACTATGATAATAACCAGTTAGTTGTTGAAAAAAGAGTTATTTTAAATAATTTTAAATACATATATTGATACCTTTATAGATACGTCCTAATCCGCGAAAGTCCATTTGATCAGAGCAATTGAAGACAACAACATATTTGCCAAGTGCTTTTCCCATATCCTTAGTTGTTTCTGTTTTTCCAGTACCAGCGGGACCTGCTGGAGCACCTCCCATAGACATACCAAGTGCTTGTGCTAGGGTAATGTAACATCTAAAATAAAGAAAGTCATGCTCAAGTAAAGTGCAACAAAACATTGAATGAATACATGTATGTACAATTGGTGGTTTATTCATTTACATAAAACACCATTATTATATAAATACAGCTAAAAAGCTCCCTTGTGAGTTTTGCTTTTCAGTAGTATTTTTCTCATTTTGTATCTGTATAAATTTACTAAAATTATGGATTACCTAGAGGGGGTTTTTGTCACAAAAAAACAAATGTCTCCCAAAACATCACTCCTTTGAAGTCTGGTCAAAACCCCCTTTGAAGGGCAGACAGGATTTTTCTATCTATAGCTCTGACTGCCATTTTGTGCAGCAAGGAGGAACATGCCGGCGATATGCACAACTAGGGATGGCACTGATCACTCCTGTGAAGTTTCATTGAAATCCCACCAGCAGTTTGATCTGTAGTATCCAGACAAGGTTTTTCTATTTAAAGCTCTGGCTGCCATTTTGTGCAGCCAAGAGGAACGTGCCGGCGATATGCACAACTAAGGGTGGTATTGATCACTCATTTTGTGCAGCCAAGGGGAATGTGTGAGCCATATGCACAACCAGGAATCCGGCCAGCAGTTTGACCTGTCAGTGTGGAAGCCGAACCAGCTGAATGCGGACAAATGGACGTCATGATGAATTTGAACAAGAGGGCCATGATGGCCCTGCAGTCGCTCACCTGTACATAGGCCCCCGGAGCAGGGCCAGTTTAAAGCCCGGGGCTTTTATTTGAACAAACTTGGTAGACAACCATTAGAAGATGTTTCATGCTAAACATTTAAGGTCTAGCTCGTTGGGATTTTTAAAAGAAGATTTTTTTAAGTTTTTTTCTTTACACATATAGTTAAAAACAATGACACACCTGGGGCAGGGCCAGTTTTGACCCCAGGGCTTTTATTTGAACAATCTTTGTAGACACTTACTAGAAAATGTTTCATGCTTAATATCTAAACTCTAGCTATTCGGGTTTTTTCAAGAAGATTTTTAAGTTTTTGCTATACTCGTATAAGGAAAATCAATGTCCCCCGGGGCGGGGCCAATTTTGACTCCAGGGGCTTTTATTTGAACAAAACTTTGAAGACACTCACTAGAAGATGCTTCGTGCTTAATATCTAAACTCTAGCTATTTGAGTTTTTTAAAAAGAAGATTTTTCAATTTTGCTATAGTTTAACACATATACGGGGAAAATGAATGACCTCCGGGGTGGGGCCAATTTTGACCCCAGGGCTTTTATTTGAACAAACTTTGTAGACAACCACTAGAAGATGTTTCATGCTTTATATCTAAACTCTAGCTATTTGGTTTTTTCCAAAGAAGACTTTTTAAGTTTTTCCTATACACATATAAGGAAATTTGGAAAATCAATGACCCCCAGGGTCGGGCCAATTTTGACCCAAGGGCTCTTATTTGAACAAACTTGGTAGACATCCATTAGAAGATGTTTCATGCTTAATATCTTAGCTCTAGCTCTTTTGGTTCTTTATAAGAAGATTTTTAAGTTTTTATTATATGCATATGGGGAAAATCAATGGCCCCTTGGGGCGGGCAAATTTTGACCCCAGGGCTTTTATTTGAACAAACTTGGTAGACACCCATTAGAAGATGTTTCATGCTAAATATCTTAGCTCTAGCTCTTTGGGTTCTTTAAAAGAAGATTTTTTAAGTTTTTACTATATGTATATTATGGAAAATCAATGACCCCCTGGGGTGGGGCCAACTTTGACCCCAGGGCTCTTATTTGAACAAACTTGGTAGACATCCATTAGAAAATGTTTCATGCTAAATATCTTAGCTCTAGCTCTTTGGGTTCTTTAAAAGAAGATTTTTTAAGTTTTTACTATATGTATATATGGAAAATCAATGACCCCCTGGGGTGGGGCCAACTTTGACCCCAGGGCTCTTATTTGAACAAACTTGGTAGACATCCATTAGAAGATGTTTCATGCCAAATATCTTAGCTCTAGCTCTTTTGGTTCTTTAAAAGAAGATTTTTTAAGTTTTTACTATATGTATATAGGTAAAATCAATGACCCCCCGGGGCAGGGCCAATTTTGACCCAAGGGCTTTTATTTGAACAAACTTGGTAGACATCCATTAGAAGATGTTTCATGCTAAATTTCTTAGCTCTAGCTCTTTTGGTTCTTTAAAAGAAGATTTTTTAAGTTTTTACTATATGCATATAGGGAAAATCAAGGACCCCCTGGGGCGGGGCCAACTTTGACCCAAGGGCTTTTATTTGAACAAACTTGGTAGGCACCCATAAGAAGATGTTTCATGCTAAATATCTTAGCTCTAGCTC